TACGCGCTCGGCATGGTCCTGCCTTCCGTCAGGGCGCTGCAAAAAAAGTGGGACCCACCCCAGCCCCGGCCCCTCCTGTCCGTGCAGCGTGCACCCCACCGCCACTGCCAACACACGCACCAGGAAGCCAAGAAGACCATGAGGCGGTCCTCCGTTAGGTATGTCAATACCCAGTCTTCATATGTGGTACTCAGGCTAATCACACCTATGGCATAAATATTAGGCAAGCAACATTATTTGCACGTACTCCTACAAGACAAAGGAGGAGCGCATTGCCATCAGCAAGGCCCGACGCACAGCGGCTCGTGCTGCAGCCGAGGGGGCTTGAGGCCTAGAATTACATACATAATAGCTTTATTTAGAACGCTCTGTAAATACATAAATGCATGATCCGACTAGCAAAACTGTCTTTTGATGGTTGGAGACCGTCTTTTATTTGATGAACTGTTGGTTGTCAGTCCAGATATAGTTAAAATTTGATGAAAAGGCGTGCCCCGACTGTCCTTTTTTTGACCAACCGTCCTTTTTGTGGCCCATGACGGCTTCGGAAATTGATGGCCAGTTCATCAAAGACGGTTTTTCGAGCGGCTTCCCTGCAAGTGTCACACTGGCATGGCAGCTCACCTCACTCAGGCTCCCAGTTCAGATCAACGTATGTAAATTACAACGCGTACGTTGATCTGAACTGGGAGCCTGAGTGAGGTGAGCTGCCATGCCAGTGTGACACTTGCAGGGAAGCCGCTCGAAAAACCGTCTTTGATGAACTGGCCATCAATTTCCGAAGCCGTCATGGGCCACAAAAAGGACGGTTGGTCAAAAAAAGGACAGTCGGGGCACGCCTTTTCATCAAATTTTAACTATATCTGGACTGACAACCAACAGTTCATCAAATAAAAGACGGTCTCCAACCATCAAAAGACAGTTTTGCTAGTCGGATCATGCATTTATGTATTTACAGAGCGTTCTAAATAAAGCTATTATGTATGTAATTCTAGGCCTCAAGCCCCCTCGGCTGCAGCACGAGCCGCTGTGCGTCGGGCCTTGCTGATGGCAATGCGCTCCTCCTTTGTCTTGTAGGAGTACGTGCAAATAATGTTGCTTGCCTAATATTTATGCCATAGGTGTGATTAGCCTGAGTACCACATATGAAGACTGGGTATTGACATACCTAACGGAGGACCGCCTCATGGTCTTCTTGGCTTCCTGGTGCGTGTGTTGGCAGTGGCGGTGGGGTGCACGCTGCACGGACAGGAGGGGCCGGGGCTGGGGCGGGTCCCACTTTTTTTGCAGCGCCCTGACGGAAGGCAGGACCATGCCGAGCGCCGAGCGCGTAGCCGCACAGGAACGCGACGACGAGCACGAGCGCGTAGGCGCCCGTGGCAGTGGAGACGCCCATGATAGGGGCCGATCGTCCCAACAGGGATGTGTGCCAGCCGTTGTTGTGCAGGCCGTCGATGGCCCGTGAGACAGCCGGAGGGACTGCCGACCTAGGGAAAAAAAGAAGGGCATGTCAGCATGTGACAGCCATCCCAGAGCAATAGACGGCGCGGGAGACGAAGGGCCCCGAGACAAACACGCACAACGCGGGGTGACAGAGGGGAAGACAGTACCCCGGCCCGGACACGCCGGTGGCTGTGCCGAAGCCGTGACGGACCAGATCACGTGTGTGATCGGACCGTCGTTCTGCCGAGAGAAGTATTGCACTTCTGCCATACTAGTTGTGTACGCGAACTCTTGGAGTCTTTATGTCCTTGGCTCGGAGCTGACGCAAACATTTTCAGCTTCTTTTAGACGGTGGCAGAGTTGTTGACTATCTCAAGATCGTCAAGACCTTCCTAGACGCGAATCCTGGTGAGGTTCTTACCCTCCTGTTTAGAAACCCGGAAGGCCAGTCGGTCAGTGAAGTCTGGAAGCCCGCATTTGATGCTGCAGGCGAATCATTTCATCCTCGAGGATTGAAAGCCCCGAATAAATGAGCAAATTACTTGAGGTATCACTCCAATGGCCTACGTACCCCCCTCCCTCCCTGTCAATCAATCCTGCTGGCCGGCCCTCGGTGCGATGATCGACAGCGGCAAGCGAGTCGGTTGTATTCCTTGACGCCCGCGCTGATACTTCATATTGCCTAAATTCGAGATGGTTTGTCAAATTGAAACCTTGCCTTGTTCTGGCTATTTTTGAGCGTTTCGGGAGGTATTGACTGATACATTTTGCTCGTAGATCTGGGAAACCCCGTTCGGCGTTACGAACGCCAGCTTTCCGTGCAGTGCGGACAGGATTAGCGGGCCTTTGGCGACGGCGGATCACACGTACACGATCAACCATTCATTGAACAAGAACATCATACCCATCGGGGGCGGAGTGATTGTAAGCGACCCCCTGGATGCACCGACGACGAACGGCGTGCCTTCGTATGTCATTTCAACATTATGCTGTGCTGTCGCAGACCTACATACATGTTTCACAGAATTATGGCGAATGTCCAAAAGTATCTCCCACTTGGCGCAAACCGCAATCCACAATTCATCCTCCTCGAGTTCGTCAACATCGGAGAAGGGTTCAGAGCTGTGGACATGCCGAACGGACTCGCGTAAGTAGCTACTCGATTTCACTGCTATTTGCTGGCACTACAATTGGTGATCATGGTGTCATTTCTTCCGCGTATCATGGTGCGGCGATAATAATAGAACGAGCGTCAATAATCCTAACACGACGATTGACAACCAAGCGCCGAATGACACGAGCACGAATTCTGACGGCACCAAGCTTGACGTTCCTGCAGCACTGACGATAGGTTGGCATTTCGGACTCTTCTGATATCGATAGCTCGGGCCAATCACCCGAATCATGACCATTGGTATTTTATCACGACGGCACATTCTGTGCTTAATTTTCTGGCATACGTTGCAGATAGCAGTCCACTATATTCCGAGCAATAAACACATAATACACAATCAGGAGAACGGTCGCCATGACTGTTGAGAATAGTCTCCGTATAATCGAAGCACTGGTAACAATGCGATCGAGGGCCTGAATCCTTGCCTGCAAGAGGGTCCTGTGGGGTGCTGGAACAGAACAGGATTACGGATGGCCGATGGGGCAATAGGCTTGGACTGTCAAAGGAATGTGCTGGGTTGTACGGGTGGCAAACAACGGTCATACACTACAACACTGTGAGAGTACATAGCGTACCAGGTCGGGCTCCTCACCGCTCCACCCTCGAGGCAAAAGGGTACGGAGTAAGGACGATATTCTCGCCCTCGTCATGCCCCCGCGGAAGGGTGGTATATTCCACTGAAGTTGGGTGCACAGGTAGCTGTCGTGCCGACGTCAGGCCGAACGCTTCTCCGAAATCCATCTTCGTGTGCCCGCTGAGGTCGTTGGGGACACGGTGTCCATGCCCGTGTGCGGATGGCTTTCCGCGCACATAGTCAAAAAAGAACCTGAAGGAGGTGGCTATCTCCAATGCGAAATCGGCTATAAACGTATGGTTAGACGGTGGGATGCAAGCAGGAACATTGACCATACTGTAGTTGATCCTGGAACACACACATAGGTTAGTGAAAGAAAAGACGCGTACAGATGAAACACGTACGAGTCCCAAAGAGGCCTCCAGATGCTGGTTGGTGGGGTTCCTTGTGGTCTCTTGTATTCATTGGCAGTGTAGGCCCACCACATCAGGGCCGCAAAGAAGACCATCTGTAGCGGTCGGTTAGTCCGGGCGAGATCCTGACCGGCTTCATGGGAAGGAATACCTCGATGCAGATGGCCAATGCGTTCAGTCCATTCGCTATGTTTGTTGTCGTCCAAAACTCGGTGGCTGCTCGTCATCGAGTCAGACAGGTGGCAGCACAGGGCTCAGGACAACTGACCATGGATCACTCGGCCTTCAAGGGCTCCGAACTGTGTGATAGGTTTGTCCAGAAGCAGGCAGGAAAACTGCGAAATGAAACGCTTACCACGAAGGACTGATAGAAGGTGAACATAACGATCAGCTTGATAGCCAGAAACTTGGCCATGGGTCGCCGGCCTTCGAGCTCTTCCTTCATAAGGCCGTAGAAGACGAACAGTCCATACAGTGCGATGCTACGCGGGTTAGCTGACCCGGTGAGGATGAAGTTTTGCATACCTGATGCTCACGAAGTTGATGACCTCGATGTACACAGCCGCGTAGCGCCATGAGTATCCGTCCGAATGGCACAGAACCTCGAACTTTTCGCAGATGATGCCAGCTATCGAGGCAGCTACATACACGCTGATCAGCTATAAATTAATGGATCACGACCAATAGCACGCACCAGGTCGGATTATAACGTATTGCAGAACAGACCACTGCGGCATCCTTCAGCATCAATTTCTGCAAATACAACCCTTTGCGCACTTTGAGGGTATACATGAAATAAGCCTGTTGCCAGACTGTCAGCTCAAGTGCAGAGAGAGGGAACAGAATGCTCGCCTTTGTTGGACGATATCTCCAACAGCAGAACTGCAACACGTCTATCAGAAGAAACCTATCAGACAGCAAAAGAACTGACGGGTATAGGAAGCGGCATCTTGTCTTTGCGTTCCAGCGCCTTGTCAGTCGAGTGTCCGGTCGCAGTTGCGCCGACATATTCAATAATTAGAAGTCTACGTAGGGTCAGTCAAGTTTGGCCTTCGATCATAATGAATACATACAAGAAGGCACTTAGAGTGACGGCCTGGTCTGTACATAAGGGTCAATCTTGAAGGTATAATTCCGAAAGGCACACCTCGTAAGCTGGGTACGTCAGTTGGGGGAGTTCAGTGAGGCAGGTGACGTACCAATTTCGATGAACGAGTAGTAGATGTAGTGTCGGAAAAAGCGGTATGACAGAAATGATATTATGGCGTAGATCGGTGGCATGTATAAGATCCGTAGGCTGGCGAGGTAGTTTAGTATTGGAAGCACGCAAGGGCGGGAGATGACATGCATTTGCCGTTGCTGTGGCCGATTCGTATAGTTTCTGGGATCGAGGTGAATGCGTAGCTTATTGAAAAAAGGGGATCCAGGTTACCGGCAGTGTTGAAGTATCGTTGTGGACGAAATAATCATGGTCTGAGGAGCCGTAAGCTCATGCAAATAGAACGCCAATGGGACTCACCATCGCTGCGCAACCTCCCGCTACTGCCCATCCAATCCTGTGAGCGTTCCAGTGGACGCCATTCTCGTCCCAAAAATTGCTCTCGTCAATGGCCACGGTATTGGGAGAGGTTTTGCAGACCATCTGCGAGCAGCGACACTGGGATGACTTTCAGCTACATCTGCCCTGGGATATTCACACAGCTTGACTCACCTGGTCGTGAAATGCCTCAAGGCAAGGATGTTGGCAGTTGCAGAGGCGCAGCATCAACAATTGGTCACTATGTCGTGGGAGTCAGCGGCTGTTCCATGTTGACCAGTTCCACCACGACTGTCGATTATCGGGATTCGGCATTATCGTATCGCTATACGCTTCTTGAGACCGTCATGAGAGGATAAAGCAGAACATCAACCGCATTCCATGGGAGACTAAGGACTTGGCTCGAACTTGGCTAAAAAGGTTCCCGCGCTATTCCTGAGGCCTTTCTCCGCCCATGGCCGATGTCTTCCAAGACCTACCTAGCACGTTGTCAGGCCGTTGAAGCGCCGTCTCGAAAGCATGATCATTTGGTAAGGCGCCTGTGATGCCTATGGATGCTCTGGGAAGGAGATAGATATCAGGTTACAGGTGTGTGTGCCCTAGGCCGTGACGTCTTCGTCGACATTGCTGAAATAAAACAGTCTCAACATTAAGTGGAGCAAGCATCAGGAATCTACCTGGGTTTTCCCACTGTGAAGTTCCATGTTTCATGAAGCACTGCTGCTCTAGACGCTAAGTTTTTGAACCAGAAGGTACGTATTATCAGCCGTTTATCTGCTTGTGGTGGCCTTAAGGTTGTCGTGCCATCCCAGGATATTCCCTCCAGGAATGGAGCATCACATTCCGATCCCTCTAATATCGTCATTTTCCGCGTCTCTTCCCTCGACGTCGTTCGAGTAAACCTATGGGTCTATTCGGCGCCTACTCAGGTCAAAGGGGCAAGACCACTATCCAATGGCGCATTCTACAATTCCTCAGGTCCCGTCAACGCAAATCCGCTCACAAAGCTGATCCGCTTCCCGTTAATTGGGTGTTAGATATGGAACTGAAGTGTTTCGCGCACGGTTGGATAATCTTGGTCAGCCAGTCGTATTGGCACAGCGTGTAGTTGATGTCAGTGACAGGTGGCGGATCAGTCGTTCTCCACCAATTCTTATTTCCACTTCACTGAAACTTGTGCTTGCAGATCGGTGGAAAGGCCCGTTTTCTCTTCGAGTCAACCAACAGCTCCTTCAAGCTTTACCCCCTGGGTCATTTTCCTCGAATCCAAATGCGGCCCGGTTCCGACGGGGGCTTGTCCACGGAGCGACTTTCTTGGAAGAATCATAAATTGATATACGACGGACGCAGACAGTTCCAGATATTCAGGTACCACGGGATGGACAGTTGAACAGCTCTCCGTTTACCGAGGTACGAGTGCAACTTACATTCTGCCCGCACCCCATCTGGTAACCGCGACGATGTCATTCCGCCAGGCCGTCTGTAACAGCGGTACCGGATTCCTCTTCCGGTGTTTCGGAAATTCCTTAACAGATGACGATCAGGACAGCCAAGATGATTCCTACCTCAGTTTAATCCACTTTCCCCAGGAAATGGCCCTGACGATGATGTGAGGACCTCGTTTTCCTCGAAGATTCCGTGGACTAATAATGTTGTCCTTCGTTCGATAGTGGACGCTGCTGTTGACGCAGTTTGAAGTTCTCCGGCTCCTCGTGCAATTCGGCTTCGTCAACAACTCTAAGGCTGTTATACGCCGTACTCTGCAGTCCAAACTCTGGCAATGCGATCAAAGGGTATCATCCTGATTCACCAGAATACGGCCACGGGAAGCCAAGAATAGTTCCCGAAAACGTCTTGCCGTGCGTCATGAACGATTTTCTGCACATCTGGTCAAGTTATGTCCAGTTGATGTAACGGCCTTCCCGATCTACAGATCTTGTGGGCGTGCCACAGCAAGGACGTCTTGCCCTCCCTCTCTAACGTATGATCTGATTCGGGTCGGTTGTATCCGGGGAAAGGCAACTATCTGCACAGGACTCGATGTTGGTATATATTGCTCTGAAAATCTGTGAGACGAACCATCTTCCCCTCGTCGTTCATAACTCACATCCTAGACGCGTCTTACCCATCTGACACCCGACTATTTGAAATGGACTCCCAAGAAGGCCTCCGACTTCGCTTGATGACCTTGTTGTCACTTTACGACTTGCTCCCATACTCGATTTCCAACCCGCCGAATGGATCTCCACCGCTTACGCTCGAGCAAGCCATCGGTCCTGACGCTGTACGGCGTTGCCTTGAGGCAATTGCAAATCAGAGGCCCGAGACGCTGCCTGCTACTCTGGCAGCCATATTGGTACAGCATTTTCTCAACTTTCCTGAATATCCAATTAACACGAGGTACGCACAGGGGAATACCTCGCGATCCAACAATCGAGGATCCTCTAAGTCGACCCCCCGAGGCTACTACAGCGCCGGCACTTCATATCCAACAAATTATTCGGCGTAGAAATCTGGTCATCCGAGCTGACCTGCGACAAAGCTGACTTTGCGCATGATTTTTATCTTCCTGTGAGTCAACCTTTCCTTTACCACTACTGACGGAAAAGAATAATTCTATTGCGGAGCACAGTTACTTATTTATCTCGTCATCCTTTGGTATACATCATCTAATCTTTATCGGACAAGGCACGGAGAGGAGGTGGACGGAGGAGCTCAACAGGCTGTGCTTAGAGGACCATTTACATAGACTGTCTCCTGATTGGCGGACCCCCGAACGGGTTTGACGGCTTGAGTAACCAGCGCTCTTGATGGACGAATGTGATAGACCTACTGTAATCAGCGTTTTGTATAATCGTTGCAAGTATTTTCGGCTCATCTCGTTGACTCGGGATTTCTTGATTTCGAAGACATTCTCTTTGGAGACTCGGAGGCTGACAAGTGGCTTTGCATTAAATAAATAATGGGCTTGTTCTTGCTGTAGTCACAAAGCCTTCCCGCATCAGACTCGAAGACAACGCCTGACTCGATAACTAACGATAGGGGCTAAGGCTGAGTCGCGTCGCGATGCGCGACTTCGGGTCATCACGTGAAGAAAATGTCTCGCCTGATCCTCTCTCCTAAACGTCGAACCCCAACACGAGGTTTACGACACCTCTACGTTCAGTCCTTTTCCTGAAGCTTTTGCAGGACAGAAGATATCTACACCACCCCAACACCAGCGGCACCGCCATCGGAAAGAGCCGAGTCAGAGAACGTCCTTATTGGTACCACTAATTAGGACCTGGGCGCTACCTCGGAAAGCATACCTCCACCACCTTTCTTCGAGGCAGACTGATGTCTCGAACAATGCCCTCTGATTCTGAGTCGCTAAGCCCGGGAAAGCCAGCAAACAAACGACAGAAGATTGGCTCCAGTGAGTATTCAATAGTCTTGGACGCGTTCAGTTCGCGTGTGTGCTGAGCGCCTCCCCAAGATCATGCCAGTTTCATCGATGAGGACATCACGATGGCCGATGTTGAACCTACAAACACCTACGAACCGAATAAGAACGCGCATCTGAAAGGACGGAGGCGATTCAACGCAGATCTCGCCGACATCGACCAGGCGGCCAAGGCGGGCCTCGTGTTGAACGGCCTGAAAGTAAAAAGTATGTTTCTGGCGCTCAGCCCGATATCATCCCTTACATCTTGGATAGAGGTGCGAGCTGGTGACGACGAAGGATCGATTGAGGTGGTGATAGAGAAGAGCTCGTCCGAACATGTACTCTCGGTCAATTTGCTGATTTCGGGTGCGTTACCACTGTCGCGAGTTTTCTCGATACTGACTCCTTACAGACACGTCTGAATACCCTGGAAGCCATTCCGTATTCTGCTATTCCCCCGATGGAGACCTCTCTGCCAAGCTGCAACGGATTGTCGACGAGATCGCAGAGGAGCCGCCCAGGTCGATAGGGGCAACCGTGAAAACATTGGTGGCGTCAGTAGCTCGAATAGTCCTTTCAACGACACAGAAAGTTCAGGTTCGAGTAGATGTTAGCGACGAGGAATCGGAAGGTAGCGACGACTACGATGCCTTTGAAGACTACGACGACATTGGCACGGCGCCAGTGGAGGCAGACTCGGTCATGGCGAAGCTCCAGCAGTAAGCTCTCTTCCTTTCGTCAACTCTATCTAACTTGTCTCCAGAGATTTTGTCGACATAGTTGCAACTGAGTACAAACCCGGATTTATTCGCCTTAATGGAAACGATTTCGTTTTATCTGTTTCGCTTCCCGCCATCACACTAGCAAACTCCATCCCTCCTCGCGCTTTGGTGGCCTGGGATCGCCGCCTGTTGTCATGTTCCCAGTATCTCACTCTCCTGATATCGGGATTCCGCGGGTTGTACCCAGTGCTGGAGAGTGATGGGTCCTACACAGCGTCTGCACAGCGTTTGGCAACGACCTTGACTTTCAAAGTTGGCCTGAGCGAGAAATACAAGCCCGGAAAAGACCAGGTTCAAGAAGTCGTCCGGAAACACGGACTTATCATCCAAGATGCCGAAGATGAGCTACGCATCCAAGCTGAACTGGAAGCCGTGCAGAAAGCCAAACACTACGATTGGGAAAACGATTTCGCTGAGGACGAACCAATGGTCGAAGTTGTCGAAGAAGTCGAAGTGGCCGACCCTGGCAGATTTGATAGATTCAGCATGAGTAGCTCACTTGAGTCGTTGATGGACGCGTCTTTCCTCAAATTGGTCCAACTCAGAAGAAAATTCGGTCTAGGTTGGGCCGGCGCTGAGCTCCTCCATGCAGAAACCGAAAAATCACAGATGAAAGATCAGGACGTCTTGTCCTGGAAACACAAGGTGGGCATCAATGCTATTGAATAGACGAACTGTCCTCATGCCTCATGTACTTCGGAAACAGGAGATTTCCAACGCTGACCGAGAAGAGAGGGAGCTTTCCAGAACAACGAACCTCCCTCATGACCCTCTTATCGGCTTGGGAGCCGACCAACCTTTCAACTTACCACTCACGGCCTTCTGTTACCTAGTCCGTCGTCTTTCGGTGAGCCTTTTGACACCGGTCCATTTTCGTCGTTCATCCCGGCGGCCCTTGTGTCTAGCTCTGCCCTCGTTATTGCATCGTCTGCCATAACAAACTCCAAACCGACTACGAGGCCTTAAAGCCTTACGTCTGCGATTCGAAGTTGTGCTCTTACCAATATTATACCTTGAACAGAGGTCCATCCCTTGAGGTAAGCCGCTTTCCCTTCTCTACGTGTGGTTTCTCTTATCATCGTTTTAGTATGAGATCATTCACAATCCCCAGACCGTTGATCTTCTTGTTTCATTGGCGTTTTGCTCGGCATCTGATGGCTCGATGGAAGACCCGTTCCCTGTTGGCTTGGGTCTGCGCGTTCCTATACCCTCAGCCAGCGCTGGTCAATACTCTGCCCCTACGGGCGTTGGTTACCAAAATCCACAACCAGTCGAACCCCAGAGGGTGATAACGCCAGGGCCAGATGGTCTCTGCGACTTCGATGAGCTATCGGCCCCGCAGGTGAGAGCCCTTCGGCCAGGTTGCACGAACCCCGCTCACGATGCCTATAGATGAGAAGTGTCATAGCTAAACTTATCAACATGCTGCCATCCGTGAGTGCATAAGATTCGAGGTCGTATCATCATCGCTCAGACAAGAATAGATTGACGATATGAAGAAGCATTTAGAACGGAAGGTTAAAGCAGGGAAGTCAAAGCCGAAGCTCAGGGACATTGACGTGAACATTCTTCCTGCAGCTTGGTCTATACTTCGATGGTAGGCTTTTGACACAATAAAAGGCCCGACAGCAGATGCATTTATCATTTATCACCGCGCAGGTGTGTCGCGTCTTGTACGGCTCATATCGAAGCAATTACCTCAAGCGAAGATATGATCAAAAACTTGGGTTGGTCTTCCGTACATCTACGTCCTAAATCCACTTCGTTGCTCATCGCAACTACAGACCCCACCTGGAGACAATTTAGGATGACTGTCGGTGCTCCAGACGCGGAAGCAAGGTTTAAGGCCGCACTTGAGCAGGCGAAGGAGGAAAGCACCAACGCGCAAAAGTACCCTGTGATCTATGTAAGTATCATCTCGACGTAAACGACTCAGCATCTCAATCCTAGCTAGGCGTTCCATGGTTCCCCGCTGAAGAACTGGCACTCGGTATGTGTCATGCACGATGATCCATGTTCTATACAAGACTCATGACAGACACTCAGATTATTCGCCACGGTCTTTGGTATAAAACGACGGTCCATGGAAGAGCGTACGGACATGGCAAGGCGCCTTTCTTCGATGTCTAGGCGTTTGCTAATTTACATATTATTTTTCAGGCGTTTACCTCGCTAAAGATGCGCAGACTTCGATGAGTTATTACGCCCAGTCTGCGCGTTCGGCGTGGCAAAAGAGTCAATCTGGTCCCACAAACTGCATGGCTCTAGCGGAGGTCGTCAATCTGCCCAACAAGTTTGTAAGCAACAATCCACATTATGTAATCAAAGATACCCACTGGATCATGTGGTAAGTCGGTAGCAGCTTCTGTTTCCTTTCTTCCCCTCTCAGATCTCAATATCCATTTAGTCGATATCTTTTGGTGAAAGGGCTCGCCGATGCCGATGCCACAGCAACTCCCGAGGCGTCCATTATAAATGGCCACGTGCAAACACCGTTTGTGAAGCTCGACCCTCATCACAAAACTGCAGTCAACGGGAAGGCGATCGAAATCCCGGATCCAGCTTTCAAAGTCGAGTCTTTACTCGCCGCCCGGCATGCCGATTATGTTCATCAAGAACCTGATGAAGAGGATCTGGAGATATTCTCACTCAATCCGTCCAAACCAAACAAGTCTCTAGCCACTTCGGAGCCTGATCATTACGGCCTAGATGACGATAATGACTATCGCATTCCGGCGACGTCTTCTAAACCGAAGCAAGTCGCTGTTACGAAACCGAAAGACGACTGGAAGCATGATGAAAAATACGTTACGGAAACACTTGAGAACCTTATGCTTCCTCCCTTCCAGTCTTCTCCGTCGGCGAGCATGGCGATTCAGCGAGAGCTTAAGTCCATGCTTAAGGAACAGGAGATGGCCCCCAGCCTTAGGGATCTAGGTTGGTACATGCCGCCTGACCTCATTGGGGACAACCTCTATCAGTGGATTGTCGAAATGCACTCTCTAGATGCTACCCTCCCTATCGCAAAGGATTTGAAAAACAAGTAAGTAGCAGCTTTCTTATTTTTAATTTGATAGCTCATTCGTTTCTCCAATAGGAAGGTCAATTCGATTATTTTCGAGATTAGGTTCCCCCCTACCTTCCCAAATTCTCCTCCATTTTTCCGTATCATTACACCAAGGTTCCTTCCTTTCATCCATGGAGGAGGTGGACATGTAACTGGAGGTACGGAATAATGGCTAAGGCGTACTTATCGCTAACAATGCTTCTAAGGTGGATCTATCTGTATGGACCTCTTGACTAGCGACGGTAAGTCCCAGTTCTGTAGGAAATGTGAAACCTAGGCCATTAATATGATCATTGACAGGATGGCTTCCCAGCTATAGGTGATCAGGATAACCAAACCGTTTCTTCTGGCTTACTCCCATGTTATGCAGCATCTCCGCGGTCCTTATGCAAATCCGGCTTGCCATCTCGAACCTAGAACCTAGACCTGCTCGTCTCGCTTCTAATTGGAATATGTGAACTCTATCTGTTTGGGCAAAAGAAACGAACCAATAAATCTCTTCGTCAGTTCTTACGGCATCGAGGAATCTTTGGTAGGCTACAAGCGTGCCGCGGCTACTCACAATTGGACCGTAAGTCATCTTCACTGTAGCCGGGCATATATTTAATTATACCCATAGCTCCCACCTGGGTTGGATCGTCTTGTTCGCTGAACAATTTTCATGTAGATAATCTCTTTCGTCGCAATGTATACACTGGATCGATGGCACACGTACTTACACCTTTCAATGAATGCCTTTGCACTTTACACAAAGTAAACTGGTTTCTTCATCAGCGCAAAGGCGCTCATTGGCGGACCGGACGGTCCGTGAGTCACTCACGGGACTAAACACGCGCACAGACCATACTTACCAAGGACATCTTCGACCTCCACGGTCTTCAACGACCCAGCGTTCTAGTTTCAACCTATAACCCTCGATATCTAGCGCGATATCCTGGCTTATTATGGTATGTATACAATAATTATCGGCCAAAAAACTTAGTTCTACCCGATTCATTAGGCCTCAACCGGATCTAGTAGATCGACTGACACGTCGAATGCCGCATCGAAACCCGACGTTAACAGCTTGCCTCCCGAAACCATCGCATTTGCTCATCGTATGTTCGATGCTGCGAGGTCAGGCGATTCAAACCTCGTTTTAACTGCGGTCGATGCGGGCCTTCCATCAAACCTAACGAATGAAAAAGGTCGGACCTACCAGATTGCATGTTTGAGTAGTGACGTACGAAGACAGGGACTCAGGCAATACTTTATTGATGCTCGCGGCCTATGCAGGGCATACAGAACTCGCGAAAGGTCTACTTGACCGAGGCGGAGACCCTAACAGAATCAACGACCTTGGACAATCAATGATAGCAGGAGCCGTCTTCAAAGCTCACAATGACATTGTCCACGCTCTCATGACAAAAGGAGCAGATCCTCGCCTGGGCACTCCAAATGCGATTCAAACAGCACACATGTTTGGCCGCAAGGACTTGATGGAGGTCTTAGGTGCCCGTGACGAAGATTTGAAAGACGTTCCCGGCCCTTTCCCCATTTCAGGACCGTAAATGCCGCACCTATGTGCGTCGAAGTTTCCAAGGTTCGTGGATTCACTCCCGTTCATTAATGCATCACTAAGAACGCTCATCTTATTCTCCAGGTGTGGTCTCTATCTCGAAGTTGGTTATCCCCGATGTCCATTTTCGTTGGTAGCCCATTGAGCCCTCGGGCGCCAGCCAATACCCGCAGGACAGCTCTGCCGGCCTCAGTCTTGTCTTATCAAGAGAAATTAAATGATATCTCCTCTGAGATGTATACGAATCGGCGCCCTCGATGTCAAGCGTCGGGGATACGTGGGCACCCTCGTGTGTTATCCGCCTCTAATGTGCCTTTCATGAACTTGCCATTCACCAAGGTTCGAGGACCCCTTGTGCATGAACAGCATCCCATAGCCTCTCTGACACTTCGTAGAGTGTATTTGTGGATTCTTGTGAGAGGTTCTTCTTCGCTGAGGGGAATGACGAGAAGCTATTTTTGATCCCTTACGAATGACCCCCGGCAACGACATTGCAGCTGATGTTGAGGTGGACCACCAGTCTGCCCTTCGGCCACCAAATCGACGCCATATGCAGCCGCCACGATCAAGATTTCTTTTCCCAAGCAACGCCGACGTAGTATCGCGGAGATCAGTACCCCTTACGAGCGTCGTGTACGGCTTCTGGACAGAATGGGTTAAAGTGTCGGAAAAAGTCGACTGGTGGAGATGGGGCTGCTTTAGGGTTTGTCATTTGAAGAACTGTGCTGAGTGCGCTGCGAGGTTTTTGAAGCACCTCCATACGACCAGTTCCTAGGTCTTTCAATCAAGAGGTGTACTTTCTCGTCCAAGCTTTGCGCAGCCACGTTTCTTAACGTTTGTATTCACAGGCCTTTCAGTCGATGGCGCCATTTTCCTTTCCTGATACGCCGCTTCTTCAAGACTTTCCAGGTTATCAGTCATATATAGGTGCGCTGCTTCGCAACAGCCTGCTTTTAACACCGCTGATATCGAATTTGTGCTTCACAGGAACCTTGTCCGTCAGCACTGCTGTCGCATTCGGTCTGGTAATATGGGATCAGTAAGTACTGCGTTTCCCTCAACATCAGTTCTTCGTATCTTTATGCATCTCTTGAAGCGTATTGCTTCTACCCGAAGAAAAGAGTATCTTTGAATCGCGCAAACGCAAGCAGCTATTCTCGCCTGCTACATGCGCGTAAGTAGGACATTCTCCTGCTCCCGACCTGTACTAATAGCATAAGAATAGTTTTATGGTGCTTCGCTATGCCGCCATCTTATCGACACTCTCAGGAGTGCTATATTCTTCCGTGAAGATAGATCACTGTCAATTCGCAATATCGTTTGGGAATGGTGCAGCAGTCGTTGTCGTGGCTGCATCCGCAGTTATTTTGTGCTGTCGAGTCGGAGCTCTATGGGAATTCGAGAGAACTCCGCTCACCTTTATGTTTCTTCCTTGCATCATTATGGTTTGTGCTTGGGTGAGCACTCGTGCGCTTTTCGTCGTTGTAGGACAGGTCGCTCATTGTGACTATAGGCGGGCGTTGCAACTCAATTCAGAGCGGTGCAGGGTTTCAACCCTCCTTTCGGTTCGGGCTGCCAATTCTTGTCACTACCTCGCTGGGTTCCTGTCAGCTATGCGTCTTCAGCTACTTTTCATTGCATCGTATTCGGACTGGCATTTTCACGCATCATGACTCAGTTTACAGTTATCTCCACCAACACCGGTTTCACCCTCATCAATCGCGCCTGCATCCTCTACCTCTGCTTCCCGGCCGTCGGCAGTCTGATTCTACTTGTCATCGACTCTATCGAAAGGGACGTTGTCAGACGAGCGGCCGCACCCTACCTCGTCTTAATTATGACAGCCTCAGGATCTCGCATCTTTCTCAATCTCCAGTTGCACAACCAAATCATCAAGACTGTCGCTGATGCCAACCATTTTACAAGACATAGCTGGGCCCCCAGCCTGAATGCCGGCCAGGTTAAAGGCGACCGCTCGCAGATACCCCCGTACAGACGGGAACCGACATTCGAACCATCAATAACCACGATATCAGTAGCACCAACGGACGCGCGCTCCACGAAGACTACCACTACATTAACGACGCTGCCGAACTCCCTTGCGACGGCCCCCTCTAGCTTCGCTTCGACATCATACATGAGTGCAGCGCCTAACACACCAACGTTCTCGTCATTCGCCCCTTCGTCCCAATGCGAGAGGGCGCCCAGCATCCCTGAAACGCCCAAGAGGGCAAGGATTACGAGCTTCAAGTCCCTCGCATCGTCGTCCCCAAAAATGGAGGGACCGTTGAAGTCTACATGGCACGGGATCTAAGCCAATGGTGAGCTAGTGGTTTGTTTGATGTAAGGATATAAATACTTTATGGTATAACGTTATGGACTCTTGTATTCGAACTTGCTTTATCATTCGTACATTATAGTTCTGGCATCCATTATGTTCCAAACCAACTCCACGGGCAGGGGAGACTTCATGGGCATCTTAACCCTTATTCGGACACCGCTGGACGCAATTTTTTTCATTGTGTAATTTATTCTCGTTGTCACGCTCTTCACGATGCACAAAATTTGACTATTGTACAGATGGCGGGGAAGGCGCTTGTGTAGGGATGATCGACCGAACTGCTTGCTAACACTGTCAAGTGTGGCACGTTTTAAATTTCTTTGCCTAATCTGGCAGTCCACTATCCATTCTGAGCAGAAAACGAAAATTGGCCAACGCCTCGCCGAGTGGCCTGATGAAGGAAAAACAGTACAAGCCAATTTTTTTTTTCATGATGTCTTTTTAAGTACGACTCAGAGTACGGATCTGGAACCTTGTGGATGGCGTGTCCAGCCAGCTAAGTACTTTGCATATCAGAGCGGAACGAACCCCCAGATGAAGTGGCAGGACCTTATGGTAGGGTACTAGCAAGTGACCCGTGCCTCGCACGTGGGTTTCATAGCAATTCGGCATTAGATTATTTCTGAATATAAAGTAGAACTGGAAAAAAATCCTCCATAGAATTGCCAGTTCCGGTACAGGCACTGGCTGGTAATCAAAGTGGTCATTCTCCTGCTAGAGGGCGTCCTGACCTTTTTTTACCACCCATTCTTGCGCGAGTTAGCGCAAAGTGAAACCTTGTTTCTTGAAATTATGAGAATTGTCCCGCCGCTCGTCGCCAACCTGCGGTTGGCTCCTCGCGGCATCCCGTGGCAAATACCCTCCTGGCTTCTCACAATTAGCGCCATTTTTAAGCTCCATCTCTCCTCCAAGCACCTGCATTAATTATTTGAACCATAAAATATTTAGTTCGACTCGAAGTCTCTTTTCGGATACTGTGAATAGGGGCACTACCATATTTGTGATGTCTCAAAGAAATAGCCCTCCAGGACGCTTCAAAACCGGTGGTTTCCCTAGAGCCTAGTGCCCGTTAGCACGGTCCAATGTAGAGCGACGCCTTCCAGTTGCATACCACCCAGGATATCCAGGATGCTGCGCGTCCCATCACCAGTTGCATATATCAGCCAATCAGAGCGCGTCTTTGTCTCTTACGTTTGTCCCCGTGAGAAGAAACAGCTCACTTTTATTATATTTGATATGGCGGGATAACTGGTTCGATGAAAATAGGGGCTAGGACATGACGTCAGCACTCCCACGATCTGGATGACTTCCAGTTGATTCTGTTTCCACCGCCAGAGGTCACTTTTCTTCAGAGACTCCGTATTCCTGGAATCAAATGAGCTCTATGACTGCGAATTCATACCCAGCTGGGACCGCGCCGATAAAATCAGAGTGTGTAACTTTCAAATTCTTGTCACCTCGAAGAAAATCTATACGGGCAATCTTGTTTAGGTTTCTCGTGTCCGGTCCAGGATACATTGATACTCCAGATGACGACGCGGCGGAAGGAGGTAGCGGAAGTAGCAGGCAACTATATAGGGAATCTCGGAACGACAGAGATGGACAAGCAGGCGGGAAACGAGGGAAGATAACGAAGGAGCAAAAGAAGACTCAAAGAGGCCAGAACAAGGGCCGGAGATTTGGAAAGACGCGGGACGAGTTGGATCTATGTTGGAAAATCGCGAATGGAGCGGTTTGTGAGTATGGGGACCAGTTGAGTTCTCGACGCTGCATGCGAAGACAGGATCTAAGCCCCCTCTAGGTGTCGTTTTATCCATGATATTCCTGGATATATCTCTGCAAAGGCCGCTGATATCCATATCCCCTTTACAAACCAAATTTCGGACATTGCCCCATTTACTCCATCTCAAGAGGATCTTCAAAAGCTGCATCCTGTCTACACCTCCATCGACACGAGCACATCATGTCCGGTCTTCGCTGAGGCTGGTGAATGTAGGTCCGTATCTTCCGTATAGTATTCAAGAATATTATCCTGAACAGCTATTGTAGATACGGCTTCAAGTGCCGCTTCCTAGGGGGGCATGTACGATTTGAACAAGGCGAGGACGGCCAGGCCTCCTTATCGCTTGTCGGTGGCGATGACAAGAAAGCAAGGGCGGCCTTGTCGTCAAATGAGGTCAACTTCGTCGGCGCAGAAGTGCAAAAACAACTCCGGTCCCGAAAAGTGAGTGTTGAATTTTTTTCTCTTCAACTGGAGCCAACCGCCATGCCAGTACCCCGTTCCCATCTCTGACACCTACCTCCGCGAACTTGCCGCTCAAAGCTCCAATGAAGTCAATGGGAAGCCGAAAGCCATCCCGGACAAAAACTCTGTCATTATCACTGAGCCAGAGCAGCAACTGGAGGATATCGAAATGGATACACCTACAGTTCTAGCAGACGGACATGCACCACCACCGACAACATTAACAACATGCATAGACACGCCCGCTGGCCTTGCCCCTGTCGATTCCGATTTTATCGAACAGAAGCGTACTGGGGATTCGTCTACGTCGCAGACTGACACTCCGGATGTTCCTGTTCGTTTCGCAGAGAAGAAAAAGTTACATTGGACCGGGAAAACATGTACGTCAGCTATCAACGGCGAGTGCTACACTACTGATGAAATTTACGCAGATCTGGCCCCGCTTACCACTGTTGGCAACCTCGTAAGCTCTCGTCATGTTTATAATGAAGATGCTCTGAAGATTCTCTTTACAAGCCATTCCGACGATTGTGTGTCGCCCTTGGCGCAGAGATCACTTGTGGCGAGAGTGCGTATGCCATCTTTCATAGATACTGGTCGATCTAACGCAATTGCTTTTATAGTGGGCCTTGCGTCGTCATTCCTCTCTGGCTCAAAGGAAGAATGGTCTCTAGTCAGACGACACCCATCCGAACGCATCTTTGGAGTACAGGTCGCAGGAAACAAGCCAGCCAATTTAGTTCCAACGGCTGAAGTGCTGACGAAGGAATGTGGAGGGTGAGTTTTTTCTGCCTTCTGCCTTGCTTTGGGTCCTTCTTCTTGCTCAGTCCAATCGCAGAGGGATCGACTTTGTCGACGTCAACTGTGGATGTCCCATTGATCTCGTTTTCAAGAGCGGAAGCGGTAGTGCACGTCAGTATCTTTTTTTTTCTATTTTCAACATGCCCAGCCTAAATCTGCTGAACCGCGTCCTGCGTAGTCTTGGACAGTGTTGGCAAGTTAGGGAAGATCCTCATCGGAATGAACCGTGCTCTCGGGGAGATCCCATTGACGGTGAAGCTACGAAATGGCGTGAAGGATGGCAAGAACACAGCACACAAGCTGATGCCACGTCTCGGGTCGGAGTGGGGTGTTGGGGCTGCAACTGTAGGTGTCAGAAGATATTCATATAATCTCAGTTAAGTAGATGACTGGCGGTTGATACAGGTTCACGGCCGGACGCGACAACAGCGATACACAAGATTAGCGGATTGGGACTACATCAAGCAATGCGTGGAAGCTGTTCGAGCGAGGGAGAAAGACGAAGATTGTGAGATTTCTTTATGACGTACTCAAATTGTGTTTGTGTTGATCCTCGACGTTGCAGTACCACCCATTCCTATCTTCGGCGGCGGAGATTGTTTTTCTTCCGCTGGCTATTGGGCTTGCGTCGATTCTTCCGGTGTGGATGGCGTCATGATAGGCCGTGGAGCGCTGATAAAGCCGTGGATCTTTACTGAGATCAAGGAAAGGAGAGAATGGGACATCAGCGCCACGGAGCGGATGGAACTCGTCAGAAAGGTATGCTCGGCTATCCCAAGTTGCAGTGTTGGGTACGCTAGCTGACCTAATCTTCTTCTTCGAATAATGATAGTACGCTGAATATGGTCTCAAGTCAGCATCCGATTGTATCCCTGTGACAATTGACTCACCCTTGTTCTCCTTCAGCCATTTCGGATCGGATACCACCGGCGTTAACACAACGAGAAGATATTTGTGCGAAGCCCTCTCGTTCCAGTACCGTTACGTGCCTATCGGACTGTTGGAAGTCCTTCCTGGCCGGATCAACGACAGGGCACCATCGTTCAGAGGACGTAGTGAGCTAGGTCAGCGGCTTACTATTTATCCAACTCTGAATTTTATTCTAATACGGTGGTTTTTGGACGAACAGAAACATTACTCGCAAGCCCCGCTAGTAGCGATTGGGTCAAGATATCGGAGATGTTCCTGGGACCCGCACCGGAGACATGGAGTTTTACCCCGAAGCACAAGAGCAATGCTTATGGAAGTGAAGAAGGGCAAGGATGATATGCTGATCAAATCTATCAAAAAATTTGAGCCGACTTCGACTGGACGCTCGCCTTTCTACCTTTCGAACCAACGCAACAAATCTATTTCAACTCAAACGGCGTCATTTACCACGGAAGCCTCGAACCATCAATGTTAATGAATTGTCCTCCTTCATTCTCGCGAGTGGCGTTCTCGACGATGTCAACGAGGAGAACGGTGGCATCGTTGGGCTTCGTGACTTCGTCAATGCTGACCTTCTTGAACGTATGGGTTGGGTCCATTTCGCGACCCTGCTCGTCTGGCGATTCCGTTGACGACGGCGTCATAAGTCATACACCACGCTTGACCGACTGACACTTACACAAGTTCGTTCGGACGACGTGGGGTGAGCGGGAATACGACTTCCAAGGGCAACTTGGAATTAGAAAACCATTCTCTGAGTCATGGAGGAATGCACCTAGCCACTCGTTTTCGAAATGGATTCTACGGGTGATATAGTTCAGGAGAACCTTGGACCCTCCGTACACGATCAAGCCGAATGGAGCCGCTGCAGACAGGCTTCCCGCTGCAGAAGAAATGGGGATAAACTTCTGCATCAGCTTCCTCGCCTTAAGCAGGCCAAACATCGCTTGGAATAACACAAGAGATGTCATCGCATTGACCTGTAGATTTGGTAGATTGCAAAAGGTTCTGCCTTTGACTGGGCGAAACGTTCATGCACATACATTAATATGCTCTACGACTTCATGGTGCTTGACTTAGGACATGAAAGCGATCGTTGACCCCATCGCTGAACTTTTTTGAAAATTGTCAATTCAGTTCTCAAATCATAAGGGAAGAGAAGGCATCGTACCTGCGTTCGGGATAACCGTGTCGGCGTGCCCACGTTTATCTCGAATAATTTCTGCCAGGGTCTTGTTGTTCTCTTCATCCGCGGCGACGTATTTAAACATCTCAATTTATAATTTTTTTTATTTTTTATTTTTTATTTTTTTATTACATACAGTGCCGGCGGTCACACACGGACATTTTTTTTTTTTTGAAGTCTTCCACGTAGGGTGTATTTTAGACGTACTCCAAATACACAAAAAATAGGGTGTTCAATCACAGTCCCTTGGAGGTAGGCTACACCTAAATGACCCTCCTCCTCATCATCCCATCCCTCGACCCACCGCCTTTGGTTGAAGCCCCATTGGGCGCCGAAGCTTCCAGCTGTTGAGACAGTTGGTGAGAGCTGACCAGTTTCCTTGCGGTTCGCCGAATCTAAACAATCAAGGGCTTCATGGTGTTAGTCCTTCCCAGCATTGGGCACCAAAGCTTCCAAGCTGTCAGTCGCCTGCATGGTTGGTGTGCCGGGCCAATGCCATTGACGGGGGCAGCACATGTAGGTGCTAAGTACCCCTAACGAGATTGGATGGTTTGGAAGTGAAATGTTGAAACGAGTGACTCTGCCTTCCACTATGCCTTCCACCCTCTGATACAACCCCACCCGCTTTCCTCCCCCGTTTCCCAAACCCTAAGGCACGCATCCTGTAGCATCCCCCTACCATGTGAAGGCGGTCAAATATCTAGTGTTTCTCCCAAGGGGTGTAGCCGGATCATAGGCAACATGGCTGATGATCGGAGACTAGCCTCCTCCCTCCATGGGTTGCCTTCCATGACTAGGTTGTGCCCCCAAAAGGTCTGCACGAAGCAGAGCAAGACGGTACATGGGCTGCCTGTCAAGTAGGGCCATCAGTTGCGCTTTGAGGTTGTCGTAAACAAGGTCTTCGGGCCTCCAACAAAGCGATTGGGATACAACCACGCCTATGCAGCGCCATACTGGACAAAAATACAGATTTATGTTTTTTCTTCATAAGTCCCTCTCCAATCTGTCAGATTCAGGCAGAATCCGTCCAATACGGTCCCAATCCGCAGGAAACACACCGATTAGACCCGCTTCGTTCGCCACCCAAAAAAAAAACCAAAACCCCTCCCGATCTGCAACACATCGCCCTGATTCCGACCAATTCCGACCAAAACCATAATTTTTTTTAGATCGCAAGGTCCCAAACGGTCGGATTCGGGACGAATCTGACCACACATGAGGGGAAAAAATCACTAGATGTTTCTTAAAAAAAGAATTGAGGAGGAATCTGTACGAATTGTCCCGAATTGTCCCGCATGGCCAGATTCCTCCCGTATCGGAACGATGGGTCATAAAAAAAGGGAGGGTCGATCTGGCCGAATCGAGCAGAGACGGTGCGAAGATGGCGGATCCGGGAGGATAGCGTCGGTCTCGGGACGAAACGGGAAGATTTGGTCAGATTTGGTCAGGCTCCGGCCTAAATTAGGGTTTCTCATAAAAAAAACTTCAATCGTGTATTTTTGTCCAGAACGGACCGTCATACACGCCGAAGTCGCGATCTTCTCCGATAAATAAGAAAAGGTGTTGGTTTAATGAATAGATAAGGAATCAGGCAATGAGTGGGGCCCGATGGAGGACGATGCCGATTAATGAGAGGAGTTCGGTAGTGTAGAGCGCGGCCATGGTGGGGGCGACGAATTCCCACGGCCGGATGGTGATGGTTTAAAATCAAGAAGCGTCGGTCACACCATCATTCCTTGACACAGTTGACCTCCTGGGTGCAAATCATGCTCAAACTGCCTCAAAGTTGACATGGATATGTGTTTTCACTCAATATACACTGTAAATATTCTTGAGGGCATGAATGGCATTGGTAGTTGAAGTATTCGAGAAATACCCCAAAAACAAGGCACTCTGTTATGGATTTGCCGCATTGAGTCGCCGCCGGCCTTCGTAAATTCACCCAATATCCAGTATATATCGGGCACATGTGCACCTAAGATTTGGGCAAAGATTTGCCCCGCATCTGGGTTCTGGACGGGAGAAATCGACGGGACATCATAAAGGAGGCTGAAAATTGCATCATTTCGATTTTCCCACCCGCCACATTTCGCAGTGATTGAGGTGTGTCAAGGAGCGAAATGCCATCAAAATATGTCCGAAGCTTCGACAACGTTTTATTCCACAACAGCACCTTCTCCGCCCTTCAAATCTTGCATACACCATCCGAGAGGGTTACAGAATGCGGAAGTAATTTTTTATTTGACAAAAGTTGGACCAATGGCTGGTAAATTAGCAGGGTCCATAGGGTGTGACAAGGAACGCCGGAACACTGTAGACCTTCGTCAAGGAAATCATTGTAATTCGGAGTTGAAAGTACGGGCGCACTTGGGGAGGGTCCATTTTATATGAAGAGAGACTCTCACGAATGACACTGCTTCAATGACAGTCTCCCAAAAATCATGGGAAATCATAGGTGGCCATTTGGTAAGATTATTCATGGTACAACTATACATAGATCAGGATGGCTTGAGAATGGCCCTAGTGTGTTCGCTAACGATCACCGGCCACCCAGAGAAGAACGGCGGTGAAGTTCCACAATACTCTTGACTAAGGTTCATTGTCCCCCAATGAGTTCTGGGACATAGTTTAGGCTGCTTTAGGCCGCCGTTTCTAGGTTATTTTAGCTGTTTCATTGTTCTATTCCCTGTTCGTGAACTCCGTCCCTATTCTATGGATGGAAGCGAAGAGCCTGAGTCCCGTACTGATCTAACCGGCAGCATCGTTCCGTCATCTCTGCACCGAGGAGATAAACCTCCACTCTGATACTTCATCGAAAGAAATAATTCAATGAAAATAATTTTGAGTTGGAGTTGTGCTGGCGACTGAAGGCCGAATATTTAAACGCTAAGATTTACCCAATTAAATAACGTCCGTTCGTCTTAGAATTTGACTGGAAATCCACCATTGATAGTCAGATCAGGTTCGACATGAGAGGCAGCTGGCAGCCGCTCAGTTTTCGAAATTTGTACGTAGAAGCTTCGAAGCAACTCGCAAAGCAGGGCTGGTGCTGAACGTGAACTTCGAAACAGATAGCATGTGGGGGGATCCAGCGCCAAGCCAAGCGCCACTCTAAACTCTTCCCACGCTTGTTCTATCTCGAAGCGCTCGACTGAAAAACATTCAGCGGAAGACAAAATCTTTGAAATACTCTGAACATATGGCATTTAGAGTAGCGTATGTTTTCATTGTTCCATGAGTTTTACCAAGGAAGCTTTCCAACATCAACATCAATGAATTCGCCTCCGTCCTTCTCACGTGTGGAATTCTCGATGGTGTCCACGATGATAACAGCAGCTTCGTCGGGGGTTCGCTCACCCTCAACCTTGATTTGCTTGAGGATTCCAGTTTTGTCGAGCTCTCTCCCTTTCGTGACTAGCGGCCAATGGGATTGGGGCCCAGAGCTGTGTATGTAGTGGACTTACCCATATCTGTCTTGACGGGACCTGGGGAGAGGGGGAAAGCGACTGAAAAGGACGAGACTTCAATATTCTCGGGACTGTGGCAGAGTCACTCCGACATACCAATCCAATCGTTCTCAAAATGAATCCTCCGAGTGATGTAGTTCAACAGAACTTTTGAGCCTCCATATGCTGTCATGCCGAAAGGAGCAGCGATATACGACGATGACAGGCTTGCGCCGGCTGTAGAAATTGGGATGAACTTCGGAGTTGATTTACTCGCTTTTAGCAAGTCAAACATCGCCTGGAAAAGGACGAGCGACGCGATCGCATTGACCTGCCCGATAAATGAAATGGGATTGATTGTGTAGACACAGGGTGATGATTCCAAAATACTCACGTTAACGTGCTCTCTCATCTCGTCAGCCGTTACTTCGACAACAAAACCCAAGGTGGTGGCCATACCTGTGCAAATGCACGACAGACCATTACTTATAGTCATGTTGCGAAACTCAGAGAGGAGTTATTCACACCTGCATTGGGGATCACAACGTCCACATATCCGTACTTTTCTCGAACGGCCGCTGCGAGGGATTTGTTATTCTCCTCGTCCGCAGCGACGTACTGCACGATTTCAACTTTGGTAGGGAATTTGTGCGAAAGATCCTTCAGGTCTTGGGAAGTAGAAGGATCACGAACGGCGGCGTAGATAGCAACATCCTGATTCCTCAGTAAGAGCTCCTCGACGAGCGCCAATCCTAAGACGACATAAAAGACGACATAAATAAGCTTGATATCCAGCACAGAAAGCTGGTTCCACACACCTATTCCGCGGTTGGCGCCAGTTATAAAGTACACCTTGAGCACAGACATGGACTCAGTCTCTGCGACGTGAAGTACTGTGGCTATCAAGGTGATTGCGTCCTTGAGAAGAACAAGGATGTCCAGGACTTAGCTTGGATTTTATCATCCCCGATGTCCTGTCATTTCGACGTGCTCGTCCTTCTTGGCCACAATGATGAAGGCTGTGCATGATAGACTGAAAGGCCAGGGGATGGCGTAGCGCAATGTGTCCGAGTCTCCTGGCAGATGGCCCTGCGCGTCGATAACAGACAGATGGCGTGATGCGATAGAAAGAGCGGCAGATCACGCTGTGGAGGGCTGGCCGAATGTAGAAGCAATTTCGCACGATACTTTATATACATAGCGCCCAATTCCCACACGATATCCTCTAGCTCATGCACCGCGACCTTTCCTTTGCAACTCATCACTGTCATTGACAGTGGACATTGGACAAGCCTCAAAGTTCAAGCCCGCACAGCGTTCTCCCTGTCTCGTCTCAGGTTTCAGTTTGAGCGAGCGACTAGCAAACCCACGATTTTTCATGACTTTTTTGCACCATCCGCCCACCTTTTCTGTATTGGACCGGACTTGAGTTTCGGACCCAGGACTTCAGACAAACCATGGGCGAAGCTTTCAGTGGCCTGAATACGTGCAGACATGACTCAAACGGCGAGAACAAGTCAAGACAGCAGGAGTCAGAATTGGAGACGCAGATTCGTTTGCAATTTCGGGACCGTCCTGTGTCATTTTGCCTCATGATGCCCCCGACGGCCCAATGTGTGTGCACTTATGGGTCCACGACGGTTGATGGCTACACAGCCCACGATGTATATAAAGGCATCTGGATAACCCCCTCTTCCTTAACACCTCCAGCGAAAAGTCCGTCTGCGTCAGCATTCGAAGATGACGACAATTCACGATATACCTCCCGAGATCCTGGCCGCCTCCTTCGAAGTTGGGATATACACCTGGGGCATAGGGTACCTACGCCCGCTATCAGATGTCTGCCAGGCCTGGCGCGACACTATCGAACATACCCCACGACTTTGGGGAATCATCTCCTTTACGCGGAGTCGCTCTGCTGCTGCCCTCCTCCGACAGCTCGCGAAGGCGAAGAATGCCCCACTAGCCCTCACTATCGAGCCACTTTCGATTACGAGGAGCGCTAGCAAATCAAGCATAAGGAAGGACAAGGAAGAGGTCCTCAAGGCGCTTTTGGGGAGGGTCGGCGGATGGGTCAGCGCGGATGTCGGTACGGACTTGTTAGCAAAATGCCGTTGGGAAGATATGGCGAATTTGGAGAAGCTGATTATCAGGCGTGGTGGACCGCAGAATCAGGACCCAGGACCTTTCTTCACCAGCGAATATGAGTGCAAGAACCTCAAACTGCACTCCTTCAGCACTACCGGCGGCGTTCCCAGCAGATGGGTGACGCCATTCCTCAAATACTCCCCCTCCATCCGGTACTTCTCCTTACACACAGGGAACAAGTCACAAACTTATCACACCTACTGGCATTCCAAGCTTCACGACATCCGTGATACTTGGACGTACCTTGCGCTTGTCCCAAACGCGTACACCATCGAGCTAACAGACCTCGCACACACTGCTCCTGCCCACATATCATCGCCACCGCCTATACTTTTCCGCTCCCTTCGCACACTACGCCTCCAGGAGGTACGATACGCGCCAGCGGTGCTCACGCCGCTCGTCGTGCCGAATCTACAGACGCTCTCTCTGGAGCACACGCGCCGCGAACGAGAGGCGTGGTCGTGGCGCTATGCAAACTCAGACATGGACGCAGACTCTGACCACCGGCAGCATCAATTACTCCTCGCACCTGTATTCACGCAGTGGAGTGCGCCAGGGTCAGTGCCGGAGCATCTACACACGCTAGAGCTGAAGGATTGCCTCCGCTCTGGCGATGTGCCCTTCCTTGTGCGGTGGCTTGAACGTCTGCCTCACCTCGTGAGGCTGGTGATACAGGATGACCAGGTGGGCGCTGCGAAAGAAGGACACGATGCAGACCCCGATGCCAATCTCTATCGAGCCCTATCCTCTCCACGCATGATGACATCGCAGAAGGACCTCAACGGGAACTTGCCGATGGGGTGGTTGTGCCCTGAACTGATGATACTCCACCTCGATACGGACAATGCGCTCGACGACGTTGTCTCTATCGCAAGCGCCCGAGGCGGTAAAGTCGTTCAACTATTGAAACCGCCAAGCAGTATGCCCTCTCGCCTGCGCCGTATCGAGACCCGCCTATGCCCAATGGCCGGACCTGAAGATGTACAGCTCCTCCGCTCGCTCGTTGACCACATTTCTTGTGTGTGCACCAACTGTGGGCTCATGCTTGAATCGCTGAGTCCAGGTCAGTAGTGTCAACATTTCCATGTCATGACGACTGAGCAGTGCCGGATTTCAGGTTAAGCCTGAATATGGTTGGAAATCCTGACACTTTCAAAAGTCTTCCAGTGTACGCCGAGGTATGAAGGATATTTCCAATGGCGTCTGCGACATTGTTGGGATGGTCCCGCTACACATTTGCCTTTGGGTATATGCTTACTTGCATGATTTTGTCTGATCAGCGCGATCTAGTGCATGGCATCGTGTAGTGTATATGCATTCTCTTCATTGTGTTGGCTGGTAACAAGGAAATTCTCCTCCCATACTCTGCAATCGTGGACCAACGTCTCATTTAATTCCGGACACTCAGACTTGATCCAACCAGCTGTCTTTCCCGGTTCTGTCAAAGGAAGACATGATTAGACATCGGGGATACTAGACTGAGCATGGTCGCCAAATAACGGCCTGAAGATCAACATTTTAGGAATCAATTAATCAAGTCCTAGGCAAGACCAGCTGCATGATTTAGTGGATTGATTCGGCTCGATTTTCTGTTTCAAGTGGATTGATCAATGCTCAAGCGCTCACTGAGTACTGATTCAAGATAGTGATTGCGCAAGTGGGATGTAAATACAGGAATCGAGCTCACTTTCAGCGATAAGCCTACATAAAGGGACCAGATTTTCTTAACAGACTCTGCACTGACATCCCGAAGTTGATGAAGATGAAGACACAGTCCTCGAGGCTCACATCCCGAAAAGGCGAGATGCCACCCAAGAAAAGAGGACGACATAATCATTTACATAAATGCAGCTTGCCTATCGACGTCCGACGCCGCTCGAAAATTCGAAGACCCTTTCAGCCTATCTCGACGTCAATGTTGAACGTTAAGTACTTTAGACCTCTTGAGCGCTGGCTATTGTGAAGGTCTAGTGGTTGCCAAGGTGAGAGAGTGGTTCCGGTGACTGGCGGGTGATTGATGGGGGTGATGGCGTGTGAGCCAATATTCTCACGGGGCTCCGTCCCCCACGTTCTTGTTTCTTTCCTCCCTTCTCCCTTTGTCCACGTACGTCGAAGGCTCCTCGACCTCAAGACCTCTACATCGAGCTCGACTGCAAGCTCTTTCTTTCTTTTCCCCCTTCCACCCCGCACATCTCTGCGGTCACATTCCTTTTTCTGACGAACCCTGAGTTTTTTTTCGCTCATCCGACACTACCAACCCCACCACCATCTTCAAGAAAATGGGCTCTTCGCACATCCACGTCGTCCACAAGAAGCACAAACGGGCTCCAGAGGCTGAAGCCAAGCCTCAGGCAGCCCCAGTATTGAAGCGTGCGCTGTCTGGTGCGTAAACTCTGTACCTATACCTTATCGCCGCTTATGCAACAGGGGAACAGATTGCGCGACGGGGTCATTCTACAAGTCGCCTGAGATGGGTGCAACCGTCGACTCAATGCAAACCCTCCCCATCACTTGGGATCCTACATGTTTGCCTGACAAGAAGGCAATCGACGTCTACCTCTATTCCCCTGGCTCGGCCAACTCTCGCATTCATTTCTGGTCGGAAATTGCTCTCTCGCGGGGTTCATACGATCTCGAACTGAAACCCCGCTGGTGGAACGCAACAGCTTCCCAGATACTTCAGATCTCCATCGTCCCAACAGGAGAACCCGCCTTCAACTCGACCTTCATCGGTGGACCAGTCTTCACCGCCACGTACACAGCACCCGCCGATGGTAGCGTCCCCAAAGCTGCTGATACCACCTTGTCCGAGTACCCTGTCACTTATGTGAACGACCTCACCAAGAAGAGCGGAATGAACCCCGGCAAAACGGCGGCTGCTGTCATCCTCCCATTGCTGTTCGTTGGTCTGTGCATTGGTGCATTCATCAAGATGAAGCGTTCGCGCGGTCAGGAGAAGCGCAAGGACTGGGCAGAGAAGGTCGACAAGCGCATGTCGACGATCTCTACAGACTGGAAGAGCGTCTCCGCCGCGGGTGCAAATGCCGCCATCCGCAACTCCATCGCAGTCGGCGCTCGCAACTCGTCCTTCTCATTCGGCGCCATCCGCCCTTCAAGCACCTTCGCTGTTGAAGGTGAAGATGAGAAGGCATCCATGAGGCAGGCGAGGACTACAACAGGTGTCGGCCTCCGCAACCCCGCTTCACTCACCGGTACCGGCGAGCGCGTCTCGAGGGTGTCGTTTGCGCCCGACACACGGGTTTCAAGGGTCTCGTTCGCAGACTCGCGCCCGTCGACCGAATCGCGACGGACGCGGGCCTACCACAGCGCATACGTCCCCCCTGTCCCGGCGTTACCCGACGCTAAGGACGATGAGAAGAGCAATGTGAGCAGCGATGCCGAGGGACGGTTCTCGCCGAGGCAGACACAAGGACCTCTTACTCTCAGCCCAGAAGACATTCGCGCTCGCATCACAAATGGGAAAGCTGGAAAGACCAACGGTGCAGGCGATTTCGACGAGGTGATGCCCGCTTTGAGCAGTAGGTTTCTTTTTTAGTATCTTTACGTAACCATCTTAAAGTTCGCCCTACAGTGATGCGTACTGGCAACGACTCGGCTGGCGATGAATTCCTCTTCTCTGGCCCCGCTGCCCCCGCTATGCCTTCGCCGACCCACCCTAAACCTATTATCTCTGCTCCCCAAACCATGAGCCCACTTAGCAGCCCGGTCATGTCCACGATGCCCATGCAACCCATGCCTGCCAGCGTCATGTCTCCCGACGATATGCTCCGTGCCTATGCCGAGCGCAAGAAGATGGCTGCCGGAAAGCAGGGCGGTATCACCGGTTCCTCGATCAGCTACCCCATGCCCGTCGCCTCCCAGTCGACAGGCGGCAGCGGCAACAGTAGGGCTCTGTACGGCGCGACCGGTGTAGTGAGCCCTACGAACACAGGCAACGGCGCGATGGCGCAGGCACAAGATGACGCGTACGGAGGATATGACCTCGGTATCACCCCGACGGAGACCCCGAGCGCATACCCCTTCGGACACCATCCGAATGGTTCGATTGGCGTCGGCGCATATGGCGGCGCAAAGTATGCGATTGGAGACGACGACGACGCCGACGTCGCCATGGCGGATGTGGGCATGGCGGGCCGAGGCGCATTCGGTGGTCAGCACCAGGGATACGGATACGGATACGCGAAGTAGGCGGTGAATAAATCGTTCCTTCTGTGCTCCTGGTTATCTGGTTCCTGTGCTCCCTAGTCCTCCGTATTCATCCTCCCGGTCTTAATCCGCTGTGCTTTTATCTCGCCCCATCGTGTATGTACTATTGAACCCCCGCCCATGCCTGTCGTTACGACCCTTTCCGACCCGCTATTTCCTAATCGCCCTGGTCCTCGGCTTCCCTTACCTTCGGTTACCTTCTTCATACACGTACTAGTGCCCCCACTTCGTCGCTCTCGAGCGATGAGGATACTCACTCGTGGTGATGACATGACTCTTTATCTTTATCATATACAATATACGTACCATACATCTACGTGTTCCTTATACCACTGGTTCCAGATTCCCTTCTCTATTCTTCCCCTTCATCTCTGCCTTCACTTTCTCCTTGCCTTTCCCTGGCCATCTTTTAACCCCTCACACATCACAGTTTGCCCGCTTTTTAACACTTGAAAGTTGTGGCTTGGTCCATACGTATACCTTTTGACACTTTGTTTCTTTACTCCTGTGAATTTAAATTCAGGGTTGTGTTGGGTGTGTATATTTTTATCCACGTACATCATTGTAAGCTCAGCGCTTATCAGCTAAGTGACTAAAGCGACTGGCAGGCGCAATGGCTCTCAGCCTCTCCATCTGGGTGGAGATGGTTGAACATTCATCTAGAAATTGGGACCTACAAGCGCCCACAATTGATTGAGCCAGTGGTCGTGAGGAGATGTCACTTTTAAATACCTCAGCCCGCCAGGTCTAGCTTTTTCTACATCACTTGGCCATTGGCCATTGTGTTCTCGAAGTCTTTCCACAAAACTATATTTATTCAAGATTCACCACTGGTATTTATTTACACAATGACACACTCTAGACCTGACGGATCACACTTCTGTGCTGGCAAAAACTAATCGGATATGTCCCTGTATAGATCTCGTAGGACGCAGTCAACCCCGTGCCATCGCGCTCCTCTTCTGCACAAACTTTGTAAAATCTCCTCCGAGCACCTTGCTCAAGATATCAGGCTGATGTCCTCCCTTCCGTTCTAACCTTACAATCGTCCCATACGCTTCCTGAAAAGAGGCTTTGACATGCTTTATTGCGTAGGCCTTTGACCCCATGTCAATGGTGGTGTCTGCAGGATCGAATATTGAAAGGAGATATTGTTGTGTGGGGTAACGCGAAAAGAGGTATGGCTTTGGGGCGTACGCAGGAGTAGGCGCTATTTTAATGGCCTGATTGACGTAATCGAAATCTTGGCCGTAGAATTTGAGAAAGCCCTTCAGTGCATGTCCTAGGTCTGGTTCGGTGCCGGTAGTTGAAGAAAAGTAGTTTCCATGAAGGGAGTTCTTGGGGGGAGAGGCGGCCAACAAATATCCAGGCTCTGTTCTTTGCATGAGATCCTGGAATGTGAGGGCTGGGTTTGCGGTGCGGGAGCTGCTCGCGCTGCTAACGGACAACCCGCCAATGGCAGCCGTTAATGCAGATAGATCGTCGACGTCTTTGTTGTCCTTATTCCGACGCACGAAGGTCTTCTTCGTCTTTGGCCACTCGAGTTTCACCCAAGCAACCACCATCCACACCAACACATACGAATTCAGCCCACCAGTGTACGTCGTTCCGCACCTTCTAATTGTAAGAAACATCTTGACCACAGTGATGAGTGTCTTTATGAGGTCAACATCCGTCTTTAACCACTTCTGAACGGCTGCCGTAGCCAGCACTCCGTGGGTGTCTGCAGCGGTAAGATCGATGTCGATGCCCGTTACTTTGTCCGTGATTCGAATGAGAGGAACAGAAGCCTGCAGGACGTCGACCACCTTGCTCGCAAAACCTGATGTTTGTATTTTTGCGAGGATTATGCGAAGATCGGATTTGATGAAATAATTGCTCGAATATGTGGATCTGGCGCTTGTCGTGTTGAAGGTCAGAACCATGTCGATATCGGAGGTAGGGAGAAAGAGGCCAGTGACATAGGAGCCGACAGGCTGGACAGCAACGCCCATACGGAAGGATCGTATGAGATCTGTGAAGCGTTTGACGAGACCATCCCGAACGGCCAGTTCGTGGGAGGTAGGTTTCATGTACTCCATGAACTGGACTATTTCTTCGTGAAGTCTTCAAACCAGAAACGCATGCATGATCAGAGTTCGATCCCCCTTGTTATCAAGTTGATACTTACGACGATTGAAGCTGTGTGGCGCACAGTGTCGTTGTGGTGGCCGTGGTCCTGGGTGACCATGGGGCACGAGGAAGCGAAAGCGTCGACCGTGGGGCGTAGTCGCCGCAAGGCGGTATTGTCTCCCCGTTATAATCACTGTAACTTTTTGTTCGGGTGGGCCTGCCCTCCATTAAATTCGCCTTGATCTCCGCGCCCATCGTATATGCCATGGTATACGGAATCACCGTGGAAGGAGAGAGCAAGATATTAGGGCTACTTATCGCCAGATGCCAACACCATGCTCTCACCACGATCCATCCCACGAGAACTCTGATAGCGGAGGCAGAATATAGTGCTGCCGCAGAAGGATGCTTCCGGTTCGGGCGAAGTCCTCGCACGAGAGGTCTGGATCGTGACCTTAAGGTGTTTTTACGGACCAAAGCCATTATTTTTAGATGGACCAGCAGTTCAAGGCAAGGACAAGGATATATTTCATTGTATCAGTGATCATAGAAAGGTGTCATGACCTTTAAAATTATGACAAGAGACAGGCCTGGCCAGGCCAGGTACCAAATACTTGTGCGAATGGCGGCCAACCGGTGAGACCGGTAATTAAGCGCCCGGGCGCCACGCGGTCAGTGTTAGGCGCCCGGAGCAACTGGATGCTTGGAGCTACATTGAAGCGTTATGGAGAAATCTGACGAGCTCTTACAAAAACAATGATAAATCTCTTGCTAATGGAAACCGGATGCTAAATCCTATAACGACGACTAGTAATAAAATATATCCAATAGCTTAGATCTAGATGACAACACCGAAAGCAAATTCACAACAGATAAATATGAAGAAGTGATGGAGAAAAATAGAACCTGGCCATACCCAACAGAAGACATAAGGACGGCCTAGGAGTCCTCACCATCTTCTCCCATCATCTTTGCAAGGGCGTCGCTACCCTCCTCAACAGGCGCCTGATACACAGCAAATGCCGCCTTCTTGCCCGCTCCCATAGCTGCGTGGTCCACTCCTCCATCCAGCTTCCCCTTAGCGCTGCTTGTCCCGGAAGTGGCTGCACTAGCGCCACCAGTCCAACCATCGGCGCGCTCAGCGAAGACTTCAGGGCTACGGTCGAGGAGAAGATCCAGATCCTCGTCGCTCAGAACGCTCTGTTTCCCTTCTTTCGTGTCGGGCACGACCTCAATCTTCTCTCCTTCCAAGCGAAGGAGGGAGGCTGCCAGCTCGGCTATCGTCTCGCGCTTCGACGTGCTAGCGTCGACAGCTGGCATCTTGAATTTGCCTGAAGATAAAGCAGTCAGTAATGCTGTAGAGACAGATAAGGGGTTTATTGACCTTTCGCGATGACGAGCGCCTCCAACTTCCTCTTCTCTCCAGCACGCTGCATGATCTTTGTCTCGACTGTATGTGCGCTGACGAGCCGGAATATTAAGACAGGCCTCTTTTGGCCGATACGATGAGCTCTGTCCTGGGCCTGTGCGTCCATTTGAGGATTCTGAAAAAAAAAATCAATGGGTGGTCAACGTTAGCTACAACATAAAGCAAAGGCACATACCCAATCTTGGTCGTAGAAGATGACCGTATCGGCTGCGACGAGGTTGATACCCAACCCTCCGGCACGCGTACTCAGCAGGAAGAGCCGAGGTGCACTTGGGTCATCGCCGCCAGTCTGGAACCTGTTCATCTGCTCTCGCCGTTCAAGTGGTGCCGATTTGCCGTCTATACGGCAAATATTCCATTTCATGAAGTCGACAGCCCAATCCTATCACAAACTCATCAATGCACTTCGTCTGAGAAAAGCAGGATGAAGGATGCGTACCTCAATGATATCCAACATTGTCGTGAACTGGCTGAAAAGCAGAACTTTATGGCCACGCTTGAAGAGCTCGCGGAGGAGACGATCGAGGATCATCATCTTTCCGCTGGCGTTAACGAGTTCCTCGCCTAGGATGGGTTCCATCGTTTGAGGGTCGATGGGCCAGTCGAACAGGAAGGGATGTGAGCAGACTTTGCGCAGCTGCATGACGGTGTTCTGTAGCTTCATGTTGTTGACTTGCTTCGCTAATAAATGGAATTAAAGAGTCAGCCAAACAGCAGTGCCAACAAGAAACAGGAAGCGCACTCTTCGTTCGCATCTGGTGTTCTCGACCAATCTTTGCCTCCTCGGCTTCTTCCTCCTCTTTGGTCTTTACAGTTCTGACGCCGCGTTCGTCGACCTTGTCACTCTCCAGCATGTCAAAGTACTCATCATCATCGCCGTCAACGTCATAACTCTTCCGACCGTGTTTCTTCAGCCTTCTCGACACCCGCCTCTCGTTTTTCTCTTCCTCTTCCTCTTCCTCCTCTTTGGCAGGCTCTTCTGGCGTTTCCTCGACGACTTTCTGGGTCTCAGCAGACCCAGTTCCACCTTGGATCAGCCACCGCCTGAGCCCACCGTCCAGAACACGATCGTAGGCCTCTCGCTGCCTGACAGATAAGGGTGCGTACAGAACGTACTCTTTCTTCGGCGGTAAGCTCATCTCGACGTCGACCTTGAGCCGACGAAGGAGGAAAGGCTTGAGGATAGCATGCAGTGTGGAGATAATTTGTGATGACTGTGATGTAGGCAAAGCGGATTGGAGTTCGGGTAGATTGAACCACTCTTGGAAGGTATCAATGTCGTTGAAAATGTCAGGAAGGATGAAGTTAAGAAGAGACCAGAGTTCGGCGAGATTGTTCTGAAAGAGAAGGCGTTAGCAGGAGACAGTAAAGGTGAAACGATGAGCGTACATGAAGAGGTGTACCAGTTAGAATCATACGCCCGGCGCTCGAGTACTTCTTGATCTCCTTCATGAGCCTGCAGTCCATGTTCTTCAGCCGATGGCCCTCATCAACGACGATGTAACCCCAGTTGTAATGTTGAAGGTGCATGCGGTCCTTGATGATCATCTCATATGTAGTGAGAACGACAGGGAAGGCCATCGTGTAATCCTTCTCTGGCTCGGGCGCCTCTTCGTCGACATTCATGCTTTGCTCCGCCTCCGTGCTCTTGCCCTTCTCATCGTCGTCGTCGTCAGATTCGACGTAACGAGCTACCGCCTTCTTCGGCCTGCCACTTTTTCTCCGTCCAGTCGGTTCATCCACTGCTGCTTTGGCCTTCGGGGGCCGTCCGGGCTTGCGCTTCGCCGGTGCCTTTCGGGGCGCCTTTGCCTTGGGGCGCCTCCCAGGGAGAGCCATGACAGTTCGCCTGAGTTCAGCACGCTCCTCGGGCGTACCATGGTAGATAACCACGGGAATCTGCTAGACATGAATGATATGCACGGAGTAAGAAGTTCAACAACCAACCTCGGGCGCAAATTTTTTGTACTCGTCGTGCCAATTGTGAAGCACACTAAGCGGGCAGACTACAAGAAAGGGCTTGAGATTGCCGTGTTCTTTCAAATACGCGCTGAACGAGATCGTTTGTAACGTCTAGATAAAGCTACATCAGCGGGACTGAGCTTCTTTTGAGACGCCTGACATACCTTGCCCAGTCCCATCTCGTCGGCTAGAATACCCGACATACCATTCTGATCCAACGAGACCATCCACTGCAGGCCTTCAAGTTGGTAAGGCTTCAGTTTCGCGCCAGTGACGAGCGATGGTTGCTGGAAAATTGGAGACTCATCATTCTCCTGTTCTTGACTTGTCGCGACTGCTTGGCCATCTGCGCCTTTCTTGCGTTTGCCTGCGGGAGATGACTGCAAGGCGGGACGACCGCGTTTCTTGCCAGCTTTCGCTTTTTCTGCTTGTCGCGCGAGCTGCTTGGCCTTTTCTTCATCCATGCGCTCCTTCAGAATGCGAGAATAAATGGCAGATTGCTGGAGAACAGTTTGAAGACGCGAAAGACGCTGCTCAGTCTCCTGAAGAGTTGTTAGCAGGTATCGTAACAACGTGTCGCATCCTTACTGTCTCGTTCAGGGCGACAGATTCTTTTGGCACCACGTCCTCTTCCTTCATGCTTTCATTATCCTATAAGTAAGTGTTTGACTCAAAAAATGAGAAATATCACCAAAAGAAAAGTCTTACCGCGATGCTGTCCGCTACCTCGCTACTCGCATAGCTATAGTCTGAAAGGGTGTTGTTCGGTGGTGAAGGTGCAGCACTTGTGCCGGGTTGAGGGGAGGTGTCAGGCGTAGAGTGTCTTTCGACATCAAAGTCGAAGTCTGCAGGAGGGGACGGTACAGAGGTCGGCGAGCTCATCGTAGCAGACGTTGAAGAAGTTTAAGTTTCAGCTCTGACTAACGCTTGACGCGTTAGTGCCGACCCTAAGGTCGAGGTCGGTCACGTGTAATACCGGTCCGTGTTCTCCACTCCACAGACGCAATCTGGACGCATTGATGCTTTCAATGCATTTTTTATCGACTCGTGCAGGTAGCAGATAACATCTGGGTGAGGTTTCGATTCCCTCACCATCAACTTCTCTAGAGCTTATAGAAAGCTTTACCGCTGCTCAGCTAAGTTATGTGACCTTGTTTCTACGAATCCACATTTCTTGATCTTCTGTCAAATCGGCAGCAAATATAAGCTAAGGGTCGACGCTCTTTGCCTCCATCTTTGTTTAACGCTCTGTTGGTGTTGATCAACGAAAAAGGCTCACATCTACTTTCCAACATAGGGCCGGGTGCTGTCCTTGGGTGATAGCGAGAGGCTCACAAGCCTTCAGCTTAGCATTTGGATCAACGTAGAGAGGGTCTCTGGTGCGCTTTCTCTATCTGACCTGCTGGTCCTCCTTAACCTCCTTACGCATGCCTTCCACAGAGATCCGGTGCTTTCCTGATTACCCCAACAAGACAATTGCGGCCTGAAGACACCGCATACGCGTGGGTTTCCTGCGGACAGGTTTCAATACAGTTGGATGTCCAACAGCAACCCGCGAACACGCACCGCAGTCCACCATAGCCGTCAAGTCCTTGGAGAGCAATGTTTTCCTAAAGACATGGCCAACCTCCTCGACCTCCCTACGGAGCTTCTCCTCCAGATCGTCCGGGATGTGCAGCTCAAGCCCTTGGACCTCTACTCGCTCGCCATCCTTTCCAGGCGCCTTAACTCCATTGCCATGCCCCTCTTCCTCGCCTCCAGGTCCATCCATGACGCACAGAAGCAAGTCATAACCCTCGTCTTCGATGACGATAGCCGACCCCACGCACGGCACTACGTCTCCAATCGACGATTCCTCCACGCTCATCCCAATCGCCAGAAGGACCCCATCGTCGAGCTAGGAGCAGCCGCGGGTTTAGTGGTCGCCTTCGACCTGACTTCCATCCGGACCCTAGAGTGCACCTTCCCCCAATCTTTCACCGACATATCCGCTCTCCAACGCCATTTGGATCGCCTAGCCACTCTACTATCCCGACTGACGTCGATCGACTCCCTTACGATCCACTTCGAAGGAGATCACAAGCGTCGACACACCAACCTAAACCCGCTCTCCGCCGTGCCCGTTCCAGTTGCCGATGTCATGAACCGGATATTCGACTCGATTGCGAGAGCTGGCTGCAGAAAGCTTACGTTGTACAACAAGAGCCTACACGCGAAGAATCAGCCCGAGTTCGAGACGGAGGTGCCTTTCGAGCAGACCGACAGTCTCATTCGTGCGGTTATGGCCGCCGCTAAAGAGCGCGAGGAACAACAAGAAGCGGAGAGGGTTGTCCAAAAGAAAGCCATCTTCAGTATAGCCCAAGCGAAGCGAGGTCTACGACGAATCAAATCCCATCTTTTTGACTCCTCGAACTCTCCAGATCCTCCTGTACCTCCGCCAAAGGAAATGGACAAACTCTACCCCTTTTACCGTCCATCGTCTACACCTTCCAGTAGTCGACTTGGGAGTCTCCACATTCAGACACCGTTCGCCCTACTTCCTCGGTGCCTGCCAGCGATACGAAACCTAATCCACGCCTCCAAGAATACACTAACATCGCTAACACTTTCTCATATCATCTTCCATCGAGAACTATTCGCAGCATGTCTTTCAGCTCTGTGTTTCGACGAAAAGAACGCTATTACTCATCTAACCATCGTCCATTGCCACATAATTTCCACTCATTCTTTCCTAGACCTGCTATTCTGTTTTCAAGATCGTCTAGAGTATCTCGAATTCGATCGCGACGCCGCTGCCTTTATCGACAGCACACATTACCGTCAAGAGGACGTCCTACACTTCCACGAGCTTGCGACTCTTAAAGCACCTCTCGACTGGGTCGTCTACTTCCTCAAGGCCGAGCGTCAGAACGCGAGTGACGACGGCCACATCACCATTGCTCCTTCATTACCCAACCTCTCCTCCTTAACCATTTACTGCCGCTCCCTCGTCGCCACCTACTTCACCTACGAGGCCTATTATCCTCTAGTAAATCCCATCCTGGAGAAGCTGCACACCCGCTGGGTCGGTTCCTCGCAATACGCCCTCCACCCACGTGTGGATGTTACTCTCGATGTGCACGTCGATAAGTCCAAGTCGTGGCAGATGGAAATTGACCGCGCTGCGTTCAACCTCATCGTGCCCTATGCAAGCTCGAGCGGGCGAAGTCGTGACTCCCGACAGGCGCGGCTCGCCGCCTCGCTCGACCCGGCGTCCGCCACCTTAGCGGCCTTCGCGACGCACCGCCGCGCTCCAGAGCAGTGGATGCTCGTTACCGGGCTGGACGTCTCGCCCACTCTGCCTCCAGCAGACGCCGCTGGCGCAACTCTCCTCACACAATGGGTGACGACGCTGTTTCCTGGCGTGCGCCAGGTGAGGCTGCAGCCACCATACATTCCCCAGTTCCTGCCCCCGGCTGAGTATAAACGCACTCAGAAGGAATTCGTGGTAAGGGCTGGGAGGCTGCTCAGGAATGCGCTGTGCGAGACGCGCATCGATAAGGAGCTCCCACTTCCAGCCTGGCGGGCGCTGAATGTGGGCCAGTGGACTGTTCCGTTGGATGATTAAACAGTGATTTCGGGGGCAAGGGTGGAGGAGATATGTCCTCCCATAATCTGTCACTTATTCCGCTTGAGTGCTCAGACACTGGAATACTGTCAACCGTCTTTCAATCCGTTGGCATCTTGCCAGCGGTCTCCTGAGACCGCCAGTACATCAAGAAATCATTGCTCGTCGTCTTTCATCCATTCACTCTTATTCATTTCTACCTCGGCACAATTTACTCATCAAGATCTACAAGTGGTTTCTTTGGTGTCGTTTTCGACATTTTCTAGTGGATTGTTTTATTGATGAACTCACACACCAGGACAATGCTATCAAGCAAACAGCTATCATAGATGCAGCATACCTCTAATTAGACGCACACACTGCCGGCCTCGTGGACTCCATAATTTGTGGGTGCAACCCGGGCCTCGAGGATGGCACTGCAGTTGACTGATGCCAAACAGTCGCTGATACAGCATGCTTTCACTGCATCAGCAGTCCGATCTACAAAAGGGGCCCTTGCCACGACAACCCAAATTTAACTGCACCCACAGGCCGTTTCTATGTACTGTCGTAGAGCCCGAAAATGCCTAGAATTATCACGCTGCAAGCCCAACTCGCGTCCAGTGGCTGTCCTGGAGGTCAGAAGTGGGATTCATTCATTGGACTTCTCCGATTCCTCGCCCACAAAATAGACTTCTCTCGAGTTTGACAAGTGCCACTACTGAGCCTTCCTCGAGGCTGTCCATCGTTTCGCCGTGAAGGTTACCGCAAAAGGAAGTTTCGTTCCAAGGAGCGGCGCACGAACCGAGGTGATGGTCCCTACGGCGTTTCACCATGCATCGCCATCATCCCTTGTGTACAACCGCCCAAGCGCTATAAAAAGCAGGCATTCAGGATGGTTGTCTCCCAGTTCATACTCACCCAGGCTGGCCTGTTCGAACAACTTCTAGTCCACGTCTCCACACGATTTTTTTACGACCACACTTTTACGACCTCTTACGACCACTCAACGCTGCTCATCGCATCTCAGCAAACGGTCACCACACACTAAACACTTCACATAAACTTTCTACACGTTAACCACCACCGCACTACATCTACAACATGTTCTACCCCAGCACCGCCGGTAGCGTCGTCTCGTTTGCCGCCCCCGCGTCAAGAGGTTACTACCCCGCCGCGCCGATGAGCGCTGTCCTGCCGGGCCAGCATTACTACCCGACCATGCACGCTGCGCCCGCGTACCCCATGAGCGCTGCCCCGGTCATGATGCAGCAGCCCGCGTACGGCTACGGCCACGCCATGCCGGCTTACTACGGCCAACCCACCGTCATCGTGGGTTCCGCGAGGAGACACAGGCGCTCCCGATCCCGGGGTTTCTTGGGATACCTCTGAGCAATTGACCGCTCGGATATGTAAAAGAAGGAAGTTTTTGTTTTTCAGGTTCAGTTTTTCTTTTCAAGGTTCAAGATCGATCGATTGGAAGATGGGATATGCCAAGGAGCGCGATGAGGGTTGGAGGATGGGAGAAGGTACTTTAGAAAATCATGTACAACAGAGATGGAATGGGAGCGGTCGTCTCGGACGGCTCAGGCTCCGTTTCGCGTCTATTTTTGTGAGTGAACAGCAGGATGAAACAGCCGATCCGGGAAACTCTTCATGAGCGCTTTCAGTGAGAACATTTCGCAAGGTCCAGCGTTGAATGACAGGGATTATTGCGCATACAATTGACGGGTCGGGGCATGACGTTGGAGTACATACAGTAAGATATGAAGTGGAGATGAACGTCCATAAAGCACACAATAGAAACACATCCTCGAGGGCTCTGAATTGGACGACCTGGCATTCCGATCGCTCAGTCGCACACGAGGCAAGGACAACAGAGAGCAGCTGTGCAGCACCCCGCAAGACTATCCACAGAGTGTAAGAAAGGGAATGCAGTGTCAAGGGAAACCAACGCACCATGCACAGCAAGTACCACAACAGCCACATCCGTCGTCTCTCCGTTGTTGCACTGGCACCATAACCATCTGCGGCTGGGCCTGATATTGCTGCTGGTACATTGGAGTTTGATATGTAGGGCTGGGATACGCAAGACCGGGCTGGTAAGGATATTGCGCTTCTAATTTCAAGCTTGCTCGACACCGCGATCTCAGACTCGTCTAGGCAGAAGAATACGCACGATTGCTATAGACCATGCCGGGAGTTTGGGCTGTCTGTACATAGTACGGCTGGGACATGGCTATCGAGGAAATGAATTGGTATCGGAGGCCCTAAGGTTGTCCTGAATTTGAACGCCAATCAGGCAACTTGAGGGGGGAGATGAATGAGGTGCACCTCTTACTGCGGGGTAGCTCCGGTCCTAAGAAAAGGAAGACTTGTAAAGGAGAACAGCACCGGAACTGAGTTGTCCTTTGTAAGATGCCCGACCGTGCTGCGCGGTAAGTCTGGGCCCAGCGGCGTATGGCAGGTCACGCAGTATTGTGTAATGGTCCGAGTCACGTGTAATTTTTTCAAAGTAATTTGGTAGAATTTGGTCCAGAATTATCGCAGATTTGTCTCAAAAGCAATTTGATCCTAAATTTTCTTCACATTCAAACTTCTGTGACGAAGATACTTTCTTTCTCCAACATCGATGCAGCAACCGTGCTGCATTCTCAAGTCGCCCAACATACGGCCTCTGAGAGTAACGGAGCGATGTCAGAAGGATTTATTTTCTTGACTTCAGAGGGTGGGCTACCATTCTTCATCTCTTGACTGTTGTCTCAAGGGAAGGAGTCAAGAATGAACATATACTTTCGAAGGGGGACTCGTTAGGTGAGTATACTGGGTGCTCCTTGCAGCTCATAATACTCATTTTGTACAATTGTGCTTGCGTGTTCTTGGTTACTCAGATAATACCACTGTTCAATGGACCATGCGTTGTTCAAATTCTGGCTTAACCGCTTCTTTGCTACCACCAACTTATTCACACCTGGGCTGTTCCTCGCAAGCGCCCTTCACATTGCTCCAATGGTCCAATCTGACGTGTTCAGGAATTGGTCAGAAAGCGTGGCCTTGGGGCATGTATACCAGGCCTTCCGGAGATCGGGGAAGAAGGTGAAGCTATCGGCAAAACCGAGCGGAGTCTCCTGTGAGTCTCCTGCGTCGATACAGTAGAAGATCGCTTCTGATATTTTCTCAAAGACCGGCGGAGATGGGCTCTCGTCGATGCCTCCCATGGACAATTTCCTCGACTTCAAATACTCCCCGATCCCCCTACAATCCACGGTGGTGCCGCTGAGCATCTCGAGAGCGAAAGAGACTGAGTGGCGACGATGTGGGTTCTCAACTTGCTGCAACGTGTCTCCAGCTCGCGATCGATGTCGACGCCCAATGCACCTTTGGACCGACGAACACTGGTGATGCATAAACAAGACGTCGAAGTTGCAGGCGTGCTTGGGAGTTGCCTATACGATCGTCTCGTCACAGAAGGCGGAGAATGATCTCGTTTGGTGAGAGATCCCTCTCAAAGAACCCGTCCCACCAGCCTGTTCACAAGGACTCGTCAATCAACGCTATGGTGCGACCAATGGATAGCTTCTCGAGGTGCGGCAGGAAGTCGTCGACAGGCCCGAGCATAACTTGATCGCGAACTCGATGATCCGCCTGTTCGCGAAGATCTCCCTGAACAGGGTGAGGATGATGTGCCTCTGCTGCCGCGAGAACATGAGATATGCAAAGCTGAGCGCAGTGAACTGTGGACTTTGTTCCAAGAGCTGCACCGTCCATAGAAGGAAGGGGTGTTGGAATGAGATCATGGAGTGGAGGCACAGTGCCGTTAGATTGCGCCTACTGGAGAGAGCTGGGGATACTGGGCCTATCGGCGGACAACGACCTTCCACCATGGGCCGGACAATTCTTCTACGCGAGACTCTACCGGAAGCAAATTTCCTTCAGCTCTTGCTCGGAACACTCAATAAATTCCGTGCAATGCGGCTGGGACGGACTGCTGATCGTTGACTCATCGATTCGGTTATCCCTCTTTCTCATGCATCGAGATGGCGCTCGGATATCCACAGTAAACATATGTCAATCCTTCAGCACGAAGAATGTTTCGTCAGCTATCCCCGTCCATTTTGCTTCTGCCATGAAGCTGGTGTCCATAGTCAATCACTGACTTACCGGCGAGCCAGGCTGTGTTACGCAGCGCTACCCAATTTATGGACATCGCATCCCGAGGTGAACATCGGACAATCGACCAAAATGCCATGCCCCATCGAAGTATTTCTAGCCTTCTGTTCAGAACCTTTAAGCCGCTCGGCGAGTGCCTGAGGTGTTACAGCCACAGCCACAGCTCCATCCTTCACTTCATCCAAGTCATGATAAAGAGCATGATGTGCAGGTACTTTGTCGCTTTTTTGAGGTAGTCATCGCAAAGTTGCACTGCTCGATGCCATGCTCCGCTTGTGCAGGAACGCCTTGCGTGGATATAAATAGGCGCTTAGACCTGTGAGAATGACTTTTCTCTTCCTTTCCCCGCCATTCCCCGCTCACTCTTTCTCTCCAAAACCCCCATGAAATGGCCTTCTTCGAGGCATTATTTCGGGTCAGTATCACGTCGAGCTCGCCCAAGCCAACCAAAGAGTCTTTCGGCGAGACGCTCCCACTTGAACCTGTGCCTCCCACCCCTCGACGAGTCAGCTCCAGGAAGCCATCCGTATGCCAGAAGAACCTCCCGAGAAGAATTTTGGTGGAGATATTCAAGATAGTTTGCAAAGTGCCATGGACATTGTCCAGTGACCCCGAACTTGAAGGTGGCATCGCCTTCCCTCCAGTGGCTTTGAGCCAGGTCTGCTCAGCATGGAGGAGAGTGGCACTCACGACGCCGGAGTTATGGTTGTACATCCACATCTCCCTCCCAATTCACCCAACCCTCAACCCTTTTCTCTTGGAAGAGTGGAGCCAACGGACAGGCTCGGGGCCAAGCGCGGGGCTGTATCTCTTCATCGCCGAGAGCAAATCACGGCCACGCCATCGAGCCGAATACGGGCGTTCCCTCCAATCCCTCCTACCATTCTTCCAGAGCTGCAGCATTATCGAGCTCGATCTCCCAGGCAAAATGACCCTAACGACTCTGATATTATCCTACCTCCGAGGGCGCACACAGTTCAATCCCACGGTTATTCTTGGAACGAGGACCGCGAAGGAGGCAAGAAAACGCCATGCATTCCTTCTCGACCGGGCTCATTCGAGCTTGACGACCGCCAATATCCTGCCGGACGTTTACCAGTGGCAGTGGAATTTATTCCGCACAGACAGCGGCCACGCGACCAACGATCTTAGGGGGTTAGCCAAAAATGGGTTGTGGACCCATATCACCCATGTGGACCTTTACGATCCGATCGATCTTCCGACGTTCCACAACCTACTGCATGCGATGCATAGGTGTACCAAACTTCAGAGTCTCCACGTTTGGAGTCTACGAAATACAAGTGCCGGCGCAACGAGGGAAGTCCAGGCTAATGGAGAGATGCCGCAGTCATTCTACAAATTCGACAACCTTCACACCCTCACTCTATACGGAACCACCAAATTCGGCCTTATCCTAACTAGCTTAATCATTCCTTCTCTCAGAAAACTGGAGCTTTCATACGATAGCTCCGAGGAGATCCCTTATTCAGAAGCCAGCACATTCAATTCTTTCCTCTCCCGTTCCTACCAACACCGCGTCCACTTGAATTGCCATCTGCACACCCTTACCCTCTCATTTATGAAGGGTATCGTTGACGAATCCACCCTCAGCGACTTCCTCACTTCCCCCCATCTGTCACACTTGTCCGCGCTCAATTTAACAGCAGATATCTCCGAGAAGATCATCGACCTTCTTGCAGCAAGACGCGGATTGCGATCGATTTTTATGCCTAATTTACGAGATATACGCCTTAACGTCTGCACAGTTCGCAATGCAAGGCTCTCGAATATGGTCTCTTTCCGACGCAACGCACCAGGTCCTGGGTGTTTGCCTTTGCAGCGGGTTGACATTGTCGCAGAGAAAGCAGGCAAAGCAGATCGGACAGAATTTAAGAAGATGTTTGAGCAAGGGCTAGTGGGGAAGTTCCAGTCTTTGAGTAGGCCACACGAATAGTCGCAATGTGATTATCCTAGTATACGAATAGAGAATATAGTAAACAAATGGATGGGTGAACGAAATAGAAGAGTAGATTTTTTGAATAGATAGTCCGAATGAAGTATAAAAAATAAAAAATAGGCACTGTTCGGAAGTCCGAAAGATCTCTTTTGTCTAGGTCCATCCGCGCCAAAATTAGCTCGGGAGGAGACCAACAACTGCTGCGCATGCAACGCCGAGGACCAGAGCAGCGACCATCTGGATACCTGCGGAACCGCTAGCACGAGAAGCATCGCCTGTCTTCGTGGATTCGACCGCGACGCCACCCGAGGCGGTACCGGATGAGCCGGTGGTCGAGGAGGCAGTGGTCGTTCCCGCGGAGGAGGTGGAGTTAGCGGCCAATGTGGCACCGGTGCCGGCGATATCTACAAAAGGGATGCATTAGTTCGTTGAAAAAAAAAGAGAACAGCGCAGAGACTCAGTACTAACATTGAGCAAACGAAGGCATGGTGAAGCTCGTCTCGATGTAAGGATGGGTGATGTTCATTCCAACGGCGACAGGGACGATGTGCTATTTCGTGTCCGGGCGTGCACGCAAGAAGCGGGGGCGAAGGGTCAGCAGCGGTACCGTTGGGAAAAGGCGGCCGAAACACTTACATCGAAGGCCTCCTTCAGCTTCGGATAGTACTTGATCGCTTCTTGCATCGTGAAGTCGTTCAGCTCGTGCATCAGGATCATCGTGCCAACCTAAAACGCATAAAAAAATGTCAATTGAATTCCATAAATTCATTCATTAGTCGCGAATGAGTGGCAACGCGTCGCGCCGAAACGTACAGTGTCGAAGAGCCCCTTCTTCGCATCGTCTATCATGTTCTGGTACTCCTGGTCGACGCTGTCCGAGGTGACGCCTTCCGTGACGCCGACTTGCCAGTCCTGCGAGTCATACTGCCATAGGACCGTGCGCAGCCCGAGGCCGTTGGCGATGGCCCGAATGCGGTCGTCGACGTCACCGAAGGGGGGCTGAAGTAGTTTGAATTAAGAGCGATAAATCGCCAACGGATCAGAAGGGAATTAATTGTGGATGAAGTTAGGAAGTTAGGAAGGGGATGGGCGTTACTGAGGAGATGAGGCACGCACCCTCCAGCAGGTTGGCGTGGCGCCTGTGGCGAGTCGAACGGCTTCGAGCTGCGCATTGTTACGGTGAGATCAAAGAAGGTCTTAGACAGTCGGGGTTCTGGTGTTGAGGTACACTCACACCTATTCCGTTTGTTAATGCATCGTAGATGAGATAGGGATAGGATACTTACTGTAGTACAGCTCGGCGAAGGCATCTTCGCTTTGAAGAGCAGTCACTGAAGAACAAAGGTGTCAGCTAGCAGGTATTTCAGGGAGAAAAAGCGGAGCTTACTGTAGTTGTGTGACCAGCTGTCTGTAACATGTTCTCAGCATAGAAAATCGAAGAGAGGGCAAGGAAATTTACTGACGAATACAAACTTCGTGGCCTGAACAGCGACATTTGATCAGTCAGGTAGGCGACGCTAAAAGATTAATCTTTAATGCCCACCGTCGTTAACTGCCCTCGCGGCTTCCAGGGGCCAGTCCATGACGTTACTTCCAATGAAGAACATAGCTAGAGAAATTATCAGAAAGAATCTTCAAATTAATTCGGGCCAGTCTTACTGGCTTTCTGGTTTTGCTGAGCAAGGTAGTCGTAGAAGGCGTTGTGCGAACAGTTCGGGCCATCGTCGAACCCATAGCCAAGGGTACGAGGCTAGAAGTTCACCGTTAAAATTGCATGCTTAATCTAGCGAGATCAAGCATACCTCTGGCATCACCGAAACGTCGGCGGGTACATTGTCCACTTTTGGGTTTGTGCACTTCGAGACCGTCCACCAACAATCCGGGTCATCGCTCCCATAGCTCATCCCAGAGAAGTCTCCTTGGGGGGTACCCTTCGCACAACAAATAAGCACCAGTAATTTTTTATTAGGCTTAATATCGATAGTGACACACCTTCGGCGCGATATCGGGCACATTAGGTTGGATGGCGGCCCACTTTGTCGCGGCATTAGTGTCGCCTGGGAGGATACTGGCTTGCTGCCAAATCGAGGGGAAGGAGGCGAGCGCGTCCGCCACGGGTTGATAGCGATAGGCCTCGCATTCTTGGTCTGGGTCTAAATTGAATGGAAAAGGGCGGGAAGGGTTAGATTGATCTTGGAACAGGGCGAGAAGGAAGGAGCGCGAAGGCGTCGTTGGGACCCCGCGATTAGGGAACGAAATAGCGCCGTGGATAATATTGTCCAGATGCGACGAAGTAGGCGCCAGCAAATAGTGAGGGCGTGGTCAGGATCCAGTGTCCGTGGCTCTTAAGTCGCTCCCCATCGTTCCCGATGCCCAAGTATATGCATCCCCCAGCGAAGCAGCGACATGGAATGAAGAAGAAATATGAACCCACCTTTGATAGACGCCTCGCCAGCCGCCGAGGTACGATCCGGAGTCGAATCTTGGGCCTCCACGACGCGTACAGTCGAAAGGGCGACCACGCCTAGTGTGAAAATGGACGGAAGCATTGAAACAATGGATAGATAAAAGCTGAGTTGGCAGGTGTGGCTGGTGGGGTAAAACGATATTGAGCACGCGACTTTATAGACGAGGAATCGACGCGACCCACTAGTCTGATCCCGAGGCAATAGCAAAGGTCAAGGGGGGGTTGATGATGAGGGAAGGGAAAGGAAGAGTAGAACGAAATGTGGCGGGGGTTGAAAGGAAAGAGAAAGAAAGACGATGGGTCCACAAGGCGGCTTGCAAACCCTAGTTTTGTAGTCCCCACTCGTGCGTTATTTTTAGCCTCGATTGCCTGAGATGGAGGCTGGCATGCCATTTTTGGCCTTTTCCGTGTTCTCCTTGGTGAAACGTGAAAGAACGGCCATGAATATCAGTATTTTACTTCTTTATAGAAAGAGAACGAGTGTTAAATGTCGTGGTACACGAAAGCTCACCATTTACCAGAAGAAGCATGATGGCCTACGCAGTGGCGTGGGGAGTGTTGAAGGGCGCGAACGGAGGTTGAGCGGACTCAGAGGACTATAGTCACTCGAGATGCCGAGTGGCTGCCATTTACACGAGCACTTCATCAATCCCAAGCTGTTACCATCGGTCGTTTGTCGCCACAGTATCCTTTTTGGGGATGTGTCATGTTGGGCAAGAAGGGAACAAGCTTCATCCGGAAGAAGTTGAGTTGCCTTCGGAAAGACACAAAACGTAAGCCCTGATACACGATGGGCAAACCCTTTGGAAGAAAAAAATCATGGAGTCAACCCAACAGCGAGGCATGCATCCCAAGTGTAAAATGGGATAAAGAAGCAGAAAAAGAGTACACTGAAGGGGAGTCGAACCCCTGCCGCTTGCTTGGAAGGCAAGCATGATAACCGCTTCACCATCAGTGTTACAGCTGATCAGAGAGCTGAAAAGCTATGTACGCAAATTGCCGCTCGGTGGTCTATGGCTGTGCCTGATAACGCACCGGGACAGTCACCGTCAGGGTCGCTGATCGTCAACTTCACTTCTTGCCACCACCATGCAGCACTTCGGCAAGGCAGCACTCCGTGTCACCAAAAACTACACGAAAGGATACTCGGACACGCAAGCAAAAGTTCGCGATGCCACATCTAACGATCCTTGGGGACCTTCGGGCACACAAATGAACGAAATTGCCCAGCTCACCTATAACCAGTTTAGTTCCCTCACACATACATCCGGGAAGCGCCCGTTGAAACTATGGCTTTTTCTTCAGGAACGACTTCATCGAGATTATGGAGATGCTGGACAAGCGTCTGAACGATAAAGGCAAGAACTGGCGGCATGTGTTCAAGGTTAGCGTCATCCATTGTACCCATCTAGGAGAAAGTTGACTGAGAACCGCCACCAATCGATTTCAGAGTCTAACAGTGCTGGACTACTGCCTGCACCAGGGCTCAGAAAACGTCGTCATCTACTTCCGCGATAACGTCTACGTGATCAAGACGCTCAAGGAGTTCCAGTACATTGACGAGGACGGCAAGGACCAGGGTGCCAATGTCCGACAGAAGGCGAAGGACATCACCAACCTCTTGCAAGATGAATCTCGCCTCCGCGAGGAGAGGAGGAGCCGGGCCTCTATGCGGGATCGTATGATACGTGGTTCGGGGGCGGAGGGTGCCGATGAGATGGGCATAGATGACGAGAACGCCTCCAGGAGACAACCCGGAACGAACGGCCTCGCGGGCAAGAGACCAAACCGTGACGAAGATGAGCTCAAGCGGGCGATTGAAGAAAGCAAGAAATCCCTTGCTCTGGAGAGGCAGAACGCCGAGGATCGGGAGTTGAATGAAGCTCTGAGGCTGAGTAAGGAGGAGGAGGAGAAGCGAAAGAACGACGTCGAAAACTCGAATGCCTCCGCTCTATTTGACGATTCTAACCAACTGTGCGTCGCTGCGTCCTGTCATACAAGCTCATTTATCCACCCTTCCTTTATTTAATACAGCCCGCCTCCTAGTGCTACGTCCAGCAACAACCCCTTCCCTCTCATCGACCCCACCCCTTATGCTGTCGGCCTGCAACCCCAATTCACAGTCCAACCCCAGTTCACTTCCATGGCCCCGCAATTCACTTCGTTCAACCCGTACCAGCAGCAAATCCAAGCGGAACAAGAGGCCGCGCAGGCCGAGTACTTGCGTCAGCAACAAATGTTCATGCTCCAGCAACAACAGGCGCAGCAGCAACAGCAGCAGCAGCAGCAGGAAGAGTGGTTACGGCAACAGCAGATGTTGCAGATGCAGCAACAACAGCAACAGCAGCAGCAACAGCAGCAGCAACAAAGTCTCTTCATCCCGCAACAGCAGCCCGTCATGGCGCAGCCAACTGGTTTCGGGTACGTGCATACCTTCACACCTTTCACACCTTCTCTATCGATTACGATTGACTGACTCTGTGCATTGCCTTAACAGAAATAACAACCCGTTTGCGCCAGCCATGTCCTCTTCCCCGTCAGCCTTCTCGCCGTCTCCTCAGCCTAACCAGCCGACGTTCAATCTCCACGGGACGTACGACACCCACTCGAACTCGCAACTCTCCTCCTTGTCTTCGTCACCACAGCCACCCCACTCGTCGAGTGTCCAGGGCCGTCCAATCGCAGTCAAGACAAGACAGGACGAGGACGGGAAGCTCGCCTCGCTGTTCGCCGAGCGCGAGAGTGGGCAGGACACGTTCGGCAACATCGGTGCTTTGAGGTGCGTCTTCTGTCTTCTTTTGTGTATGTATTGAGTGGGTGGCTGACTTGGCTGTGGTGGGTTTGTAGATATGGCTACACTGATGCTGGGAGGTCGGTTTTGGCGCAGAAGACGGGGGCTAGCCATAATCCTTTTGCGATGCAGCAACAGCAGCAGCAGCAGCAACAACAGACCCACGAGAGACCGTTCTTCGATATCTAGGTTGAATCGTCCAGCAAGAACATCGCTTTCTGCCGGTCAATCACCGTTCCATCCTCTTCGGCTATCGACACCTACTATCACGTTCCTTCACTTATGAAACTTCACCAGGTTACCTCTTCCGTTCCTCTTGAACGTTCAACGACATTAGTCTACCACTCACACACGTCACCTTTCTTAGCACCCAATCATGGCTGTTTGAGACCATCGCTATCCTTGATCTCCTCGTCCTCTCGTTCTTACCAGTTCCCTTCCTCAGTGTACACATATACTAGTACAACCTGTTCCGGAATCCATTCTTCTTTCTTCTTCCTCGGCGCAACTCCTACACTCATTCCGATCGTTTGTTTATTGCTTACTCCAAAATGAATTCCTTAGTTTTTTCTCTCCTTCCGTTCCGTTTCGTTGGGTCTCGAGTCGTGTCGACGAATCTACGTTATGAGCAACAATCATATTATACCACTTAATTCGAGTTGAACGTTGATTTCTTATTGTTCTGACTCTGGCTGACCTTGCTCTCAACCACAACCTCTTCTAAACGCCGCACCCTAGCCGACCGGTCCCGTTTGGCCAAAGCAGAAGACTCGGCTAGCTACGCGGCATCGGGCCGAGCACCGCTTACTGACAGAAATAAGCTTATCACGGTTTTGTCTCCCTTTTTCCAAGTTCTTATCATCGGCCCTGATGCGGATGAGTCGTGCACCCCAGAATATTCTGCAAGCCGTCGCGGCACAGAACCAACCTTGTACGACGTTGACCACCTACTTTTCTCTGGTACCAACCCCAGTAGCCTGAGCCATGGCTTCAAGAACAGCCTACACTGCGCTCACGCCTGAGTATGCCGAGTTCCCGAATGGCGTCGGGGATGTGCGGGGGTCTCCATCCTCCCGTATGGAGGTGGAAAATGCACCGGGGACGTCGTCGTCGTCGCGGCACGAAATCGGTGGGGGTCGGCCGAAGGAGGAGCATGAGCATGACCGTGAATACGACGACGAGGACGACGAAGGCAGCATACAGCTACTCGACGACGAGGACGACGATCAGGCTGCTATGGGGTGTATGGGAAAGACAAGGAGGGGCGCAAGTAGGGTGATGGGCAAGGCCAAAGATACAGTGAAGGCGAACACGGGCCTCCTGCTCGTTGCGGCATCCCAGCTGTTCTTCTCGATGATGAACGCGGCGGTGAAGCAGCTGAATAGCATCGACCCGCCTGTTTCTACTCTCGAGGTGTGTCTTCTGCAATATTTTGGAGCTTGTGAGCTTGCGGCTAATGGGTCGTGCGCAGGTCATAGCCGTGCGCATGGTGCGTGTTCCTTGCACAGCCCAAGATGCCTCCCTTCCTCCCAGTTCTAACCCTACTGCCACTTCTGTTTGATTATGGCAGAGCATAACGCTCGTGTGCTGCATCGTCTACATGTTCGTCCCACTTCTCCCCCCCATCTCTCCTCCCAAACTCACACGAGCTCACTTCTAGGCTGGCGACAAAAATACCAGACCCCTTCCTCGGACCGAAGGGCGTTCGTGGCTTGTTGGCATTCCGGGGGTTCATAGGGTGAGTGCAACCTTGCTGGGTTGTGACGAGTGAGGCATTTGCGCCACAGTGCCGATCAACCCAGTGATCGAGACGTCAACCACGCGTCTTGCCTTGACGTCGATCGCGTCCTCCCTCATCCCAATCGCCGAAAACTACTCTAATGTGCTATGTTCAACGTATAGGTGGTTCGGCCTCTTCGGCGTGTACTACTCGCTCGAGTACCTCTCATTGTCGGACGCGACGGTTCTGACGTTCCTCTCACCGATGTGCACTGCCATCGCGGGGACTATTTTCCTAGGGGAGAACTTTACGAGGAGGGAGGCGTTCGCCGGGAGTGAGTGCTCGTATTTTCTTGTTCTCAGCTAGCTAAAGTAATCTTCGGCCCGGCTACACAGTTGTCAGCTTGGTCGGCGTTGTCCTCATCGCACGGCCGACGGCACTCTTCGGGGAGTCGGCGCACGCGCCCCAGGTCGAGAAGGGGACGCCAACGGACAGGCTCGTCGCTGTTGGGTGCGTCATCTAAGTATTCCTTTCATCTCACTCACCAATTCCTTCACCCCCTTACAATATTCTCCCTTGGCAGAGTGGCGTTGATCGGTGTGCTAGGAGCTACGGGTGCTTGTGCGTATTCCCTTTACTTATATATATTTCTACTCCACTTCGCCGGTTGACGAATCGATATTATTTAGACACGACGATCCGCGCTATAGGCAAGCGCGCCCACGCGCTACACTCCATGGCCTTCTTCTCGACGCTCTGTGTTGTCGTGTCGACGATTGGGTGGGTCACTCTCCTTCCCTTCCTCTCGCCTTCTGTCTCCTTCCTTCCGCCTTCCATTGCCCTCGGCTCGGCTACTAGCTTGACGATGGCGCTAATTCATGACATTCATATCCTTCCCTCTCTTTCTCTCTTTCTCGAAATCGAAAACTAAAATGCGTCTTTCTAGAATGCTCGCGACGAAGCAGCCGTTCGTTATTCCCCAAAGGCTCGACTGGGCCGTGCTGTTTGTGATGATTGGGATTTTCGGGTTCGTTGCACAGGTCAGTCCTTTCTCTTTTCCCTTTCCTCTCTCATCACGCGCCACTGGGTGTTTTGTATTTCCTGACATCATTTTACTTATAGCTCCTCCTAACGATGGGCCTCCAACGCGAGACCGCCGGCCGTGGCTCGATGGCGATCTACACCCAAGTCGTCTTCGCGTCCATCTTCGAGCGCGTGTTCTTCCACGCCGTGCCCACCGCGCTCTCCGTCGTCGGGACGGTCCTGATTCTGAGCTCGGCAATTTACGTTGCTGTTAGTCCCTTTTTTTCCTTTCCGTTAAATAAATCGCAAACTTTTCTAATGATAATTTTTTCCTCTTAGTTAACTAAAGACACTCTGCCAAAGACGGGCGGTAAAGTAGGTTCAGGCGCAGGTGGTGCTGCGGTGAGCTTGAGACGGCTCTCGAGAGATGCCGAGATGGAGGAGGGCCTTCTGAGCGGCCAACAGCAGGAAGAGGGTCGTTCGGGCAAGGAGACGAAGTAGATTGGGAAGGATGATTTTTATTGGTGATCTCATGGTCCTGATACAATGACTGACGGTTTGGCCATCGGTGGACGCGTAGAGGTCTGGACTCGAGACGAATATGCATGCTCGGGCTCTGGAGACCTTTCCTGATCTTTCGAGATGGACTCGAGACGATGTAGGACTTGGAGCTTTAGCGTTGACTGTAGGATGCTGCTACCTGATTACTGATAACTTCTGCCGACGCAGCTGGGTACTTAGAACGGGCTCAGAGGGCGGGGTTTTCGGATCCGTGCATAAAAGATTTAGATTTGTTGCTTCGCTATTGTTACTTGTGTCATAAGATAGATGGGTTGATGCTCCCGCTCCCTTGCTATCAAAGCTACCCGTAGGTACGAACAAAAGTATAAGCTCCTTGGTATATGCTGGACTCGCCGAAGTTCATCCTTTTGAATCAGAGGCTCCACGGACATTAGGTCAGTGAGAAGGATCAGTGGATTTAGAGTTGATGATCAGGCAGAAATAGAAAGAATGCCGCTCGGAGACATTGGGCGGGAGGGAAATGAATCGTCCAGTGAGAGGTGAGTGGCTTCGAATTCTCAGCGCTATGTTGTTATTCGATTCCAGGCAACCGGAATGGAAGAACATGCTTATTCGTGCATCTTTTCTCGAGGACGAGGTTGGCATTTCACGTCGGGCTAGATGCTGCCTGGGTTGACATCGAGGTTCGCCTCGCGAGAAGAGTTGGTAGGGTCCCGAGACACGCTGCCGACATGAGGGTCACAGAAAGACTACCAGGAATTCGAGATGCAGCTTGTAGAGACGGCAGTTGCAGACACGCAGGGAATATTAAGCCCAGTATGTGCGCCTCTAGGAGGAGGTCGATAGAGCAACAAGAACGATAACATTTGATAATCACAGAGCGGTTGGAGGCCGCGACAGGCGCGAGTAGAGTTGCAGACGGTGACGAGAGAGGTGTTCTTCTAATCGTTTAAGGCAAAGAAACGAGTAGGCATGAATGTAGTGCAGCGCGCCATGGCAAGGCTTGGTCCGTTCATGAGCGTCGTCAAGGAGATGAGTGACCAGTGAGCGCTGCAGGGCCACTGGGAAACCATGGTAAAGACGGTCAAAGATTCGAGTTGGGGCCAGGATATCTGGAGGATGTCCAGGAGACAAAAACCGTGCATCGATGAGATGGAGGGATTTTTAGACGGCGGAGGAGCGTTGGGGCTAGCCCTGGGAGTGAGAGGACGGAGGAGACAAGGATGGACTTTTGAAGGGCGGTGGCAATGACAGGAGCCATTTTTAGCTGTGGATTGTGATTGGGTGCCTTCCACGTGACCAGAAATGTTGGCCTCAGCGAGAACGCGCTCTCAGCCTGTCTGCCCTTCTTTTCGCTCCGCCCCCTTCTCCCATCCTTCGTGCTCGACATCGCCCCTACGCTGATATGCTTACTCTCGATTACTGATTTCTCCGGTCATTTATCGACATACCCGTTCACTGCACTCTTTGCTTCCGGCTGCATTGTTCCATCTACGCATACCCCCTACCGTTCTGCCCTTGAAGGATCCAGGACCTTTATCATTCCACACATACTGTCGCCATGAACGCCAACTTCACATTTCCACCACCAAAGCCAGTTATGCCACGGCCACCGTCGGCGTACAGACCCAAGGCCAAGATACCCTCGCGCTCGTCGAATGCTCTCCGTGCCTCCGTGCTCGAAGCCGCTCTCGAGCTCGGCGTCGGCACAAACCCGCTTGTAGCGGACTGGATGTTCAGCAATTCTCTGAAGGAGGAGGACGAGGAGGTGCGTGTTCCCTATTGGTTGTGGCCCCGTAATTTCATTCTCGCCATATCATTCTTCCTCCCGGGCTCGCTTGGGTTCATCCGAGAGACAATTTCGCTTGTCGCCCGCAGACCCATCGCATGATTCGTGCGCTGGACGTTCCTCGAGGCTATCCGACGCACGTCTCGTAGTCCCACCGGCATACGTTCTACCTCTCGGCATACCCTTCCCTTCCGACCTTCCAAAGCCAATGCGCACCCAGACCGCAGTCATCTTCGCAGCAACTGCACATCCTCCTAGACTGCAATACGTGTTTCTCACTGGCGTTATACTTTTTTTGATCGGCCTTTGCGCTGTCGAAGCAAATGCCCAACCTAGTTTGCACCGAGTAGTTCATTCTTTCTAGACTGATAGGGGGTTTTGCTTTACGTTACGTTTACTTTCCTTCCTTCAATCCTTTCCCCAAAACCCACGAAACATGCACTGACTAACACCTATCGCGTACAGGACTCTGCACACTCTCCGGGCCTTACGAACGGGTCCTCCGCCACCTCCGAGGAGTCGTCCTCGTATCCCCTCACTCCTCCGGCGTCATCATCAAAGCGCGGCCCCGGCCCCGGAGTCCACTTCGCTGATGATCCCGTATCCAACGGGAAGCCTGGCGCAGTCGCCGTTGCGTTCCCTTCTGCGGGCAAGGACGCCGTGGGGCGATCCAACGATGCAGACAATAGCAACAGTGGCTGGAGCCATGAACACGGCGTCGCGCCGTCCAGTTTGGCCCCGAGTGGGAGTGGGAGTGGTGTCGCATTTCCTGACATCCCGATCCCACCCCGCCCTACGACGTCGAACAATGGACGAAGGCTGAAGAAGAAGCGAGGAGCGGATGGTGGGTATGAAAGTGATGGTGGATACGTTAGTGATACGGGGAAGAAGAAGGAGAAAAAGGAAAAGAAAGAGAAGAAGGTTAAGGAGGAGGAGAAGGTGAGAGAGGGCGAAGGAGGAGAGGGCGAGCGGACGCGCAAGAAGAGCCTCATCTCGGTCGTCAAGTCCTCTAAGAAGAAGGACAAGGAAAAGGAAAGGGACAAAGACGCGTCGTTCGACGTAGGATACGACACCGACGGCGGCCCGACATCTTCCGCGAAGAAACCCAAAAGGCCGTCGAAGACGAAGACGAAGACCGCCGAGGCGGGGTATGAGACAGACGGCGGGTACGTGTCCTCGTCGGGCACGAAGCGGTCCAAGGCGCGCGCGTTCTTCGGGCTGTCGAGCAAGAGCTCGAGGTCGGACTTGCATGCGGAGGCTGAGCCGGTGCCTGCGCTGCCTCGAGGTTTTGGAGGCAAGGAGATGCCGTTGCCAATTGCAGACCGGTTTGCGACGACGCTCAGCCCAACGAACGCGAGCGCGAGTGCCAGCAGTAGCGCCACGGCAATCAGCCCGACGAGTCTTAGTCCAGCGTCGGTATCTTCGAGCGTCATGACGCCATTAGGAAGGACGACGAGCGAGCCTAGCCCTTCGGCGTCCTCTCCCATCTCTCCCTCTCCTTCCGCGACCCAACTCTTAGGTACTGGCACCCTACCACAGATGTCCTTCCAGCCATTTAGCGCCGCCGACAGCCCAGATACCCAACTCTCGCCGTCAAGGTCGAGGTCACCTCTTCCGCCTCCATCGAGGTCTATGTCGCCTGTCGCGTCTCCGACGCTCTCGCCGACCATCAAACGGGATTCGCTAATGTCGACGAACTCCTCGTCGTCCAGCGGCAGTGGCTCGAATTCAAATTCGCAGAATCACGGACAACAACACTCTGCCAACGGTAGTACGGGTGGTGGAGCAGGAGGAGGGGCGGGTGGAGGTAGCAAGCGAAGGTTCTTTGGTTTCGCTTCGCCGACGAAGGGCGACGCGGTGGGGCACGGGATCGGGTCGGGAAGCGGGTCGACGATCACCTCGACGTCAACGTCGGTTGCGTCGCATACGCATTCGGCGAAATCTGGGTCGAACGCGTCGAGTGCTACGACGCACTCGGCGGCGGGCTCGCTCAAGCCGCCGATGATATCGTTCCCGCTGACGCGCTCGCCGTCGCCTTCAAGCCAGCCGATGAGTCCTGGTCGGTCGCCGACGCCGACGTCTGCGTCTGTGTTGCCTTTCGCCTCCTCGTCTTCGTCGTCGTCGATGCCGTCATCGTCTCAGACCCCTGCGTTTTCGTCACTTGCGTCACCGTTGTCACCTTCGTCCGCATCACAGCTCCCAATGAGGTCGCCATCACCCGGCTTACCGCGCTCGCCTGCGTCGCCACCGCCTGTCGTGCCCTTAAACATAAACAGACCTAGAGGCATGCGCGTCCGGCCCAGTCTGGAGAAGCTCAACCTCCTCGCGCCGCCTATTAACACCAACCCGCACAACGGCAGCGTCCCATCGCCCATCTCGCCCAATTCATACGTGATGGTCACGCCCGTGCCCTCGCCTGGGCTGCCTCCGTCGCCAAATACCCTCTCGCGGTCAATGACAAGAGGAGGGAGCAGGGACGGAGGGATCGGCCCGCCTTCTCCGGGGATCATGCCGAGCGGAGACTACCTGGTGCCGTCGCCGTCGGCAGCAGCGACGAGCTTCATGCTCGGGGCGTCGCCTGCTCCGGGCGCTGCCAACGCGGGTGTGGGTGCGAACGGAGGTCTGACGAGCCCGAACGTGCTGGCTTACTATGATATGCCGCCGCCCAGCCCGCCGCCGCAGGGCCCGCTCCCTAGTGTGCCGCCCAACGCACAACCTGGTGGTTCTAGCTCGAGTTCGAACGCCAGTGCTAGTGTAAATACGGGCCAGTTCCCGTTTGCAGCGCTGAGACAGCGTGTCGTGGATAGGACACCGCGGTACCTCCCACCCGAGCTGGCTAACGTACAGAGGGGGAGGGAGAGTCCGTTCCCTGCACGTCCTGTCCTCCCCGCTGGAGGTGTTGCACCACCGGCTGGCATGCCAAGAAGGTACAGAGACCTATACACCTCCCCAACAGGCTCGGGTCCAGGCGAGGAGACGCTGGCGTACTTGGAAGAGAAGGAGCGCGTGGAGGAAATGCGGCGCGCCAGGATCGCAGCGACGGGTGGACAGAAGAGGGAATGGGTCGACCTGGAGGAGGTGGAGAGGGATATGGTCAAGGAGAAGCTGATGAAGATCCAGAGGAAGAAGAAAGGCGCTGTGCGGTTCGCGGTGGACGTTGATGGCGGCTCCGAAGAGGAGGACGAGCTGGAGTATATAGATGATGACAGCGTGGAGGGTGGGCTGGAGGACGAGCCCGAGTTGCGCGGTGTGCTCGACCGCTTCGATAACGGCAGTGCCGAAGGCGCGAGCGTGAGTGAGGAGAGCGTCTTCTCCCAGCGCGCTTTGAGCCGGAATCGGTCTGCGGAGGCTCTCAATGTGGACGCAGAAGGCATGGCCATCCCCCGGCTACGCGTCCCGCGCGAGCGCCCACGACAGCTGAGCGAGTACACCGACGACGACGCGCGCACGCTCGGCGACCGCGCTTCGCGCTGGTCAGACAGCGTCTACAGCCGCGTGAGCATCCTCGACGAGGACGAGAGCGAGCAGACGCGCGACCGCTTCGTGCGCCGCGTCGAGGCGATGCTCGAGGCGGAGAGGAAGCGGAATGCCCTTGAGGGTCTGGTAGGTGATGATGAGACAGGTGCTGGTTTGGGTTTGGGCAGGGGATACATCCCGCCCGTGCCCAAGCTCCCTGAAGCGTACTCGAATTCGAACTTGGGCGCTTCACCCGTCTCTGCGGGTGCTACTTCTCCTGGACGGAGCTGGAATAGGTTCTAGGATTGGTGTTTTTTCCTCAGGGCGGGTATTCCCCATACATTCTTTTTTTCGTGCTTTTCTTTCCTCTTTAGACGCAAGGTGGCCTAGATCTTCAGACTCCCGTTCTTGGTTTTACTTGCCGCTTGGTGAACCCCTCAGCTCATTCACTAATTCTTACCGCAGGTCTCGGTTAACCGTAATGATCTTCGCGCCATCACACATACGCCATTCTTGTGTACACCAGTCATTGCATCTCATATCCAATACAGTCGCTCATTACTTCTTTCCTTTGTTTACATTTCAGATATCCTGTAGCTATATCCCATTTTGCATGATACCTCTTAATAAAAACAGAAACTTGCGTGCGCAGAACATACCAATGTGGCGAACACCGGGAACAACTTTTGACGAATCAATGTTGAGTATAGTGCAATCACGACGGGCTGCAAATACTGATAACTTTTCAGCAAAAGAAAAAGAAAAGGAAAAAGCAAATAAAAGATACACTGAAGGGGAGTCGAACCCCTGCCGCTTGCTTGGAAGGCAAGCATGATAACCGCTTCACCATCAGTGTTGCATACAACAGTGCAGATTTAGTGTACATGTGTGCTATACAGTCAAGATGGGTGAGAAAACGGTCCCTGGGTTATTGTCCACGAGTCTAGAATACCAAAATGTCTAGCTAAGGCTATGTATGCCTCTCAAAAAAATAAGTACACCTAGACTATTGCCAGTCTACGTCAAATCATGACCCCGCCTTGTGAAATTGGATCCAAAGACCGCCCTGAAAAGCATAATTGTTCAAACACAAGTGACATGCCCCCAACCGTTGAGCACTCACTTTGACATACAATGTCATGGCAGCGCTCGGCCAGACTCTCTCATACGCCTGACGGCCCTTTCGGTTCTGCCACTCTTTCGGAGGGAGAGATTCCGGAGGCTGGACCTCAGATGCCAGCGTGAATCGGTCGAAGCGTTGCAAAAGACGGACGAGAAAGTACGACATCTCGTTGTATGCATAGTTCTGTCCGATGCACTGCGAAAGAAGGAAACAAACATGAGATTTTAGGACGAGCACAATAGAGTCCGTTGAATAAGACTGGCCACGAGACTCACTATCCTAGGTCCGGCGCTGAAGGGTGTGAACATCGCAGGGTTTGCGACGAACTTCGCGATACGCTCAGGATCGATCCAGCGGTCCGGGTCGAAGTCGTCTGCGTTAGCACCCCACAGTGCGGGGTTACGTTGTGTTAAGAGCGGCAGGTACATAATTATGGCGTTCGCCGGCATGTATAGAGGATCTGATCGACCGGAAGTTGAATAGGTGGGATCGGAAGGTGGGAGAATGCATGGGGAGTCTCGCGTTTCGCGGACATTAAGTGGGACGGGTGGGAAGAGGCGTAGGGTTTCGTTTATTACAGCTCGCACTGAAAGAGTATGGTCAGTCGGAAGTTCTAAGGGAGATCGGCCCAGGTCGACGAACTGTATTTCATGTGACGAAATTGCTCGTAGGTCGGGGGTCGACTTGGGCCGCAGTGTTCGAGAATTTCGGCCCGTAATCTGGCGGCGACCTCTGGGTGGACCGCCATAAAATATGTGACGAACGTGAGGACACAGGCCGTCTAAGCCATTCTTTGGTGAATATTAAAATGCCGAGGGAGTAGAGGAAACTCACCGTATCGCGAGATGCAAGCAACATGCTTAATAGCTGATCTCTAATGAGGATGGGATCTGCGAGAATATCGTCAATGAATGGCAGAATACAACAGCAGAATTTCAGCCTACCATCTGTGCTATCCACAAGGTGTTGCAGGAAGGACTTGTCCGGCAAGGGGCTGGAAATACCAGCCTTTTCCATTCTACTCTTGTCTGCAAGCGCCTGTCGTACAAGTGGATCCAGGAACTGTTGAATGACACGGCAGTGTTCCTCGTTCTTGTCTTCAAAGAGTTCGAACAACGGCCACATGGAACCTATCCGCGCACGGTTCGTAATGTTCTGTTGGGCCATCTCGAATGCCTTGGTGAATGACCCCCATCCGTCCTCCGTCGCAGACCCCTTCGGCCCCATGGCCGCCTTGCTCGGACTGGGCAGTGTGGCAGAAAGCGTGTCCAGGTTCTTGTCAAACAAGAACTCCGAGGAAGCATCGAGCGTGAAGCGGCTGTACAGGTCCTGAGCTTCGCATGGCGTGTTCGAGGCCTCTAGGGAGGATAAAATTGACAGAGTCCGTGCCGTATGACGTTCGAAGATGTCGAAGTCGGAGATGCGTTCACGGGCAAAAAAAGGGCGCGCATTATTCCGATGCTAAGGAAGGTGAGCACGACTAAAACGTTTTAGTGCTGATGAGACTGACCATCTTCCAGATCTTGGGGGATAAGAGGCATCAATATTGGAGCACTTCTCAGCGGTAGATCTCTTACCTCGTCGTCTCTGTTAAATATACCCTCGCCCAAGAAGAGTTCCCTGTCATACGGCTGGCGTGAAGACGCGACTTTCGAAGGTGGGGTGGTGCAAAGCTTACAGACGTTCCTTCTGTGACCTTCCTCTCGAAAAGTATTGGAACCCAGTTGCCAGGACAAACTTAGCGTGCTCTTGGTCCATAGATATAATCTAAGATGACTGTCAGCGTCTAGTGGCGCAAGAGCGACGGCGACCAGTGTAGTTAGGTTCCAACACGGGCTCCTGGGCTTCCAACCTCTGCAAGAGGTGTTACTCACATTGTCGCGCCAAAGGATACGAGTGTTCAATGTAGTGCATTGATATTCTTCAAACAGCTGAAGATAGACATCCAGAACGTAGCTCGTCTTGAACGCGCGCATCATTCTAAGCAAAACGTCGATGTTCCCCGGCCATTTCCCGACAACGCGGGGTATAGGTTTCGCTCCGAGAGTCCGCGCTTGTCGATGCTGGTTCCACCCAAAATACGCGTGGCTAGCAGTGGCCCATAGCACTACGAATATGAGATGAATAGGAATCGCCAGAAGACCAAGTCGATACCGCAAATATCGCAACGCAAGAGAAAAGACGACGACCGGTAGGCCAATGACGCGAACAAAGTCGAGGAAAAGCCTCGCACGATAGTTGGCGGGATTCATGATGGGGGCAAGCGGTGACGAAGCCTGGGAAGTTGCTCTTGTGAAAGTAGCGTTGCTGTTATAACCCAGACATGACCAGGTTTTTTCTGGCCGGCTGGGTACAGGTGGGTACACCCTTGGAGCATGCTGTATCCCGTCAGAAGAATAAATATGAAAGCCCCGGATGATCACACACCGTGCAACGCAGTTGAGTTCTCCAAATCACAGCCACCGACTCGGACACCATCATACGCGAAACATGCCAAAACATCGGTCGCTCGTCTCCACCGAGAAATCGAGATCTTTGACATACGATAAGTAAGGGCCATCCCGCGGTACTTGTGTCAAGCCCAGTGGACCACAGACTTTGTGGTTCTTTCGTTAGAGTACAGCTTCGTGCACTGCAGTTTGCTACGCGTTGAATGAATAATATTTTATTGGCTACATATTTCCTTTGAACTTTACAGCGCACTTGCTTACGGTGGGAGACAAGAAGTACAATAATTTCCAGTCGGCTATATATCTTGCACTGGCAGTGGTAGATTGACAAAATGTGTTATCTAGTTGCCGGAACTGGATTTCCACTTCTCGAGCGCGGAGAAACAATAATCAATCTTCCTGAGGTCTCCGTCTGTCTGGGTTTGCTGGAAATACTCGAGCAGGACTAGCGTCATAGAGCGAACCTTGAGGCCTTGAGGTCTCAGACACCACAAGGGCTTCTCGTACCCATGTATGGCGCCCAATGTCAACTGAATCAAATTGGATACCAATGGGAACACGGTAGTCCAACCAGCGCCCATTATTCATACAGGAGCTCTGGGTAACACTCCTTCGAAGATGAGATGACGTATATGCAAGTTTACAGAGCCTGGATTTTGGAGCTTTGCGTTAGGAATGAGTTCTGGATATAAGGTGGCTCTGAGTTGGCCGTTAAGGTTCTTCTATGGCGTGATAGGCATCTCGAATTCTCTTTACGACCTCACGAGGAACAGGGTGCGTTTAGAGTCGATCTTCTCTTCAGAATGTCCTTCATGTCCACTCAGGCACTAGCGAGACGTCTCGGTATCCATGTAGCATCATACCTGAGACCGGCTAGACACATCTGGCAGCTGTGGCGCACAGGGCCGGTTCGGCCGCCCGTAGGTAGTGTGTAATCGCCGAGAAAAAGAGCAAGCACCATACACGAGTTGTGCTCAGTGTCCGGTTCAATGAACCCCGGACAACATACATACCGGATGTCAGCGCCCTCCGACGTCTCTTCTCCATCGAGAGAGTGTTAGCAAACGCTCGTGATCCGTCATTCCGGGCTGATTCATCAGTTGCCAGCATCCGTAAGAAAAAGGAACGAAGAAGTCGTAAGGCTGCAAATTCCATCGCTCAAAAACAAAGTACTTATCTTCAGCCATCGTCGCCCTGAAAGCCTGTATAGCGCGGACGTTGTATTAGAACTTTGTTAACGTGAATCACTGTCGGTTTGCACAGCTTGAACAGAAACTTGTATATTCACAAGAGAACTGGCAAACCCGGCGTGCGGGATACCGCATTTAGCTTGAGCGCTTGCGTGGCAGGCACATCAAGCGCCGGTGTGTGGCATGCAATGCCGGGCTGCCTGGGAGCTTTTCGTCGGGTGCTGCGCGGAGCAGACGGACACACGCGTCGGCCGACAGGTGGTTAGGGGTCTCTTAGAATGCTGACCTTTGTAGTCCGGAGAGTAAGGAAACGCGCAAGGCAGACGACACTGTTTGTCATGTGCACTATCTAAGCGCCGTTCATGATGCAACCGCAACAGGCCTAGAATCAACTTGCAAGGGATTAGCTGCCCAGCGTCATGTCTGAAAAACATGGAAACCGGAGCGAGGTATCCTGGAACTCGAAGGGCGATATGTGTTATGACGGCCGATGACGGGATATCCTGTCCAATATGTTGGCCCGGGTCTTATCAGCGTTGGGACCTTATAATTAAAGGTACGTCAACTTCTTGGATGTTTCCATGATTCACGATAAGACGTAGCTCTGCTCAATAAACGAGGGAGAAGCAGGAAGATGGCAGATGGGAGTTTGGGTTGAGAAGATGCTGTTATCTACCCGACACCATGGAACGCAAAATATTCTGGAGTCAAATGGACGATCTCCCTCTTAGGAGAGAGGTGAAGGCCCTGATTTAGCGGGAGTCCCTTCCAACGCCGCCAGTTGGTCCACTAGATCATCCATCACCGATCTGGAGCGCTGGTGTATTCGATTGGGGTCTGCACCTTCCGGGTGCGACCCCGTGTGGCTTGGTGCGCTCTTCGTTGGTTGTAGAAGGCTCCCGTGAGGCTCGAAGCCGGGAGCGATGCGTCGGAGGGCATCGCGCTTCCGCCGCTCTTTCTCCTCATCGCGGGACCGTAAATAAGCTTCTCGACGGGCGGTGTGAGCGGCCAAAGTCGTGCGCCGAGAGGATTCGAGGGTGACGATGTGGGGCTCGAGGGTGAATGGGTAAACGAACTGCGGTGAGATCAGTCGGTGGTTTCGTGGAGGCGCTACGTTGGTTGTTGACTCACATAGGGGTTTACTGAGTCGGGTAATGGGTGGATATCTGGTGGTAGTTCGACCTGTTAATGCGTCAAAGACGCCATTGTTGCAATTTGTCATCTAGGAAGCTCACCGGTTGCGGAACTCGAAGACTGGGAGATTTGATTAGAGGTATTTGGGCGGCAGGAAGGTACGGAGCTGGTCCTTCTCAGTAGCAGTTGACATCTCGCACGAGACAGACTGACATTGTTCACCCATTCGAATAAAACTTGTCCAAAAAATAAGCAATGCCGACTTGCAGGAGGTTCAACGGTCAAGGCATGTAGTGGTCAACTTGAAGTAGTCGATTCGGATACCGCCGAGCCGTGGTTTGCTGGGGCATCATATCGGCCCGGGAAGGGATCGACTTCTGCACCAAATATGAGGAGGGTTCAAGGTGTGTCTCGGCTCTTACCAGCAACCCCGCACATTATTCCATGTCCGTCAAATCGCCGTCCCAGTCGCTTCTCGAGTCATTGACGCTAATATCTCAAGGCGCCGAAGCCGCAAGTCCACTTTGATCTTGTGTCAAGTGGGTATGTCCAACTTACGGTGGTTCGTTCGACCCGACAGAAAGTCTACAAAGGAAGACTTGAGGCCAATGATGGTCCGGTGCTCTTGAAGTATCGTTTCAAAAAGCACTATCGGCACGCGGCCCTTGATACTTCCTTAACGAAGTCGCGTGTGGCGGGCGAAGCGAGAGCGCTCCTGAAATGTCTCCGGTGCGTTACTCGAGGCTCTGATAGCGAATGATCAATTCTTATAGATGCATTTTAGTTCAGGAGTGAACGTACCTGGCGTGCGGATGGTTGATGCCTCCGAAGGACTGCTGGGGATAGAATGGATCGATGGAAAAAGTGTTAAGAGTCTGCTCCCAAGTGGGGCGGTAGAGGAGTACGATGAAGATCAAGAGTTGCCTGATGATGTTGACGATGAGGGCGAACATCCGTTGTCTCGTTTTGAGATCTCGTCAGGTAGAAAAACGCCCTTTGATAGTTATTGCGCGATTCATACTAATGAGCTGCATCTATCAGACACTCTTATGGATCTCATCGGCGTGGAGATTGCAAAAATGCACTTAGCGGATGTCATACATGGAGACCTGACAACCTCGAATATGATGCTACGATATCCTGTCGCGAATGCTCCCACAGAGCTCGTACGTCTTTCGAACAGTGTTCACCAGCGCGAAATTAATTTCTATGCAGGTCCTGATCGACTTCGGTTTATCCTACCATTCGACATTAATTGAAGACAAGGCGGTCGATCTCTACGTGCTTGAACGTGCATTTGCTTCCACTCATCCGGACTCCGAACCAATGTTTGCATCTGTTCTCTCTGCTTACGCGGCGCAGCTGGGAAAAGATTGGCCTGCACTCCGTCGCCGACTTGATGATGGTATGTTTATCCTGCGCCTCCGGATCGCCGAAACTTACATCAGCCTCCTTGCAGTGCGTTTGAGAGGTAGGAAACGTAGCATGGTTGGATAGAGTGGTGAGCTCCTCGCAGAGCAAAGAAAATGTACATAAATAATACAGCCATGCATTGTAAATGCCATTTGTTATCCAAGTATGACCGCAGTTGCCTCCGACGTTGCCAAGAAGCCACGTTCGTCGTCGTCGCCAGAAACATCCTAAATGAGGAAAGACTTGACTTGGCATCTCTTTCTACCGCGTCAACCATACTTCACCTTTCTTTTCTCCTGCGAAACGCATCCATGCCATGGACAATCACGATACCTACCTTCATCATCCTTCGCCATCCAGAGCGATTCCCAATTCTTCTTCCATCGATTTGACGGGCAACCCGGGACCTCCGTCACCTTCTCTCGAAGCCTCTGGATCAACCCTCGCGCGCCGGAGAAGTTGGGGCAACCGCCTAAGGGACGGCGCTGGGACGTCGAACGGCTCCAGTCCGGACCCTCTGCAGCTTGATCTTAATACAGCAGCTCAAACGCAGGGATCCCCCAGGCGGTCCGGGAACACCACAACGACTGCAGTTGGAGGCCGAGCTATGACATCGCAGGAAGACCCATTCCATGACGAACAGTCAAGGGGTTATACGTACACCATCACCTCTGCGCGCGGTTATGGACCACGGACTGGTTTGGACGCCTTTGACACGGATGTCTACTCGAACGCGCAGGCGGGACCGTCGATGGCGTCACTTATGGATCAACATCGAGGGCACTTCGAGCATGAGATTGAGGACGGGCATCGGGAGGACGACGAGGCGCATCTGACGGCGAACATGTCGCGTTCTGGGATGAGTGATGAGGATGCCATGGCGGACCCCGAGCACGATGGCGGGACCACACCGCGGTCGCGCAGGAAGACACTCCGGTACAGTGTGTCGCCGTCGCCGTTGAAGAAGACGGAGTCGGCGATGAAGTCAGTGTCGAAGAACCTGCGTAGGATGTCGTTGCGTGTTGTTAATCTCGCGAACACGGGGCTGGAAGGGCAGCTGAGGCTCGGCGACGGTCAGGACAAGAAGGTGGACGATGACGACGACGGACCGCCTGCGCCAGACCTGAAACGCGTCCTTCCTATACGAGGCCGAACGTTAGGCTTCCTAGGCCCGGACAGCCAGATTCGTCTAACTCTCTTCAGATTCCTTGTACATCCGTATGTCATCTTGCTCTCTCTTCAAAGTACAACTTCTGACCTTGAGATAGGTTGACGGAGCCAATCATTCTTATTCTTATTATAGCCAACGCCGTAATCTTAACGATACAAGCCTTCACATCTTTAACTCTACCAACTGCAAATGGACCTACATTACCGCCTCGTGTAAAGGGATACTTTCATTCATGGGAGGACTATGCTTTGTTCGCACTATTTATTATATTTACGTGAGTATCCTGTCATTTCCTTCTTCATCTTGTTCTGATTGTTTGACAGACTAGAGGCTCTTGCTCGTATATGCGTCACAGGTTTTCTCTTCGACCCCGATGTTTCAATATTCTCGCCATTTTCTTCGCAGTCGCAACTGGAACCGTATACCCCCACACCCGCCCCAACGCCGGGCATGGTTCGCCAAACGTCACTAACACGTGGGCGAACAATCACGCAACGCCTTCAACGGATAAAGCGCACGCTCATGAGGCCATTCGCCTTATCACAACGGCCGCCTCCCCCTCAATCTGCTGGCATTCCCTCTGGTGGCAATCATCATAGGGAAGACAGCTTTGCTGCGCGCATACATGACGCTGCGAACAGGGTGCACAACTTCATTCGCGAACCCGCTGAGCCTACTTTCTTGTCCGTCGCTATGCGTTCAGAAAATCATGCTACACATCCAGATTCAATATCGCTCCCCTTTCGTCTCAGTATTGGTCATTTGCACAACAAGACGCAGCGGAACGTTCCGTACCTACGGCAAAGTTGGAGTCGGATCGACTTCATTGCTATCGTGAGCTTTTGGATCACCTTCGCTTTGGCTATGGGTGGTGTTGAGAGAGGAACTCAACATATCGGCATCTTTCGGGCAATGAGCGTCATACGGACTGCTCGGCTTCTGACAATCACTTCTGGTACAACTGTGCGTTTTGTTTCTTCTTATTGCGCTAGTTCTAATCCTCGGCATTTCAGACCATCATGCACTCCTTGAAAACTGCCCGCCCGCTTCTGACGAGTGTGGCTTACTTCGTTCTTTTTGCCATGGTCTTGTTTTCGTCAGTATTATTTTTTTCAGCATCAGCTCTGATACTTACCAAGGCCCACAGTATCATTGGCGTCCAATCGTTCAAAGGCTCTATGAGGCGAACCTGTGTAATCAACCCCGCTCTTGGCGAAGGCCCGCACCTGAGGGATGGCCAGTTCTGCGGAGGGCACGTCGACCCTACCACCTTCAATGCTACAGGCTATATTCAGCTGAACAATCAATCCGTGGCCGACCCAAAGGGCTATATCTGTCCTCTTGGACAAGTTTGTATGGTACGTCGTTGAGACGTCGCTCGATGATCATTAGCTCATTCCCCTTGCAGGAGCTATCAAATCCCAAGAGTGGCATCGAGAGTTTCGATGCCATATACTCTGCTGCCCTACAGGTTGTCATTGTGGCGACCGCTAACGGAGTACGTATTTTAGTTGAGCGAGATCGATACGGGGTCGCTGACGTGCAATGAGCAGTGGACTCCTCTGATGTACAGCATGATCGACTCTGAGTTCTTCGTGTCTTGTTTTTTCTTCATTATGGGGATCATCGTGCTCAATTTCTGGCTTATCAACCTGTTCGTTGCTGTGATTACCAACACATTCGCAGCAATCCGGTCTGAAACTAAGAAGAGCGCCTTCGGTGCTGCGCCGTATGTTTGCTTTATCCCACATTTTTCATCACGAGGTTGATCACGGTTCATCAGGCTAGTAGTACCACTCGATAAGAACCAAGATGACGCATGGCCCATCGTCGATGGCCGAAAAGCAATTACACGGTCTAACCCAGCAAAAACCATTTATGCCTACACGAAGTGGTGCTGGGTTCTGTTAGCACTGGCGTCCTTGGTCCTACAAGCAACAAGGACAGTCGACATCTCTCCTAACCATGAACTGGCTATATTTTATGGCGAAATCGCCATCATGATTGCCTTCGATTTCGAAATCGTGCTTCGAATACTGGCGACATTACCCCAGTGGAGAACCTTCTTTCAGCACGGGAACAACTGGCTTGATTTGTCACTTGCTGTGGCGTGCACGGTCATACAGATTCCCGTCATTAGGCAATCTAGCGTCTATCCTTGGTTCACTATCTTCCAGCTAGTACGATTTTATCGCGTCATCCTCGTCGTTCCAAGGATGAAACCACTTCTGGTGAGCTTCGCTCCAGCTTCTTTCTGGTTTTGTGACACGTTCTAACCCGCACCAGCTCGCTGTTTTTGGCAACATGTACGGTCTCGCAAACATGGCCCTTTTTCTCCTCATTGTCAACTACATTGCCGCTCTGGTCGCCGTTCAGCTTCTTCGCGGAGACTTGGGCAATGATGCAACAATCAATTTTGGCGAGGTGTTCAATTCGTTCCTTGCGATGTATCAGGTTTTCTCGTCAGAGAATTGGGTAGACGTGCTATATGGTGCCTCAATGGCGGAAGTTCCACTGGGGCAGACTGTCATCGTTGTCATATTCATCTCCGCGTGGATGCTGTTTGCCAACTGTGAGCCTTTCTTCTCTTCTTGTTCATACTCCAGAATTTAATAGGTTGCTCAGTTATCATGCTTCAAATGTTCATTGCTGTGATCAACGAGAACTTCGAGGTGGCTGAGGAGCAAAAGAAGGGCAAACAAGCATCAAACTATTACAGCCAACAGAAGGCCCGACACGGTTCTGTCCCCTGGCTTAGACGCCTCAATCCCTATCGCTGGGTCAAGGCTAACCCGGAGACCGCCAAAGTCACGAATCTTCCTTCAAATCTCGTTCTCCCAATGCAAAAGAATTTAGTGCAAGATTATGCACTCTCTCGCTCTAATACTCGCTCTAGTCAAGTAGGTGCTTTCCTCCCTTGTGCTGCAGAATCTTGAACTCACCTTCTTTCAGAAAAAAACTACACAGCGGAAGTATCGTTTCATGAAGCCGCGCCATTATTCCTCTAAGTCCCTAACTGCTCTGCAACAACTTTTCACTGGGGACACCAAGACAGACGACATCCCGATGACCACTTTACGTCATCAAGGACGAGAGCCAAGTACAGATCCTCTGGATGAGGAGATGGAACGACATTTGTTCGTCTTTTCTGCGCTTCTCCGAAGTCGATCGATGCTGATGACTTTATAGGGAGCTTCTTGTAGCCGTTAACCCCCAAATTGGCCTTGCAGATGCAGCGGAAGACGAGTACCACGAACGTCGAGCGCAGAAGGCAGATTTCATCCGCGACCATCCAACTTATGATAAAGTTTTTTGGGTCATTGGTCAGAAGAATCGACTTCGCAAATTGTGTCAAAAGGTGGTGCAACCTGCCCGAGGAGAGCGCATCTTTGGAACTCCACCTTCTCCTGTCGCACACACCATCTTCCAGCTCATCCTCCTTTTCACGGTCATCGGTGGAATTGCTATCGAGGCCATTGCTACCCCCATCTACCGGCGCAACTACTTCCAAAAGTTCGGGTTTGTTCGCGGTGCTTGGTTCGAACTCGCGGAAGCCTCATTTGGCTTCACGCTGTTTGTTGAATTTATGATCAAGATCATCGCCGATGGATTCCTCTTCACCCCCAACGGCTACCTTCGCAGTATCTGGAACTGCTTGGATTTTATCATCATGATAGGTATCATTGTCAACGTCACCACAGGGCTCATCTTCATTGGGGGCTTGAGTCGGTTTACGCGTGCCCTCAGAGCTTTGCGAGCTTTGCGACTCATCACGCTCATCGACAAAATGAGGAGCACGTTCCAGACCCTGATTATTTCAGGTGCAATTCGGATACTTGATGCTGCTGTCCTCGCGATTCTCTACATGATTCCTTATGCTGTCTGGGGCCTCAACATCTTCAATGGAAGAATGAACTTATGCAACGATGGTGATGTCGACGGTATCTCTGATTGCATTGGTGAATACGTGAACACTGTCTACGATGACGCCTGGGGATTTCCGGTTCCTCGTGCTTGGGATAATCCATCTCCGTCGACCACATTCAGTTTCGATTCATTCCGCTCTTCACTGCTGATCCTCTTCGAGATTGTATCTCTAGAAGGATGGATTGATGCCATGGGTGTTGCCACTAGCATCACAGGGCCTGGTCAGCAACCACAAGTCAATGCCTCTCAAGCCAATGCCATTTTTTTCCTCATCTATAACTTAATGGGTGCTGTAGTTGTTCTGACCCTATTCGTTAGGTAAGACAACTCTGTGTTAAACCCTATATGGTCTGTCTGACGCGCCGCTTCAGTATCATCATAGGAAACTTCAGTTCCAAGACCGGAACTGCTCTCCTGACAACAGCTCAGCGAGAATGGATCGACCTTCAAAAACTCTTCAAGAGACAGAAGCCCTCCAAGCGGCCGAAGACCCAACCCACAGGCCGCTTCAGGAAATGGTGTTTCGATCGTGCTGTCCAGAAGCACGGCTGGTGGTCACGAGCAATGACCCTATTATTCGTGCTGCACATTATCGCACTAATGTAACTCCTCTTTCGCCGTTCCAGGAAGTCGTTCACTTACACATACCGTCAGGACGCAATCTTTTTCGACCCACCATTTTTCGGAGGTCTTCAGGAGTAAGACAATTCGACAAACCAGCCGCACCTTGCTAACATCTGAAATTTATCTTCAGATGATTTCTTTCTCGCGCTGATGTTTATCTACCTGGTGGACGTCTTTGTCCGTTTCTTTGGACTTGGATGGCGCAGTTTCCGTGCAAATGGCTGGAATCTCTTTGACATGGTTGTCGCAAGTGGTAGCTTCTTCACCACCCTCATTGTGCAGTTTGGCAACCTTGGCTATGGCGTCCAACAACTCCAAAAATTGTTCCTTGTCAGCATTGCCTTCAAGCTCGTCCAGCGAACGAACAGCTTGAACATGCTGTTCAAAACTGCTGTGTAAGTTGATGCTGCGTTCCAATATGTCGCAACCGAGCTGATGGATGTTGGCTCGTTCAGTGCGAGTTTGCCCGTGATCCTCAGTTTGCTTGGTCTCTGGCTCGTGCTGTTCATCTTTTTCGGCATCTTGTTTGTCGAGGTGTTTGGCCTGACCAAGTGGGGAGGAGCAGAAACAGCTACAACAAATTATGCCTCCTTGGGATCTGCCTTGGTCATGCTGGCATTCCAGAGTACTGGGTTAGTTCACTTTAACTTTCATTGTGATACTTAACCCTTACGTGCCTGTGATATTATAGTGAAGGTTGGAACCAATACATGCATGACTAGTGGGTTTTTGTTGCATCATGCATCCTTGATCCTCATTGCTTCTCGCAGTGATTTGACCTATCCACGTTGCACCAATTCGTCGCCTACAGAAGTCGACTCGGATTGCGGAAGTACGGCTTGGGCTTTTGCGCTTTTCATTGCCTGGAACCTGCTCAGCATGGTAAGGACCACAACTTGGTGAAGTGGAGTTGCTAATGGTTTGATTGTAGTACATCTTCGTGAACATGTTCACTGGTAAGTAGGGCACCCTACACCTTTTTCCCGCAGCTGCTGAATGAGCTGCAGGTGTTGTTGTGGAAAACTTCTCCTACGTGTTTCAAGCATCCGGGACTGGGTCCAAATCGATCTCACGAGAGCAAATGCGGTCCTTCAAGAAGGTGTGGGCGGAGTTTGCCAACAGGAAAACGGGCTATTTGGAGCGACATCGCTTTGCTGCCTTCTTTTCGGTGATTATCTTTTCGGACGCAGTCCCTATTCGAGCTAATGGCTCTCACTAGAAACTCAGCGGCGTTTTTGAGGTTAGGATTTATCCGGTAGAATATCACATCCGAAGCCTCCTCAGTATCGCCCGGGACCCATTGGACAAGCAGGCCTGGCACTCACGGGTCGTGGAAGGTGTCGATTTAAGTAAGCTTGAGAAAATCCTGGACAGCGTCGACTACACCGAGATCCGAAAGAGAAAGGCAATTTACGGCCGCCTCTTCCATGAAGCTAGCATTTCCCATGAGCAGGGTCTCGGGATCTCATTCACGGATATGTTGACTTTACTGGCACACCACAAGCTCATTGTCGACGCGGAGGCTTTGGTGTAAGTTGTCGCCTCTCGTCATGGATGTTGTAGGCTGACGTATTTTATCTTCAGATTGCATGACTTGGTTGCTAGGACGGAAACCAATAAATTGGTTACCGACCTTGTCAATTTGGATCGTGTACGATCTCTACTAAAGACGATCTCTCATCGACGCCGATTCCTTGCACATTTGGAGAAAAAGCGATCAGAGAAGTACGAAAAAGGTGGGTGACTTCGATACGCTCCTATGTTATTTTTGACTTGACACGAATAATGCCGTTAGAAATCCCTTCAATTGTCGTGGAGCCGATGCCAGGGACGCCACCACTCTCATCGAGGGATATTGCAAGCGCTGGCTATGAACACTCGTCCCCAGAAAGCCCGTTACCCGTTGACGTCCGGTATAGCCATCCGGACTACTCCCTATCGATGGACATGTCGGGTGGATCTAGGCTGCAAAGGAGCAGTAGACGAGTCAGCGAGTACAGCACGTTCTCCACGGATACGTCCAGATCCCCGTATGTGTTACGTTTATCGTGCCGTCAAGCAAAACTAACTTGGCTTTGCCAATCAGGCGAACTTCTTTGGTGGACGACGACCCACAGGACGTCGTCACTGCTATGCAAAGCTCGGTATGGGGAGGTAAGTCCGCCGATATACTTTACTCTCTGTTGCTTGCTTATTCGCCCTCTCAGATCTAATGATGGAGGTTGCTGAGGAGGAGAAAGGCAACAGGAGTTTCTAGTATTCTCCGTATCTTATCTATTGCTTGTTTTCACGGAACATTCATTCATCGGACAGTAGGTAGTATGAGATCCTCATCTGTACATTTAGCACACACCACCAGCACTCTGTCTACTTGCTCATCTGTAATTTACCCAGTAATACCTACTAGTAGTATGCATTGACATGAAAAAAGGATGGAAGGTAGATATGTGCATTGCATCTAATTCTTATCAATTGCTGACACACCACCCACGGGGAACTTGCACACCACCCACACGGGGAACTTGACCGCCTGCTTCTTTTCACTTGAACCGTGAATGGTGATGACTCGTTCGCGCTCAGCTACTCGTTCACCGAAGCGCCTCAAGCTAGAACAACTTGAAGCGACGTCAATAGGCCCCCAAGAAGACGAGCACGATGAAGACATTGCTGAAGAGTCAGAAAGCGCGTGTAGCATCTGTCTCCAAGAAGTCGTAGACCGAACTGTGATACCCAAATGCTCCCATGAATTCTGCTTTGAATGCCTCTTAGTTTGGACGAGTGCGTGTACCTTTCTGCGGTGGCACTTAGGCATACCTCTCACCTTTTCGTCTTGCAGAACAATCACGACGATGTCCGCTGTGCTCGCAGGGTATAGGGGACTACCTGATTCATTCCATTAGATCGCGGTATGACTATCGCAAACATTTCCTTCCGCCCTTACGGAAATCTCCTTCCCCTTCTCGACCTGTGCAGAGCAATGCAATTCTACGAAGTACCCGCCAGCATGCCAGAAGACGTTGGCGGGAGCGTGTCTGGGGAGCACAGGATGGAGAGCAGGATGAGTCAGACAAACTTCAGAGGTCTATTCTGATGAGGAGGTGGATATACCAGCATGATTTGTACGCAAAGGTGAGATTTTCAGGTTGATTGTACTAGAATGGCCGTTAATCCAGTAACAACCAGCATGTCGCGTCAAATGCGTTCACCAAGTATCGTCCATACCCTACACCCGCTCAGTTCTCCGCATCGCAAGAACTTGTATCACGCACAACGACTTTCTTGCGGAGAGAGTTACAAGTGTGGGAAGGCCTCGACGTAGAGGTACGTCGTAGCTTGCGGTACCTCATACCGTGATCCTCAATATCGTCTCCAGTTCCTTACGACCCTCATCATATCGTTGATGAAGTCAATAGATATTCGCTCTGAGTCTGCCGTCAAGCTTATATCGGAATTTTTGGATATGGATGAAGCTTACGTACCTGGTGGACGGCACACCAATGCTGAGCATTTCGCGCATGGTATGTTGGCGTTTCAATGTCCTGACACTATACCGCAAACTGACCTTAACCAGAGGTTTATAGCTATGTCAGGTCGCCCTACAAGGATTTATTCGTATATGACTCCGTGGTGCAGGTAGATCTTTTTTCCGGGGACGCGTCTACGAGATAGCTAAACCTTTTGCCTGCAGTATGATACACCATCTGGCATCCCTCCTCCTTCAGATGTTCAGTATAATCGTTGGTGGACCGAGCCATCGTCATCGCGTGTGCCCCGTGAACCTTCGCCTCCCGCCAGGCAGCGGACGCGTGCCGAAAGATCCGGATCTTCGGACAGATCTTACTCGTGGTCACCATCTGGAAGGCGGTATACACCACCTCCCCGCGACGACAGAGGGTCTTCCAATCGACAATATGTTAGCAAAGATACCTCCCGCGACTACTCGCATAGAGTTCGACAACCTCATTCACGCCGCGTGGAGGGTATGGATTACACTCCAAACTCGTCCCATGGACAACCCACCAATGGCAGGTCTCCATCTCCTAGAGCCCATTCAACAGACTTGAAAGGAAAGCAGAAGGCTGATGGGCCCATTTCTCTGCCGAAAGGAACCTCTGACCATGAGGACTCGCGCGATCGAAAACTAAACTTGGAACGCACACCCCCACCAACTCAAGCGTACGATGCTTCGACGAACCATGGTGCAAACCGCGCACCCACGAAAATTACGAGAGTCCCCCGTAATTTATCATTACCTGATTCCGTCAAAGCTCACCTAGCTCGGAATTTGGGGTCAAGACCAGCGACGAATGCGAGTGCAACGAGGCAGCAAGATTGCCAACGGTCGTCAACCTCGTCTCAACACGCTGTGGAGCAGGTGGGCAACTTTGATTCAGACTCTATTCCGTCCCTACTTCTCCGGATGTCTGGCCCTTTCCCTCCGGCCTCTTCCTTCTTCGCTACCACTCCCATAGGCAGCGAACACCCACTAGGATTGGCGACTCCGGCGGATGGAGAGGTTGCGGGTTCCCAGGAAGATACTGCCTCCAACGAATGTCTCGGTCAGCAATCCTCGATAGCCGAAGACACGGTGTTAAGCGCTCTGGAAGTTCGGGCCAGGTTGCTGGCTCGGTTAAATAGAGAAAAGAGACAGGCCGAAGTATCTACTCCGAGTGGGTATTCTGCGGGTTCAAATAGGCCCGCTGTGCTCCAAGAGCAAGCGAAGGAAAAAGAGGCCACATTGAGGGTCAAGGCTCAATTACGCGCCCGCCTTGCAACAGAGAAGCGACTTGCTGACAGCCACAAGTGAACCAACCACACCGTACATACATAACCTAATGTAACTCAATTCAGAGAAATTCTGCTGCACTGTGCAAGAATCGTTCTTCAAAGATGGTGGCGGCGCTGACCAATGCATCTGACAATGGACATTGTGCTGACTTGTTGCACATTTAAAACTAACCACGGTGCTGCCGCATTGTTAGCCCACGAGGCGAAATAATATGTCTATTCCAGTGGTGCTTGGACACCATCAATGCAGCTTTCGCGGTTATCGATCCGGGGTGTCGCTGCAAATGCGTTTGGCTATATGCAATGGTGCGAAGCTATTGCTCTGTGTTGCATATTTTTGCCAGAGGCAAGCGCTGCCAATGATGACGTACAGTCTACTCTATTTGAAGTTCTGAACGTCGGAATGGTCGGGTATCACTCTTGGAATTTGCTATGCCACGCCAAAGTTATTTACACCTTGAGCGCTACAGGAGTAGTACCTTGTCACTTTACCGAGGTTACTTCACTAGCCTGAACAAGTAAGTTTTCTTGGGTTTAGCTCAGGGGTAAACACGGTGCAGTGCTAACATGGACGTCGGGCTCGCAGATCGCACTTTCCTTAAAAAGAAATTGACTACTTTTGGCTGATACTTGGTCATGCTGGTGACTCATGATCACCATGATCACGCGTTCGGAATGTGGCGCGGAATCCGGAGGTTCACTGATGACATGCCATCGACAAGTCTTCGGCCCAGTGAAGAAGGGTTTGTCTGTCTTCCATCCATCTGTCAAGCTAGACCATCGAGCATAAATAACCAGGTTCTTTCAGCTTTTCATCTCTCTCAATGAAAGCTTGAAAACTCGCCGGGCGGTCGTTTTACGCGGCCAACAGAGAATTGCAGAATCGGAACAGATATCCTCCAAGTGTGAGCCAATTGGAGACTGTGATTGTTCAGACGTTCAATATCGAGTGTTGGGATATGTGAGAAACTTCCCCGTTAACATACCTTTCACATGGCCCAAAGCTGCAGGCAATTTCTCGTTTCGTGGGATGCTTCCATTCACATCACCACGCCACCCACAACTACGATCCGCAGGGATTAACACTGAATTCGGCGGTTAGTCCTTTTCTCGTGTGCGCCCTTTCTCCGCATCCAGAGCTTTTGAAGAGAAATCTTCCCCGTGCGCATTCAACATGTTTACAAAATACACAAGTCTTGGAAAAAAAGGAAGTTCAATGCTTGGAATGTTCATTTCAGTTGAGCTCGCAAAGACCATCTCGACGAATTCACTCTCAATGTTCCAGAAGGCGGAGAGTGTCCAACTGGGGCAAAGGGTGTGATGCCATCTAAGTATGGTGCTGCAGCCCTTGCTTCGCGAACGCCACACACACTCACGCCTTCTCAAGTCTCAATCAGTAAACACATTTTCTCTGAAGTCTCCGGCCGTGGGATTGCATGTGAGAAAAGAGTGAATTCAATAGCTTCTGTAAGCCGTGAAAGAACAATAAGGACCACTTGGCCCAATCGCTGACCTGCCATTGACTGTCTTCCCGAGTCGGAGGTCGCAGGTATCGACATCGACATCTGTCCCAGGTCTATCCCGTCCAACTTACATGGGGTTGATGGGAAATAATGAAAGAAAGATCTTGCTTGCATCAAAGTGTGCATTGCAGGATGCTTCTCCGGTAGGGCAAAATTGCCGAGATGACGTCGTGCGAAGCCTCAATCAGAGAAATCAGAGAGATGAAACAAACAGACGGCCGCACAGAGGCGCGGGCATATCCCTCAGCGCTCAGCACCAGCGCCTATGCAAACAGCATCACGCATGGACTCTGTAGATCGACTCCAACGTTCATCCTGTCGATTTAAATCACTTCGTGGGCATCCCTATTCTGTATAGCTGCTTCTCTGTTGTGGAGAAAGAACAACGCCGATGGAGGAGAGGGGCCTACAATCGCGAGCTTTCGGTGCGTCTAGTTCATCCGGCCTTGATCCCGCTCCGTTCTCTTGCCACCATCTTATGCTTATCGCCCGCGATCACCACTCGATTTCCACTCCACTAAGGCATATGCGGAAGTTAAGGCACCATCCATCCATACTTTACCCTGTCCACTTCCTGAACGCGTATTTGATCTCTGAATACAGATGTTTCTCCAGATCTTTGAGTTGAATAAAAGCCACTATTAGCATTCGAAAAAGAAACAGGAAACCGACGCAAGAACTTTTAGCCCTTTGTGGTGGCGCTGGGAGAAGATAGCCCGTTCTGTCCAGAGTGATAGTCCTGCAGGAATTCACCGAAAGTCCAGGTGCTGAGGGTAATTTCTACGAGATCCCCGGTTCGGTGTACTTTGCTAGTCCAGCCATGATGGTTCGCGGGCAATGAGTCGTTTAGCAGCGGTCGCCATAGGCAGAATTATGACAACCATCGCCACGTCGGTGAAGTCACTTGTTTTCTCTTTCATCACTCGGTTGCACAGTATTTCGGGGCCATTCGACGTCACATACGATCAATTCGACTTCGGTGAAGTACATAGATGGCACAGATGCTTCATAACAAGTGAATACACTCGTTCGCACACCCCGCGGCGAGTCGAGATATGTATATTCAACTTGAAACTTGAAACTAATTTTTTCCCAAGGGGCCTTCTGCCTGAGTCGCGGCCAACCTTTTTTCTGTCTTTCGCAATACTCCGGCATCCTCAAACTCCACCGTTCGTCTGACGCCCAGTACACGTGTCGGAGTGCATCCGTTTGCCGGTGCCCCACGATGCTTCTATCGGTCCAAATCTCCATATGGAGCGCGTCGACCCTCCTAAATCCGCCTCGAAAGGCATATTCGCTGATCTGTCTCGGTCCTGATGGGCACGCGCCAACACGCGCCCGCCGCCCGCCAATTCAATGCAAGATATCACATCAAACACGGAGCACGAGGTCATTGGCTCGCTTGGCCATTCGAAGGAAAAAGGACAAACAGACTTATATGTGGGGGTCCGATGGTTAGCACAATTCGTCATAGGCATCTGGATGCACCGCTTGCACCGGAAATTCGGGGGTCGAGTATTCGAGTTCCTGAAGATTTGTCGCTCCACAGCCTGCAGCGGCTGAACTGTACCTAAGTTCTGTCAATAATGTGGACGCGTGGATGTGTCAGTGGAGGTGGGGCTAATGTTCGAGGGCTAAGTTGCCGTTTTGACAGGCCTTCAGGTTCGTTTGCAAGTCTAAAAAGTCACAGGCCCGCTCACACTGATCCGATCCAGCTTCCGGAGTCGTGGCAAAAGAAGCAGGAGAAGTCGAATCTGTGGGTGTCCGCGCTCGAAGAACGTTCAAAATATGGGCCATCTTCATATGTCACTGAGTTATCGGGGCTAGTAGCCTTCTCAATTTTCAGCAGAGAAGCATATGAATCTCGTTATGACAAACAGCAGATTGTTCTTTCATGAAATATGTATGAAGCAGTGAATAACATGATCGCGGATGTATTTAGGAAGGACTTTCCCGTAAGATCTCAGAGAGAGATTGCGAGTTTGCATTCAAGATCAATATATTGCATCGGGTAAAGACGCGCGACAAGATCGAGCTTGGGCAGAGAGACACGAGCGCTTCATTGAAAACATATTAGGGTAATAGTATCGAACATAAGGTATGGAAGTACGGATAGGTGGTAGGGCGTGACAATAGAGCTACTAGGAAAGCTATGAGATAATTATAGTAGGGAAGATTTCAAGATACAGCAAGACAATAGAAAGGAAGGTGATGACGGAAGGAAGTCGTAGGAGAAGCCGATTAGGTCTAGACGCAAGACGAAATGGGGTTTTGCGCAAGAATGAGATGCGAGAATAGCGGGGCTTTAATAGAGGTCGGAGGGAATTATAAGGATTGTAGGCTCCAGGGGTATGGACGTACGTTTTAGGCAGGCTGAAAGGAACGACTTCGCGTAAGGCGGGAAGGGTAAAGAACGAACGAGACATCTTGTTTGGGCGGCAGCGTGATTTGTTTCGTTAATAGCGTGAGGTCAAAAAAACAGCATTTGGGGTCGGCATATGAGAATAACATTAGAACTCCAGGAGAAATCATCGATCCTCGTGAGATGGCGAAATGTTCTGATCGGGCTGTTCGTCACCCTCTCCGCTCGGGCGCACGGGGGAAATTGTTGGAGATACCGAGGGCGTCGAGAATGGGATAAAGGTCGCACGAATGGGATCGTAGCGGCCAGAGCGTGAAGGTGGGGTTTCGGAAAGTGGTATCGGGCGTGGAGAGGGAGAGTGGAGATGCGGCGTCCTCTCGGCAAGATAAAATGCATCAGACGATTCTACTGAGCCCCCGATCGGCTCTCGTCTTGCTGCAATGGGTGATGTGGATCTCCCTCTGGTAGAACGCGAGCCTGGACGCGACCACGCGGAAGAACTTGCGCGCGGAAGGGCTGAATACGAAGACTCATCCCATTGAGGAGAAGGTTGAAGCGTGAAGGGGGGAGGAAGATGCAGAGAGGGCCGGGGAGTAGGCTCCGGCGGTTGGTGAGCAAATCTTGGCTCGGGAGAAGTAGAACGAGGAGAAACGAAGGGTGGCCGAGATGGGAGATACGCCTGGGACCCCGACGAAAATCCCCTCGCTCCATAGGTCGAGCTTGCAGGCCTTGTCGACACGAGAGGCGGGAGCGTACGCGACGGGTCACGCTCACGCCAACTGCTAGGCTGAGAGGTTGCCGGCCTAGCCGTCGGCTGAGGGTACATTCGCGGGGATCGGAACGCGTGGGGACTTGGAACGCGTTGGAAGGGCTGGCCCATTGGGAAGCGCGTCTCACCCGCGGGCGCAGAGAGGGGTAGTGGTGGGTGAACGTGGCGATATGCTTGTGGAGGATATGGTATCGCGCCTGGCATCCCAGGACCAAGAAGCCTTCCGGGAATGTCTGCAGTCCCACCTTGCGGTTCAGAGATGGGTGGGCCGGGATAAGGCATATGTTCCATACGGTGTTCTTCGAATCCGCGACCAGTCTATCGAGGTGATTTTCATGGGTAACGTTAAAAAATTTCCGAAAATTCTACAGAAGAATGTAGTGCTTACCGACTCCGGGCCACCGGGGAAAGGCCCATATTGCGGGGGTCGACTGGATGGTGGTTCACCTTGGCTGCGCGGACGTCTTGCCTTCTGTCTTTGGTTCTATAGTTACGATGCCTTCAATGAAAGGTTTTAATTGATTGATAGAATGCTGTCCTCACCTGGAACCAAATCTGACATTTGACGGTTATTGAGCGCGCCCTAAGTCCACGAGGGTAGTATTAGACACATACCTGGACCTTTCGTGCACTTAGACCAATTGACCGCCCAACTCGCGCTCGCCGAGACTACGAATTTTGATTACTGCTTGGAGCACGAGACATGAAACACGAAAGCTATACCTGAGCAAGCAATGCGTGGAGCACGGCAGACTGGTGAGGCGTCGTTAAGGTGCGCGTCCGCTTTTTCTTCGGCGGCGCTGCGGGGGGCTGGGGCTCGGGGTTGGAGGACCTGTTGACGTCCATCTCGCTGTCGGCCATGTCGTCTTGGGAGTCGGAAGAAGGGCTCGAGTGGTTGTCGGGTCGGCCTCGTGCCGCGGGAGAGTCTCTGCGCATGCGTTTAGCCATGGGTTCTTCGGGGGAAGCTTCAGCGGGTCGGATTAGGTGTGAAGAGCGCCGTGTGGAGCTTGATTCGATAAAGTGGGAGGAGGATGCCAGGGGGGGAGGAGAGGGGAGGTGGACGATGAGTGGCTCGTGGAGTCGTGCGCTAGAGAGGGAGTCGGAGGGCGCGGGGGCGTGCTCGTCTAGTAGTTGTATTCGTGAGGCCGTGGGTCGAGGAGACGTGACAATATTAGCAGAGGAAAGATTACGAGTGGGAGTAGGCGACCTGGACTTCGACATCCAGGCTGAAGGAATGGTACGGAGAAACGAAACAAACGATTGGGCCTATGATGCAGTCTCAAAACATCAGGAAGAACTTGACCACCGAGGAGGGAGGAGGGAGAAATTAGTGCGGGGGTGGTGGAGAAGCTCAAGCCTAGGAAACGGTGGTTGGAAAGGCCCTCATGTGGGTAAGTATAGCGATTGCCGATGATATCTATTGCGACCAAATAACGTTACGGTGTCCGTTAACGATTATCCAGGTCTAAGGGCCGCCGAGCCACCAATTATTATTTTTTCTCGATTCCGAAGGATATGTTTCCAAGATCCTGGGCCCGTGATCAAACAAGTTCGCAAAACGGCGTCGTGACGCGGCTAGTGACTCCGAGCGGCCAACCGAGAGAATCCTCGACCAAGTTTATGCCAGGCGTTGTCGTTCTTCGAGAGGTCTAGACGGCGACCGCGGCGACTCAGACAACCGTCGTCGCGCGCGGCTGAGGTGGTGGCGACCTTTACCTACACCGATGGCAACGAACAGCGTGTCACAGTCACACTCTCGGCACCCGCCCCCGGCTTGCACCCAAAAACATATCGTGGTCACATCTCTCCTCCTACATACAGTCGTCATAGAAGTTTAATAAATGTCCAAGGCAACTGTTGGACCTCCTCCCATTAATTTCCTTTTCCCTCCTCGATGCCTATCTGTTGCGACCGCCACCGACGACCAGGCCAGAAACCGCAGCATTCAGCCCGGACAAAATAGTCTTTATCGTTCCCCATGTGCTACCGCCGTGGCGTACAAGGAAGCCCGGATAATGACTGAATGCTCAGATCCATTGTAGCGAGTAATATACGACAATGAAACCCGTAATTATCCCAGCAGGGGATATCTGTTTCATCCTCGAAGAGGACAACCTCCTCGACCGCCGGAAGCAGGGACAATGAACGCAATTTTAGCCCGGCCAACTGCGGTCCAAAATGAAGCCCCATCGTGCCCAGAGGATCGCCCTCCGGAATGGAGCAGGTACTTCATCCAACGCGGTATAATCACACGGAGGAAGATTATTAGAAGACTGGACATGAGGCAGCAGGGTCCCCCTCGGCCTATGAAGAGGTTATAGATCACTGACGGACAGTGGTCAAGGACCTGTAACGGCAGATAAGGACGAGCTTCTGTCAACTCAAAATGGGAAACATACCTTCAAAGACCGATCCCATGATGGAGGTATTTTGAATAGAACCGAAGATCGGGAAGTCACAACAACAATATTGTTACAATGCTTCACCCACATGCACCGTGGAGGACTGCGAAGCGCGTTTCAAGAAGGAGATTAAAGCACTTACCGGCATATATGGAACCGTCTGATTGTCCCACGACAAGCACCCAAGAAGGTTTGTTGGTAGAGTTTCTCGCTCCCCCCATGAGGTCATAGCGGCCACGGTTTCGTGGTCCAGAACATAGGTTCGCGGTGTGGATGAAATGGAGGCAGGAAGGAAATCATCGACCGCGGTTTCTTATGCGCAGGGCCCGAGATGCAGCCTAGACGCTGAGAGACAGGCAACCGTGTAAATTAATCCGAGTTTTTCTAGACGGCGCCAACGACGAAGGATCCATAAGCGAGATAATAGCCAGAGGATAATGGGTGGGTCAAAGAAGTAGAAACATTGATTTACGGTTTGATAGAGATCATTGGCAGGACGGGCAGGAGGAGGAAAGAATACCGATGGGGTCGTTTGATTGACTCTCGACCGTGTTGGTGAGCGTGGTTCAAATTCCTGGCGCAGGGTAATCAGCAATGGTTTGTCCATATTTTTGAAGCGCTAGAAAAGCACATATGACGCAGGGATACCGCGCTTGGGGTGGCACAGGGCTGGTTATACGGCACTCGTGATTGGGGATTCACGGAACTCTGCTTGGGAACGTGCGCAGATAATCTGGAGATTCGGCGATACAGGCCAAAAGGAGCGTACCAATTGAGTCGGATGCTGGCGCGCGTCACCGTCCACTTGGGGGAAGGAATCCGAGGCGCGAGTTCCATGGGGGTGCAATTATGGAGAATTAGGATGCCGTGAAGACCCTAGCACATGCAGCACTTGAAGGCTTAAGCCAGAGACTCGTAAACGTAGGCGTTGATCGGATGCCGACGAGGCTGGTGATTGTCGACCACTACGGAGCCAGTGAACGGAAGATTTAAGCAGGAGAAGCTGGAGGCAAACGGCGACTGAGGATTTCGTAAAAGACAGAAGCAAGTCCCACAGTCTCGCAGGAAGGGCGGCGGCGATTAGGGGAGTGATTGAAGAGCAGCCGCTTCTCTCCACGTAAAGACCTTGTTGCGAGGCGGGAACACACGAGCAGGCGCGTCAAGTGAAGGGGGGATGGCAAGACCTACGCGACTAGCTCGTCTCGCGAGTCGACCCAGCCCCCGAACCAGCCACAACCGAGCCGAGCCGGGCCGCACGTGACTCTGGCCCTTGTGTCGAGTCACGAGCTGATTCCCGTTGAATCTCACCAAGTCGAATCGTCGATGGACGAAGGCACTCAATCCTTTTCGCCATTCCACAACCAGCCAGAGTCCCCGAAAATTTATTTGCCAAAGCCCGCTACCTCTGGCCTCACCCTCGTCATCCCGTCACTGAAGAGCCTCAAGGCCGCACAGTCCACCAAGAATTCTAAGCAACGTGCAGCGTCGATCTCGATCTCGACACCGACCTACCCAGATGTCGACACCCAGGAGAAGAAACCACCCCGGCCGATAAAGCTGAAACCTCTCAAGGAGGTCCTTGCGAAGCTCATCGCTCAAATAAAGAAGTATGTCTCAAAATTTGCTTGTGCTGGCATCGTATTTATCGCATGAGCAGGAAGGATGACTATGCGTTTTTTCTGAAACCCGTCGACGTTGCCAATGTACAGGGATACTCTGATATTATCAAGCGTCCTATGGACTTTGGGACGATGACCCAGAAGGTTAACAAGGGGAAATATCGCTCGTTGGAGGAGTTTGCAGTGCGTATCCTGTATCTTACATCCCAAGATTTTACTGATCGTCTCTACAGTCCGATTTTAAGCTCGTCACCTCCAATGCGAAGATTTTCAATCCCCCCAACACCCTTTACCATACGGAGGCTGATAGGATTGAAGCTTGGGGTCTGGAACACATCAGCAAAGCATCGTCCACCGTCATACAGTACGAAACAGATTGGAACATAGATATCGAGAAAGATGAAGATCCTCTCGTCAACGTCGATAATGACGACGACGACGTTGCTGCTACGCCTATGGATGTAGACAACAGCTCAAGTTTACGGGAGAGGTCCGTGTCTGTCGCGTCACAACCCCAGCCAGGCCCAAGTAGTAGACGAGGGCCTCGTGGACCGTACAAGAAGCAGGGACAGGGCGCCCCTGCCCCCACATTTTCAGAAACACTAGACCCAGATGGAGGTCTTCCTGGGTCGAAAGATGGTCTTGGAGCTTTCCCCCCTGGATCTGATTGGGCCAAAACGATGGTGGCATTGAAACTCAAAGGTATTGTTGTTTTTCTTTCTCTCTTTGTATTCGCCCCGTTCTGAAAATCATACAGGCAAAAAGTACAAGACGAAGAAGGAGAGGCTGAGAATCGAACGCGAAGGGCCGCCATTGCTCCCCGATGGAAGTCTTGATTATACAGAAAGTCCGTGTTGTCGTCTATTTCAGTGCTCAACGTGGTTCTGATTGCAAAAAATCTGACAGTGGAAGACCCTTTCTCCGTGCTGTCGTTTTTTGTTCCTGAGCCGCTCTCCCGACCGCAACTCGTCCCGCTCTACCCTCCTTTGTACAACCCTCCTCCGCCGCCTCTGCCTCCTCAACTTGCCTCCGAACCATCAACTTCTCAGACTCCCCAGACCCCAGCGCGATCGACACCTGTCCCCACATCTGCATCCGTCCCCCCTCCTGCCTCCGCTTCACGTCAATCTGTCTTTCCTGCCGCTACATCTATAGGACCGGACCATGTTCCGCCAGACGTGCCATTTCTGCAACAACAGCAGCGACCGTCCGGGACAGCAAATGGCAAGGCTTCATCGTCGACAGCTGCCCAGCCCAGAAGACGTCACTGGACGATTAACCGCAATGCGAGTTCGCGTCAGAAAGGCAAAGAGCGGGATGATGAACTGACGCAGGATGGGCCTGTTGAGCTACCACCATGGCAGATGCCACGCGAGGCTCACGCCACCGATTTTGGGTCGTTCGCTGCCCTCGCAGGTGCATTGGCTGAGGAGATGAAGAAGCGCGGTATCTCGTCGACCTCACTACCGAATGGGGTGGAAAAGGACAAGGATAAAGAGGGATTAGATCAGGAGGTCAGCTTTGATCTGATACGGAGTAGTGTCGATTGTGAGGCTATTGTCAAGGAGAGGGAGGAGAAGGGTAAGCAGGCCGTTGCTAGTGTGGTTACGACTGGGAGCAGAGAGGGCGCAGTGCTTGGCAGTGCGTATTGGACGGACCAGCGTGCGGCGGAGGCGGAGGAGTACCTGAGGGACGTGGTTTATGGTGGTGCGGATGGTTTCGCATATGTGAGGAGTTTGGCAGAATTTACGGATGGGAGGTGTTATTATGTGGAGGTGCGTGTATATTCCTTTTATTTTTCCTTCTACGAAGGCTGATCATGGCTGTGTATACTGCAGGATCCGTCTTCATCTTCAGTCAAACCTAGTCCCCAAACAAATGTTCTCGGGATGCCTCTGTCGGAATGGGTAGTACAGAACATCGTCGACCCTCTCACTGATGGACGGCACTCTCTCCTACGAGAAACTGCCTTGGAGCTCGCTCGCCAACAGAACAGTAAACCTCCCATCGATCCAATGAAGGATCCACGAGACGGCACTGTCGCCTCGCAAGTGGCAGCTTCACTGCACTTCTCCCCGTATGCACTCGTCGCCTTGTCCGCTCTCTTGCAGATTCGAATACACAAGATCGACATGGGGTCGCTCATCAAGACGCCGAACGAGCTCTTCCTGAGCGAAGAAGAATGGGCAGGGAAGGGTCTTAAGGAGAAAAGGAGGTTGAGGTTGCAGAAGGCGAAACAGGAGGCTGAGGCTGCGGCGAAGAGGGCGAAGGCGAAGGTCGAGGGCGAACCGATGGAGTTGGAGGAGGCGGAGCAGACCTGGGCGGGTGTCGATGCGAGCTTGGGAGGCAAGGACCGGTTGAATGGGAGGTTGGAGTATGAGGCTGAGGGCCCAGAAGAGCTGATGGAGGTCCTGGATTACGTTGCGAACGTTATCATCGAGCTAGATTGCCGGAACCGCGTCGCGAGGGAAGGCGGACATATTGGGAGCGTCGGTCCCGACGCTGAGAAGAAACCTACGGTTGCGACGTCGGCTGTCAATGGGTTCGGGACTGGGCTTCATGGGGAAAAGGCTTCTGGCTCTGGTTCTAGTTCGGTTGGTGGAACTGCAGATGCAAACGGAGCCGATGTCATTATGGCATCCGACGACGACGAACGCGACGATCACGACAAGGACGAGGGCGCTGATGCCGCTGCTGACGATACTTCTATGACGAAGGATCGAGAACAAGGGCAGACACAAGCGATGTCGCAACCTACATCGCGCAAAGTTCAGGCGGGTGTTGTCGGCGTTGGGGTTGGTGCCGGGAGTATTGGTGGTGGTGCTGGCGACGGCGGCGCTATGTCAGAGGAGGACCCAGGTATTCGGAATCTTCGTCTCAACCTCCTCGCGCTGGCGAAAAGGGCGCCGCTCGACACGATTGCGCGCCTCCCGAAGGACCTTGTCCCGGAGCACATACGTCATTTTGTGCCTACGCTGGGATCATCGGGTTGGTTGGCGGTGTGATTGTGGCTGCTTAGACTGCCATCGGGACATCGGTTGTGCCTGCAGCTCTGCAGCCTGGGCAACTCGGAGCAGGTCCAATTTCTTTTAACATCCCGCGCGTTACAGTGCGAGCATGGGCCTCTTTTTTTGTTAGTTAATCTTAAATTATAGAATTATCTTACTTTCTGTGCTGTTTGTCTGTTGATTTCAAAGGAAATTTCAGGTCTCCATGACGGGCGCCTACTAGACGGCGCCTAGCCACTCACCTCGATCGTTTGTTATTCGTCGGCACCGGCAATCAAGATCTAACTGTCACTGAGCTGCGCATGCGCGTCGCATGGTGAAGATTTGAAAAACAATGGAGGACCCGTGGTGCAGCCGCTGAGCTTCGGAAAGCAACAGCTACTTTGCCCAAGCCTGCTTAACACGGCAAATGGCCATGCAACCTCACAATCGGGTCCGGCTTTTTGATAGGGAAATGGTTTTGATACGCACTACCCCGGCCGTTAACCTGCGGGCTCGGATTTGCAACAATATCCAGAAGGCAGGATAGCTAAGGCAAAGACAGCAGTCGTCGTTGTCTGTCCTCCTCTTGAAGATAGTCATTCCTCTTCATTGACCGCCTCCTGTTGTGCCTTGCTCGAATTTCAGATCAGGCATTTGTGATTTCAAGGAGGATGATTAGGGGCGATGGCGGCAAAGCGGGTCAGCATTCAAATATTCATCAACTCTGTGCTAGTACTTGGAGAGGGTTCCCGTTCGCTGACTTACATATAATGGCCAGTACTTGCGAAGAGACAGACACTTCTTTCCTTCCAGGTATACTTATAGATCTAAGTTTTCTGATTGATCATGTCTTTGGGCTTCGATTGCTTCGATTATTAGGAACCCGAAGGGGTCCTAGTGTGGGGTACAACGACAATAGAACGGATGAAAGTATTGTCGTTAGTACGAGAAGGTCATTTGCATCGTCGTACATGTGGAGAGGATTTTCGCTCATGTGCCAGAATGATGAAGCCCGAAAGGCCGAAGCGAGGGAGAAAATATCCTTATTTGGGTCCCGTGGCGTCCACTAGCAAAACGTGGCTTACAACAGGGTTTTCTTTCACCTCTCTCTGAAAATTTGGGCCCCGGCGTGTCGGCACCCAATCCGAAGCCATGCGCGATACCAGGGTTCGATCGATCCGAATGGTGAGCAGTCAGTGCGGCTCAGTGCGGCCTTGTGAATTCCCAAGTCCTGACAAAATCTACAGCCCAAACTCCTGTAGGGGTTATTGTTCACGAGAATTTGAACTGGGCCCTGGGGCCAGGTTCCTCGGAGTCACATTTTCCTGACAGTAGTGTCGAGGAACAAGAGCCTTCAGCTCGACGTCTGATGTGATCGTGGTCATTCATCGGGATGGGCGCCATGTTTTCGACACCTGTTGATGGGCCGGATGGGTTCTAGTTGATATACTTCATCTGTGAACCCACAGTCCGAGGACGCCTTTGCAGACTACCCTTCCATTCACCCAATCCGTATCCTTGAAACCAGGTACGGACCCCATCGCCACATGTAGAAGATAGTGGCGGCGATAACAGGATCAGAATCGTCGCTCTACCCGGGCTCGTGTCGAGTTTGTGCTAGATATCTAACCGACGGCTTTAGGGTGCAAGTTTCGTGGTCGAGCATTTCAAAAACCATATCTCATCGTACAACCTTGAACGTGGAAGCAAAGATAGAACACGGTGAGTGCCTTTATTCCCGGCGCCTAATTTCATCGAACGAGATCGCAATCAACTAACGAATGGCTGTCCGACAGCCTCTAGGTCCCAACTTGAAGTCCTGATTTGACCTGTCTACGCTGAAAGTTTCAGTCTCCATTCGACATCCCGTTACCTCGGCCTAGCTCATTTTCGGGATGAAAGCTGATGAGCGCCGCCCATGCGTCAAAGGCTCTTTTTTATCCTAGCCTCTCCAGCTTTTGCTTCCATCTCTCACGTCGGTGTGCGTCCGTTATTTCTTCCAAGGGCTTTCCGTTGACCGGCGGTGCGGCAACCAGAGAGAGATATTGTGCTCATGATCCCTGTCTTCACCTCTGCTCCCAGTTTACCTTACTTTAAGTCATCAAACCGGTAACTACCCAAACGATGAAAACGACAAGAAAGCATGTGCGACACTTCATATCGCGGCTTTTATATAAGGGAACGGTCCCTGAGTCCGTGCGAGCGCCCCTGGATATCTTACCTCCGGCTTATCTCTTGATATAGGACGTCAAATCGGGTACTTAAGTTCTGGTGGAGCAGCCCACTAACAGGTTTTCACCCCACTGGAGCCGTTCTCCTTCGCCGTTCATTAGGACACGATGGCGAAAGAGTCCTTCCCTATCGATGCCGCCCAGGTCGTGGGCCTCTTCATGGAGAGCGTGTTTTATGGGTGAGTGCTCACGATCTGCTCCTTACAGCTGCTGGGGCTAAAGACCATGACTGTTCGTCGATGTTGTGTTCTAGTACGCCCAAAAAATTTCTCTCATCCTGCGGAGGGTGCTCAGTGTCCTTCTCACCGCAGGCGTCTTCCTTGTTTCTTTCTTCAGCTGTCTGCGGGTCCTGCTGTGGAAAGAGGGCTGGTTCAAGCCGCTGCACGCGATCAACAAGAAAATGCTGGTCGCGGCCCTCCTCATGTTTTTGTTTGCCTCGTTGGACGTCGCCTTCCATCTGCGTCATAACCTCGATGCGTTCATTTGGTTCGAGGGAGACCCTGTCGACGCATTCGAGGAGACTTCCAACTGGATCAACGTCATGAAGATGGTGTGCTACGTCCTGCAGACTTTCGTTGGTGATGCAATTTTGGTGCGTTGTGAGTATTCTTCATTTATTCTTGCAACTGAATACCTTCTTGTCCAGCTCTACCGATGCTTCATCGTTTATTCGAAGCGTTGGCTCGTCATCGTTCTTCCAACTCTCCTCTGGCTTGGAACGACCGGTAAGTGTACACTTATGCTAAGCTTTAACTGAGTCTAACAAATTTCTACAGTCTGCGGAGCCATGACAATTTACGTCGAGGCGACGTTGGATACCTCCGGGAAACTCCTCAACGCTTCCAATCTTATTCCGTTTATTACCAGTATGCTGTGCCTCACTCTTGCGACAAACGTCCTGACAACGGGTACGTCCACTCTGCGGTCCATTTCGCCGTTTAGCGTGCTAATATTTCCCAGGTTTAATCGTGCATCGCATCTGGAAGATTCGGGTGAACCTCAAGCATCGTTCAACCGTCGTCACCAATTCTCCTCTCACAAATGTCATGGTCGTCCTTATCGAGTCTGGCCTTATGTACACGCTATCGATTATCATCCTGTTTGGTCTTTACATGGCCTCGAGCAATGGGCAATATGGCGTATCAAACGCGGTACGTCAGACTGTCATTTTCAAACATCAAGCATGCAGTGCTAACTATTTTTATCCGTCGATCCATCATCTAGGTTGTCCAAATCATTGTGAGTGACCGATTTCCTGCCCTATCTCTGCCGACTGTCCCTCATGCACATTCGTTTGCTCCTGTAGGGTATCACGTTCAACCTTATCATCACCAGTGTGGACCGCGGAGATTCGACACAGCCTACGAGCCAGACTAATCGCTCTATCAGCCATTCCGCTTCTCAAGGAAACGTCCCTCTTCATATGATCAACATCCAGACAACCGTCAATCGTTACCCGGACCCCGCACCCACCAAATCGCACGTCTCCGACATCGAAACGGCATCGTCAAACAAGGTGGAATGGAATTCCCCTCAATGACGTTGACTGAAGCCGCTTTTGATGCTTTCGAAAGGCCCTTCCTTCTCCCTTCACTTTGCGAAGTCTATTCCTCCTCTCCGTTCGCCTCTTTTATTCCTGAGTACTAGATGGACGATAGAAAGCCGAAGCATGTAATAATAATTTAAGTGGCATTAATATTGCTATTACTACTTACTTATGTTTCGACCACGATCCTGTACCACTAGACTTCCTACGCGTAAAGATGCCCTAAACTCCAGATACCGTCCCAGTGGGGAAAATTCTATTTTCATTAAGAAGAAATCACAAGCCGGATAACATTATGGATCAGGCACATCGTCAGGCCCGATATGCTCTGTAGCATACGGTGGACCGACGACGGTGGGCCAGCGTTACTCTCCCGTACATAAACACTATACCCCCGTGAGTCACGCAGATCATCGTCAACTTGGCCTTTTAACAGATCTATTCCCTCATTCGCTACGCTGCAGGACGCACAGAAAGCACAAGATAAATTGTATCCCAGCAAGAACGAATTTCGCATGTTGCTCAAATCGCGATGCACCGCAGAGCTTGGTTAATAGCATGAAGTGTAATTCAATCCAGGCCGACGAGCTATATTATATTTTAGACCATGACGGACCAAGGTATACCAAGGTGGCCTTCAGCTCGGCCTGTAGGAGAGGCTCGTGCTTAGGTCCCAAGCATGAAAGACACAGCTAAGGGGAGTATACAATGGGTATGAGTATTCCTTTGTACGATCACGCAAGCAATATGTGGGCGCTAAAGCAGCCGTGACCTGAATAGATCGGCGATTTCGCTTAACGCACTTTACGCTGGGTTCAGCTTAGGTCGGCTATTGCTTGATAGAGGTTCCGGTTAGACGCCCTGAAGACTGAGTACCTCAAAGCTAATCCCCTAGAAAAGAAGCGTATGTTTTGATTACGGCGGATTTTTGCTATTCGGAGTGAAAAAGGGATACCAGAGCAGGCATGGAACACATTTTTTGCCAAAAATTTCCAATAGCCATGTAAGAACCTATTGCCAAAGATTGGGGCTTGATTTCGGCAGTATAAAATTGGGGAAGACATTTTCGGGACTCTCCGCAGATTGTGTGAGACAAAGAGGCGTTTACAAAGAGTTGGCGTGTTTTCCGCCTCGAGGTAGATGTCGTAATGTGGAGGCAAGGGGTTTGACCAGAGGACAAAGAGAACGATGATGTGCCTACGGTGGGGTGATCGTGCGAATAAGGAATGACTAACACACACCCAAAACACCGCTATGAGTGGCTCTGAGGTGCGAGGACAGGTTCCCGGTTGTGCGGCTCTAACCAGAGGGCGCGCGCGACTAGCAAACGGAGGACGACGGTGGGCGCTAAGCGTGGGAACGGAATGGCGATGGCGGCGAGATCGAAAGACGGGGAAACGGCGGGTCGAAACGGCGGGTCGAAACGGCGGGCCGAAACGAGGCTGAGAGCGGCGAGAGAAGGCGTACGAGAGACGAGGACGAGGTACGAGTGCCTCGAGTGGGCAACCGAGACGAAAACTGTATGTTATTGGAAGAAAAAACTAATGACAGACTTTTTATACCTATGAAAAACAAGAACACCGGCCAGGTATATCTCCGAACCGGGTTGCAGGAATAAAGGATAAGAGGAAAGCTTCCAGGAAAATAAGTAAGAATGATAAAGAAATAATGAAAAGGCGCGAGGCGACTGCGCCGATGGTCTAGAAATGGCAAGGGTGGCGCGCCGAGTGCATCGCTTCGACTGGAAGCATGTGGGTCGACCACGGGTCTTGCTGATGTTCTGGCCAGGTCTCCGGGTGCGTCGAGGAATCATATGGTGCGATGGGAAAGGTGTCGGGGATCGAGGGGACGACGGGAATGCAATGACGAAAGTCGAAAAAAGGGATTTTCCGAGGCCAGGCAGCGGGCTGGCTCATCAACGAGGTGCGTAACAGTTTATATGTCAATTCAGGGCAGAAAACACTTGAAATAAGTGTCACCGTCTGGTGGCATTTACTCGTTGATATTTTAACCTTCTTTCCCGCACTATCAAGCATGAAAAGGCTTTCCCGAAGATTTAACAGGTATTGCACCGACCTGGAGGAATTTTTTGTCCAAAAAATTCCCTTGATGCACACTGTGTACAGAGTCCCATGACCATGTATGAAGGTCGTCGAATCCGTGAACTGTTTAGTAGTTAATAATTGACTCGTAGATCTCTCATAGACAGAATTAAGTAGTAGTGGACCACTGTATACTGTTCAATCTCTGGCACACCAATCTTTCCAATGCTAACGTTCCTCATTGAAATGAATACGAGTATAGTGCTTTTGCATGGGCTGTGGACCCAATTAATCATAGCCATGGTTCCTTTCCAATAGCTGGTTAACATTTCAAAATTTCATGGCCAATGGTAGTTCGGACCCGATAAAATTTCGCGCCGACATGTTTCCCGAAGTCTCCTCAACAAGCCCCTGCTCAGATATCAGTCATATCAATTACTGCCCCGCAGAGGGACTAGCAAAACGTTGGTTCTTATTCATTTGCTTCTCTAGGATTCTGTAGGACAGGCCGACAAAATAGTTGGACTTGTTCGACGGCCCTTCCAGTGACATATACATATATGGCTAACTGAGCGAGTGTGGCGCAGCGCAGTCTAGAACCAAGTCAAGACCCCGTGCTGTCATCGCGATCATCCGCGGAGTAATTGCGCGTCCATCCAAAGCGCAATGCCTGTGGCAGTGTGCGAGCCAGCGCAATCAGTCTTGATGACACAACTGCTCCTTGGTTCTGAGACTGCTGGGGCGGCCCAATCACCCTCGAGGTATGAGCGCTGTCGGGACCTGAGCACATCGTGTAAGCGTGAAGAGAACCCCTGGCTTATGCGTCCTATTTACCCGACCCGTCGACGCGTCATCCCTTGCATTTTCAGCCGGTGAAATGATCGTGCATTTGACCGACTCGCCCTTCAGCTTCAGCTAGCAAACTTAAAGAATGATTCAAGTACCTGTGAGAGCGGCCTCCAAAAATAAAATGAGACATCCTCAGCAGCTATCTGTATCTTGTACTCCGAGTCCATCGATGGGGAGGTTACGCAGTAATAATACTCTTTACGGCGGTCCACCTCCGGGTGATCCGCGTGCATAACAGGGATCAACAGTCCAAGAGCACAAGGGTTGCCAAGAACCCTCATCATTGAGTGCCGCAGCGGATACAAGCCCTTCGTTTGTCTTAAATGGTTCGTTCTAGCCTTCTCTTCCACCTACCATGTCGTTCTTGAAGGCAAAGCTCGAATCTGGGCTGAAAGCTATCAAAAATCCTACTTCACAGACACCCTCGAACCCTATGGACTTCGTTACAAAGGTCATTGGACATGCTCGCAATGAAGTTATCGGTAAGATTATATGTCGCTTGTCTGGGGTGCAAGCGATGCTGATGAGAACTATCAGGAATCCTGAACCCAAATCGTACGAAACCAGCATATATAATTATGAACGAGATGCCGATGTCTTACGACCATATATTCAGGGCGTCACGACGACCCAGAGGAGCAGGCGCAGGATGCGTTGAGGGCTGAGATTCGTGCTGGACATCGGTTCACCAGTTTCGCTGCCGAGAGGTCTGGTAACACCGCGAAATGGTAAGCACCTCCTATCCTTGGAACCGGTCGAAGATGACGCATCTTTCAAGGCATGTCGATGGGCATGACTATATGTGGGCGGTCTCTGAGCTGATCGATAAGGCGGAAGAGTTTATTTTTATCATGGTGCGCACTTTCAACTTTGATGCCACTGTTCATCACCTCATCACTTCCCTCAGGATTGGTGGCTTACTCCCGAGTTGTATCTTCGTCGCCCTCCTGCGTATTACCCGGAATGGCGTCTCGACTACCTTCTGAAGAGAAAGGCTGAGCAAGGAGTCAAGATCCATGTAATTGTGTACAAAGAGGCTCGTCGTCTATCTTCATGCGAAGCATTGATATTCGAGTTGACTCCAATCTAGGTTACTCAAACGATGTCCATGAGCTCTAAGCATACTAAAGTCAGCATTTGCGCGATCGGGGTTGTGGCCTCTATTAACGAGCTGGTCCGCAGAACAAGCTGGAGAACCTCCACCCGAATATCACTTGCATGCGCCATCCCGACCACATCGGCGCGAAAGGCAAGTATTACTACGCTCCAATATGTAATCTAGGTTGCTCAGACCCTTTCATTCTCCTTCAGACAGCGTCCAGTTCTGGTCTCACCACGAGAAGGTACGGATTCACCAGGAATATGCTGAGAACGTCCGGTGATAGAGCGCTTGTAGGTTGTCGTCGTCGATAACCACTATGCCGCAGTTGGCGGTCTTGACCTCTGCTTCGGACGCTGGGATACCCACACCCATCCTCTTGCCGATGTTCATCCCACCGACTTCTCGAAGACGCTGTTCCCTGGCCAAGACTACAACAACGCTCGCATTATGGACTTCAAGGAGGTCTATGACTATGTTAGCAACACGCTCTCCATACAAGATAACGCCAGGATGCCTTGGCACGACGTAAGTATTCAGCCCCACCTTCTATCTCCAAGCGATATTTATGACGTACTGCGTAGGTGCACATGACACTGCAAGGAGATGCCGTCTTGGATATCTCCCAGCATTTCGTCGAACGCTGGAACGAGATCAAGAAACGGAAGGTATGCTCATTGTTTTGCCCGCCGTTTCTGTTGCTTAGATTTACGTCAAACCCTATCAGTACCGCGAGAAGGAGTACGCCAGAATTCTTCATCGCCGCCACAGGGTCTAACTGATTGTTTTCAAGGAACATTGCCTGGTTGGCCCTCCCTCATGAGCCAGAACATGCGCCTAACGAGGCTGCTGCTCGTTCGTCGTTTCCTCCTTCTGGCTGGGCACTTGGTACTAAATAGCTGCCAGGCCATCCTCATCTCCAGCATTGGCGTGAGATTGGCCACAAGTACACCCAACGCTGGCACGGTCCCTCTAGACCTGAAGATGCAGATGGGGATGATCGTAATCGAGGGCAAGGGCGCGGTCGCAGGGGACAGTGCAGGGTTCAGGTCATTAGGAGCGTCTCGGATTGGTCTCACGGAGTCTTGACTGAGCACAGTATTCAGGATGCTTGTAAGTTTTTCCCCAATCATGATGGCTTTTCAACTTTCAATCCTTTGCCACCATAGACATCCAGTTAATCAAAGAAGCTGAACATTACATCTATATTGGTAAGCAGCTCTTTCTGCGCCTGAACCCATGCACAGTACTTGATCGGCATTTCCAGAAAATCAGTTCTTGTATATCCTTTCCAGCTCTTTCTTTTAATCAACCTAATTCTTTGTTCAGCATCTCTAACACCAAGACCGGATGCTCCGTTACGAATCAGATTGGCGCTGCCCTCGTCGAACGTATTGTCCGTGCCGCTATTGAGGGCAAGAAATTTAAGGCAAGTGTCTTCATACCGGCACGAGTGTTGTCTGATATCATTCCTAGGTCGTCGTTGTCATTCCTGAGGTTCCTGGATTTGCCGGTGATATCAAATCTGAGAGCGCGATAAAGACTATAATGGCTGCTCAATATCGTAGTATCAATCGCGGTGGCAGCAGCATCTATGAAGCAATTCGCAAAGCCGGATATGAGCCGCACGTGTCATGACCCTCTATTTAAGCTGTGCATTAACATGACATTTTGCAGGATGGACTACATTCGTTTCTACCACCTCCGATCTTACGACAGGATTAATGCTCCAAAGGGTACGTGGACAGTGTATGGATCTCCATAGATCGTTTGATGATATCTTCCCTTAGGCTTCATCCAGCAGATGGAGCGTAACTCAGGTGTCACCTTCCACGAAGCACAAGTTGCCCTTTCCCGTCAATGGGTTGCTGGCGACCAGCTTACAACCCAGAAAGAGATCATCCTCAGCATCCCACAAGAGGAGGGCCTGGTACCAGCCGATAAACCTCCGGTCACTGAGAAGGTTCCTATTCCTGTGGATGATAACGCCGCCAGGGAGGTCGTAGCGAGGTTCGAGCGCGGTGCTCAAGGCCTTCGCTCAGACGACCAAGTCTCCGACACCGTTTCCCAGCATATGTTGGACGATAGGACCTCACTATTCGATGAAACTTGGCTTGGTACAGAGGAAGAGGAGCTCAACGCGTAAGGCGCCTCTAACTGTGATGGCTATTTCCTTCGCTCATCCTCTCCGCCCTTTCCGCATAGCTATGTTTCTGAGCTCTTATACATCCATTCGAAGCTGATGATCGTCGACGACCGTCGTGTTATCGTAAGAGATTTTCTGGGTTAGTTACATCTTATCTTATCCTATCTCACCAGATGGGGTCCGCCAACATCAACGACCGTAGTCAGAAGGTGCTTCATCTCATTAGTCACTTACTTAATCTAATGCCGCGTAATAGGGTGACGGAGACTCAGAAATTGCCCTGGTGGTTGAAGACGACGACATGATCGAATCCACGATGGACGGCCAGTACTACCCAGTTGCTCGTTTTGCCGCCACTCTTCGTCGACAACTTTACAAGGGTAAACCAACGTCATCTTGCGTGGAAACACACACTTACATGACGTTGCAGAGCATTTGGGCATGATCCCCCCTCAAAATTGCGACACCCGCGATCATGAGGTGACCCCGTTCATGCGCCCAGCGCCATACCCCAGCAACGATGAGACCCACAGCGATGAAGATCGCCTTGTAGCCGATCCTATCAGCGACGAGACCGACAATCTCTGGAAGGAGGCAGCTAGAAAGAATCGCGAAATCTTCTCAGAACTCTTCCGACCTATCCCAACCAATCTCGTTCGTAGCTGGGATGCGTATGAGGTCGGTTTCTGGCCTGACTACTTGTTGCACTTCATCATCATGACTGTAATCTCTTTACCATAGAACTATCGTCCTAAAGTCAAGACGGGCCACGTAGCTCCCGGCATTACCCTCGAGCGCCTGAAGACGCGTCTCAACCAGGTCAAAGGAGCATTGGTCGAGTGTCCCCTGGTCAGTTTCCTAAGCATATGCTTCTGATATGACGCTGATCCTTTGTGTAGGACTTCCTCATTGATGATAAAGATTTTGTCACTGGGCCAGAATGGACCGTTCTTAACCCTACACTTCCGATTTACATCTAAAGAGGAAGCGTATGAAGACTTTACTTTTGTTGAGTGCTACACATGAAGGAGGGAGACAATATATCTTGATAAAGATGTCCGAACTGGTAACCAAAGTGAATGTAACCTGATGATAAGCTACGGCTAAGCATTGTTCGCGCAAACCAGAGAGAAGAACGTACGCATCATGAAGATTCCAAGGTAATAAAAATACAAAAAAAATAATCTAGAGAAATGATGGGGGGTCGCAAAAAAAGAGTCATGCTGTCGCACTGTAGGTCTCAAGGATGTTGCTAATCATATCGCCAATCGTGTACTCGTCCGACAAGAATTTATCCGGAACATCCACCTGCAGCTCCTTGAGAAGATGTCCTTTGAACTGGGCGAACGCGATGGAGTCGGCACCACAAGCACCCAATGGCTCGTTCGTGTCTGGCGTTAAATAAGTAGGACGTCAGGCAAAGTTGGGAATGCACATACCGAGCGTTTCGTTAGGCTGTAACTCCATCGCAGCACGAAGGATGGACAAGGCAATCTTCTTGGCGTCTTCGGTCGACACTCTAGCCTTGTCAGTCGATGCGGCAGTCTTCTTCGAGGGTGGGAGAAGGGAGGCAAAGAATGGATCTTCGGAGGAGGTCGGTGTCGAAGCCAGGTTCTTAAGGTCCACACGCGCAACGATTTGCAGAGGGATGGGCACCATCATAGCCTTCAAAATAGAGGCGACCTCTTCCGAATGGCAGTGGAAAGCGAGACCGTCGCCCATATCCATGCTTTCCGGTGCGCCGAGTTGCAACGAGCTTCCAGAAAGGCCACAGTTGTGACGGTAAGTAGCAAGGGAGTCCATGAAGGCGTTGGCGGAAATACATGCACTTTGCCCCGAGTTTCCCACAAGGACACTGAATACAATGAGATGGGAAGCGACATCAAGAACTTAGAAGACTTACTTGGCGGAGCTGCAGAGAACGAAGGAATCAAGGGAGAGATTGAGCTCTTGGCAAGCAATGTGTAAGTTCCACGACCCGAGGACCTTGGGACGAAGAACATCCTCGTAAGCGGAAGCGTCGAAGTTCTTGATATTAGCAGTTTTTACAACCGCGGCGGTGTGGATGACGTTCTTGATGCCGCCGTAGAGGTAGTTGATATCCGCCAGTGCATTCTTCAGCGATTGCATATCGGCAGCGTCGCCCTGTCGGTACATGCAATGGCCTCGAGCTTTCTCAGGGATTCGCGCAAGTGCTGCACGGATCTGAGCGGACATATTAGTATCGGCACTTCAACTTCATGAGCGAAAACTACGTACGTCTTCATGACTCTCGGGCCGTCGACCCAAGAAGACAACCGTACTGCAGCCAGCCTCGACAAGAGCCGAGGCGATTTCCGTCCCAATGTGACCCATACCGACAACGACAGTAGTGCCTGAGGGCGACCTCGCTGGCACTTTCTCGATGGGCTGCAGACGTGGAACAAGGCGGGACAACGATTTCTTTGAGGAATCTTCGCGGTAGCAAATGAAAGTGTCCCTGCCCGAAACATTGCGATGTGCTTGCATCTCGGCGGAAATGATCTCGTTGAGCTTGGATTGATCAACAGAGTCAAGGCTAGGGAGATCGAGACACCAAGCAGCGAAATCCATGCCAGTTTCTCGTCGGAAGACCCTCAGCATCCCATGCAAAATGGCACCAACCAAGGTCGTGGACGTCGCCTTCGAATCGGAGAAGAGGTCAAGACCTTCGGTATAAAGGTCCACCGGCGCAGACCAAGAGGTGATTGCAAGCAGAGTTGATATGTGAATCTTGCAGTCCGCCATGAATCTCAGGAGAGAAAGAAGTTGGATGTAAAGGGCGGTGAATTCACTGGAATCTGGGTTGTTGTTGGCCTTGCTCACATCGAAGACGACGAGCACGTCCTGACCACGCATATTGGTGACTATAGCATCGATCTGACCAGTAGCCAAGCACTTAACATTGTCGTTCTTGTAGCCTTCTGCGTCCTGTGGCAGACCGGCAACTTCGAGCGACAGGGCGTCCCTGGCTGATGTCGATAGAGCCTTCAAGACTCTAGATGAAGGACCATTGCCGACATACAGAAGCTCATCGTACTTGTGACATGACGACTCCTCCTGTTGGGCGGGGCTCTGGACGCTCCATCCATTGCGGAGCCATACATCCTTCAAATCCACTGCACAGGCCTCCTGTTCCTTATGAACACCACCGCGGGGCACCCAGGCAACCGTGTACTTCTTGCAGGAAACCAAGAGTTCGCCAGACTCGGAGAAGACTTCGAACGAGCCGCTCAAAACTCGGGCACCGCGACCAACCTCAAGAGGAAGATAATAACGGCAAGTGAAGTTGTAGGGGATATCGTCGGTATGAAGAGTGAAGTCTTCCAGAGACGTTGGCAGGAACGCTCCGTTCGTGTCGTCAACGGGAGGGGCAGCCTTGGAAGAGACAGCGGCGAACATGTGCAGGCAAGCATCCAATTTGCGGATGCGGTCATGGGCAGCACTGCTGGTCTTGTCGACGATGATGTCTCCAACTGCATGGTCCGCCCAGAATTTAACCTGCTGAACGGTGCGGAACGGCTCTCCAAACGCCACGTTCTTGAAGCATTCATAGACTTGGCTCTTGGACATTATCTGCAAAGGCACCACCTCGGGCTCCCTGACGATCCTCTTTGGCACATGAACTGGAGCTTCGCCGGAGAAGGTGCCGGAGCAGAACTTGGTGGTATCGCAGCCTTCTTGCACAAGCTTGAACGATGACTTCTCGACTTCGACGCGTGCTTGAGTATCCGGTGTTTCGAGAACCAAAGGAACATGGAATTTGACGGTTTTCACGGATCTCTTCGGAGCAGCACGCGCAAAAAAGTCGACCATAGCGGCACCAGGGAGAACTCTGCGACCTTCAATGCGATGGAGATCAAGGAAATCGCAGAGTGCTTGATCGACGACGAAGCGTGGACAGGTTGATGTTGCTCGAGCCTGAGACTGGCCGACTCCCAGAAGGTTGTTGCGAGATGCAATATAGGTGGGGTAGTTGAGGATGCGTTGGAATGGGTATGTAGGAATGTCGGTCATGGTAAACCTATAGGGCATCTGACTGAAGAGAGCCGAGAAGTCGATGGTAAAGCCCTTCTCGAAGAGAGCCGAAAGTGCAGTAAGCATGGCTAGAATTTGATCCTTGCCCCGTTTCCCGGTAAACGCAAGGCGGGACTTGCCAGCAAACTCTGACGACTGCATGTTAGACCACACCGTTGGCTGCGGCCCAACGTCTATGACGACATCAATCGAGGAGGACTTATGTGCCACCCTAGCGGTCTGAAGGAATTTCACAGAATTTTGGGCATGATCCACCTGCAGAGCGATCAGCAAATGGTAAATGAAACGATGTTGAAATGATTTTACCCAGTACTGAGAATTCAAGTCTTGATGTTTAGGTATTTCCCTGGCGCGGACGGTAGAGAAGAAAGGCTTCTCGAGGGGCTTCATTGACGCTTCGTGTTCATCTAGCCATGCCTTGAGAGCAGGGAGGGCGGGTGCAATCGAAGGACTGTGGAAGCCTGAGCAGGAATGAGAAGAGCGTCATTGCGGGGGGATGAATAGCTTCACCTTGATCTACAACCAACTTGACAGATCTCAAACCATCTCGCTTGGCCGCGGCCATAAGTTTCTCAACGCCCTTCAGTTCGCCCGAGACAACAATGCTGTCCGGACCATTATGAACGGCTATCGCAACACGTCCTCGCAAACCAAGTGAAGAGATATAGTGATTGACGCGTTCCTCTGGGGCAGCGACGGCGGCCATGCCACCAGGATGCGCGGGATCCGCGCGGAGAAGTTTGGCTCTGATAACCACAAATTGCAAACCGTGGTCAAAGCTGGAAGCCCCGGCAATAACTACGGGCTTGTATCAATGGCAAGCTCTGGAGCAAGGTTGCGACGACGTACCCGATGCGGCAATTTCTCCCAAGCTATGGCCCATAACTGCATGTGCTTGGACGCCAAGTGTCTCCAACCAAGTGGCCATCGAATACTGGAAGACGAAGATGCACACCTGGGCAACCTCGCTCTGATCAATCGACATGTGCCCAGGTGCAGATTCTTCCACAAGGTAAGGAAGAATGGGATAACCAGTGAGAGCGGACGCTTTGTTGGCAACTTCCGTGACAACATTCCTGAATCCGCTGTACTGAGTCGCAAGAGAGCGTGCCATACCCTGGTACTGCGAACCTTGACCAGGGAAGCCGAACAGAATGCGCCGCGCATTGCCACCATTAGTAGCCGGAGGGTTTTGAATACGATCCTCGATGCGCGCGATGAGGTCTTGCATGTTGTTTGCGATACAAGCGAACCTGTAGCGGTAGTGTTCACGACCGACGCAGGTAGTGTAGCAGACTGAATGGAAGGAAGACGCAGGGGCCTCGAGACAGAAATCGAGATAGTTGTTCAGATATTGAGTCAGTGCTGCTTCACTCTTTCCACTGACAACGAACAGCATGGGCATGTTTTCAGGGATCCGAGCCGTTGGTTGCGGCTTCATGTCTTCGGAGGGAGCTTCCAGAATGGCACCAGCAATCGAGCCTGCGAAACCATTGGACCTACGGTGCATCAGAAAATGAAAGGCAACGACGACGGGTAACCCACAAAACAAGAGCACGCAAAGGAAGGTCCGTGTTCTGCTTCACAGCCGCCGTCTCGATGGGAATGTGCAAAGGAACTACGCTGCAATCCAGGGAGGGATTCATGTTGTCCTTCGTGAGCTGAACCAGACCCGGTACTGTGCCATCAGCGAACGTCCCGAGGACCTTGAGAACACCAATCAAGCCGGCAATGATTTCCGTGTGTCCGACACAAGACTTGGAGGCACCAACAACTAGGGGCTGTTCGGGCGAGTGTGACGATTTGAAGACTTCATTGATGCCTTGAATCTCGATGAGATCGCCCAACGTTGTACCTTTCGTAAGGAAGTCAATCCAAGAAGATGAGCTACGGGACGGAATTTCCTTACCAGTTCCGTGGGCTTCAATAAAACTAGATGGTGAAAGGTCAGGTTAAGAATATTCTGCGGGGCAATTACTCACTCTATCTGAGACGGTGAAAGTTGGGCTTTCTCAAGCAACGCGATTTGCATGGCAATTTGCGCCTTAACATTTGGAGCGACCAGGCCTTGCGATCTGCCATCGTGTTTCACGTCGGTAGCTCTGATGACACCGAGGATCCTATCGCCATCTCGAAGAGCGGCACTCTTGGTCTTCAAAATAAGGCCAGCTGCACCCTCAGAAGGGACATAACTAGAGAAAATCGTAAGCCAATGAGTCAAAACTTCGACTATGGCTTACCCATCAGCCAGATTCGTGAATGTCGCACAGTGAGAGCTGGGCGAAGTCATCTTCTGACCACTCAAGAAGCCAAAGATGCCAGGCCTGTTTTCGGTTCAACGCCAGCTACAATAGAGAATAGTGTATGACACGAACCAAGGGTGTGTGTTGCTTCCGCATACAATCGCTGACTCGCCTTCGCCAGATTGGAGGTATTGGACGGCTAACACACAATCGGTATGGTTACTCGGACACTCAAAGGAAAAGACATACCGGAATCCAGAGCTATGATGCCGGAGCTGCATGCCGTGTCGATAGTGATGGAAGGGCCATGGACATCCAACAAGCTATGTCCAATAGATTATGAAGTGTTTTTCAGTGAGAAAAGGAGCAACCCACTAGCTTATACGCCCGCATGCAGTGCTGGTGGCAACACCAGTGGCATAGAAGCGTGTATAGGCTAAAAAGAACGTGATCAGATTTTCATATCACTCGCAGAACACAAAAAAAACACTTGCCACCCCAGCCTTTGTCTGCGAATAGCAGCTTGATGTAACCTTCGTCCATACCGGTAGCCACGAAGACACCCATTTGACTGCCTTTGATCTTGGACGTAGGTATGTTGGCACTCTCCAGTGCCTCGAAAGCAATCTCGAGTGCGAGTCGAATAGTCGGGGCCATGTGGTAGGCCTCCACCGACGAGACGCCAAAGAAACCGTGATCGAAGTGGGCAAGGTCGACCCATCCGGCCTTCTCGAGCGTGATGTCACAAGGACCAGGAGGGTCTTTCGAGTCCGGTGCCCTATAGAAGCTGGCATGGTCCCAACGTGATTCAGGCACTGGCGTAATTACGTCGTCTCGCTGGTCGATGAGCGCCTGCCAGAAGGATTGGGGGGTATCGATATCGCCAGGTAAACGAACAGCCTGGCCGACGATCACGATATCTTCTTTCTCTCTGGCAGGAGGGGCTACACGCGCAGTAGGGCGTACTTTGGCGTCCGAGGCGTCCTCAATGCCGAGGTTGGAAAGAACGGCGTTGGTAAGCGAGACTAGATCGATGTAAGTGTGGCAGGTGTTGAGGGGTAGGCGCATCTCGAGTTGGCGGTTGAGCTGATTGACGATTTTGGTCGACATAGACGAGTCCATTCCAAGCTAGAGAAGAGTCAGAACGCATCGATAGATGAGGATAGAGAGTATGAACCTCTGCGAAGGTTGCTTGTGTATTGCCATCCAAAGTGTCTCTGGAGATTCGTAAAGCATCTGTCACGATGCTCGAGACAATGCTGGAGATCTGGTCCTTCGTCCTCCCCTGGGCCAGGTTCGAACAGACAGAGGGTTTCGTTTCCGTTTGCGAGGCGATACCTTCTTGTGAACGACTTAGGAGAGCATTGAGCTGTTCGCCAAAGAGTTGCTCGAGCTTCTTTCGGAAGATGGCACCTTTCTTGGTAATGGGAACCTGCTGCCCTTTTTCCAAGACAAGGACACGAGCCCAGGAAACACGCAATGGGGGAGCGAGACCGCGGTTTGCGGCGGCAACTGCGCGGGTAATTTCGGGCGATGACGAGTGACCCTGGGCAGGTTCAATGATGGCGCATACAACCTGAGACGAGGTCTTGAGGAAGTTATTACCAACGACACAGCTGCGTGCGATGGCCGGGCAGGCGTCCAAGATGGCTTCGACGACGCGGGGATCCAGAGATTCTCCAGAGCTCATCTAAAAAAGGTGTCAGATCTCAAAACTTAGCATGAATAGTTCACCACACACCTGGATATAGTCCTCCTTACGGCCCTTCCAAGCGATACGTTGATCCCCAACATATCCATAAATATCGCCGGTGCGGAAAGACACCGTTCCATCATCTTCAATCGTAAAAGACGAATTGTCGTACTGCAGGTACCCTTTCGTAATGTAGCTGCTCCTAATGACCAGTTCTCCTTCTGATAAAGGGGTTCAGGACGCTGACTTTGGATACATATCGTCAAGCTTACCGGTTGTGCCAGGGGAACCTTCTTCGCCAATAAGGCTCAATGTGGCGTCAGGGAGGAGGGAATCCTTGGCGTACCACCCCTCACCACGTCCAACGGTCGAATGGAATAGAGGGCCTGCTCAGAACGAAATCAGACACGCCATGGTGAAATTAGGCGTTACATACCTCCGAGTTCCGTCATGCCAATATCCAAAACAATAGGGATATCGAGCTGACTGGCCCACTCCAGGCATTCGGCGTTGGTAGCTGCGCCACCCGATCCAAATACCTTAAGAGTCTTGATAGCGTCGTAGATACGTTCCTTGCGGCCGAGATCCGTTTCTTGCTTGAAAGTCCTCATAAATCCTTCCATGACCCAAGGCACTCCGGCAAAGGCAGTTGGCTTCTTGGACATCGCAGTCTCCAAGAGCTGACCACAAACATCCAGATACCGCGACGTTCTATTGGCGTCGCCCGGAGTGGTTCCGTATGCAGACGGAATCATAGCGAAGATGTACGTTCCTCTTGTCAAGAGCGTGGCGGCGCCGAGATCGTGCGACAAACCGATAATGTGCGACCATGGGGACCAACCGAGAACCTTCAAGTGTTGGAAGTCTTGTTCAGGCCACGTACGCTTCCACCAAGCGAGACGCGCCGTAGCGCCGGAGAGGATGCTTCGATGTGTGATGGGTACGCACTTTACGTTGACGACAGACGAAGCGGAGGAGGTATGGAGGTACAACGCGATATCTCCTGGGCTCGGGGCAGGAAACTCGAGAGCTGCAAGTTCGGGGGACTGGTCGAGATACCTCTGCATGAGACCAGTGACGGTTGAATCCATTGCGTCAAAAGGCGAGCATAAATAGGCAATGTCTAAGAAGAATACTGAATAAAGGAGAGACAAGGGGACGAAGAAGCTTACCTTTGACGATGTTTTGAACGTTGACCTCAGTTGAAGGCACCAGGACAAAGGTAGGCCCTATGTTAAGCAACATGCGCTCCATGATATCACGAGGGACGTTGTAGTCCAGAGGTGCAACTATTCCTCCGAGCTTCCAGGTGGCCAACAAAGTGGCGAGGACGTAAGGGTGATTCTCGCTGACGATCGCGACGACCGGCTTCGGGCCGTACTTCTGGTACATCTCGAGGGCGAGGGCGGTCGAAATGCAGTCGAGGTCGCCATAGGTCCAACTTTCCTCGCCACACTCGACGACGGTACGCTCGACATCGCTGGAACGGGCGATGTCGATGAAGACATTCAAGAGGGTATTCTGGTTGTTGGCAGGGGTATCCATTGTCGATAGCAAATGAAGAAGCAAGAAGAAAGCGAAAGAGCAAAAAGCTAGGGAAGCAAATAGAAGTGGCTGGTATTTAAGGTATCGGCGGCATGGTGGAGGACCGGGACGCAGAGAAGGAGTCTTCAGAACCAGGCGGTCTGGTCCCGAGGAGTGCGCGAGATCGACAGATTTCCAATTTCACGGTGAGGCTGACACTGTTCTGCAACCAATAGATGAGGTAGAACGGACTGAACGGCTAGCGATAGCTCCATCCTGCTAGCCCGAGTTGCAACTCACGCCCCATTTGGCAAGGATACAGAGGCTGGCGAATGACTATTTGGGTAAAAAAGACAGCCTCCTCACCGAAGACCGCTGTCGCGTTTGGTCAACCACAGGTAATATTGAAAACGCAAACACGGACTAACTGGCACGCTCACCGACATCCCCAACTTTGCACCACAATATTTCCATGTGTACAATCATCCGATACATTCCCTTCTAGTCGGGCGAGCGTAGATTGCTCCGACACCTTGCCACCGCACCGCACCGCTTACCATGTGAACTAAGAATTTTGAGGCGCAATAGGCTTTGCGCCTGAGATGGCTCATCCTTTGATCTCTGGCATTATCCTTTGAATGAGAGCTTCTGGCGAGAAATGATCGTTGTATAAGAGACAGCACACGTATTGGATGGTGTGGATTTTTGGAGATGAGTAGGCACGAAAGCCGAGAGCGCTGGAGATCCAAAAGTTGAACGACGTCGTTTTGTTCAAGTTGTACTTGGCTCTCTGCCGTTACGTAATACGAGTCCTAATTCAACCAAGAAATTTTCGAAGGACACCAGCTACAGACTGAAAATACCTGCTTCTCGCTTTCTGCTCTGGACAGGGTGAGTCAGCGCCAGCGATAAACCTAGCCCAATCGTGAGTCCTATCGCCACTGACACCAACTTTAGCGCCGTTCTGAAGCCCGAGAGATAGGATTCGGAGGAACCAGATGCTTGTTCAGACGCGTAGCTCAACAGCCCACCGTTTCCCAAGCCAGAAGGGAGCTGAAACAGGATGCCCGTAATCTGTGAACCCAGAGTCAGCATTTCCGGGTGGCAGGAGCGACCGACGACAGGTACTCGCCATCACCACAAAGGCATTGCCGGAGAAGATGCGGGCGTAGATGTTAGCTACGAGGCCGACGGCGAAGGCCCTGTCACGAGGAAGGAGATGAAATCCCTCGAGGCAGAACGAGGAAATTTCATGAAACCACTCACCCAACAGCGGCAATTATGTCGCTTTGACCAGAGAATTTTTTCCCAGTAAAATAATTGGTGACCCAACCGGTGCTCGCAATGGCAATTAACAGAGGCTTCCAGAGAATGATGTCAAGAATTGGTCAAGTTAAAGATATCTCGAACCCTTACCATCTCCCTCTTGTTCCATGGTGCTTGGTTGCGCATGCTCAAGAACATCGAGAACATTGGGACCGTCAGGAAAGCTTCACGACAGCGATCATGAGCGCCCATCTTTAGAACAGCTGCGCACTTACCCCAGTATTGGCTTGGCGTTCTCTGATACCAGGGTCCATCTGGTCGATGGCTTAGAGAGCAAGCGTAGTCTTCTGCACCGTAGACTTCGTGCGAGGTTAAGAGCTCATACAACTCTGCTCCAATGGTGAATCCAAACCCCAAAAATAGCGCGTACACAATCGCAAAGCACAACCGAACTGAACCAGAGATAATGTTTCTGGACATCAGCTCGAGTGCTCCGATGAGCACCAAAAACCCCTACAGATGGCCGAAATAAGAGGAGAGAAGGAATAAAACTCGGAGTACCCACCGGCAGAATGAGAACGACAGAACTGGATGCTATCGCGGAATAGCAAATGCGATGCGATGCAGCCAATGCAGCGGCGATGAAGCTGAACAGAGTGGTAGCACTGACCCTGTCAACGCCGTTACGACCGCACGATGAGCTAAGTTGGAGCACATACTCAAAAACATAGGAATACAGCACGTTCCGAACGCTCAACATTTGAATAGCTACGAGCAAACCGCCAAGGGGAAACGACATTGAGGCGTCGGCGAAGCTTCCACCGAAACTCACGGTGCATATGGAGGCGGAGCAGAAACCTCCTATGACGACAAGCTGCCACCAGTTGTACAAGGGTTTTTTGCGCATCAGGTTATCCAATTCCACGGAGGCGTCTGAGACCGATAGTTTATCATGAATGACCTATAGAACAAGATTAACACCGGTGTTGTGCTCAAGGTACCAGAGCCATGCTGACCTTCCAATATAGGGAAAACGCGTCATTGAGCTTTCCGAGGTCCAGCCCGCTGGATTGCCGGATGAGCTTGATATGGCTGGTTCCCGTCCCGCTATCGTCGAAGCTAAGGACAACGACGTCTGGGAGGTAGAGAAAGCTAAGCTCGATGTCAAGCACTTTCGCTGCAGACTGAATCTGTGATTGCAGTCGATGTGAGGGCCCCCCGAACATCATCATTGCCCGGGTGAGTTTCATGATGAACTCTTCCCGTCGGATTATGTGTGCGACATGCCGAGTAATCTAGTTATATCAGTCAATTGTTATCACGACCGAAGAGGCCACCGACGAACATAAATCGCTTCTTTCTTCCTCTTGCGACGCACCCCGTTGTTGGGGCTTGCGTGTTGTGATGCGTACCCTTCGGACACGGGCGAGCTGCTTCCTGTCTTGCGTCCGACATTGCGAATGGAACTTGCATACGATCCCAATAAAGACAAGTTGCTTTTCGAGGCACCACGATAAAATGGGCTAGAAAAACCTGATGCTGGGGTTGCCGTACCGGGGTCCGAACTTGGACTCCGACGAAGCTCTGAGAGAGAGCTATTGACCCTTCTGAAGGCAGCTGCTGGTCGAGATATCGGTTTTGTTTCCACGGTATACCTGCAACATTCTTACAAAGTGACAATATAGATGACGCCTTGAGACGAGACAGACCTCGATAACCGATAGCCTGGTTCTTTCACATTCGGTTGGAGCTGACTTTGTGTCGGTGCTGCAAATCCCGCCAAGTTCCCTGTGCTGGCTATCAACGGGCCAATCACCCCACCAGCACTCCTGGCTGTGGTGGGCCGAGAAACATGCCCGAACATTGATGGAACTTTCATCGTAGCCCGAGGAATTCGAAATTTATTCCGCTTCTTCTCACCTGCAGCAAAGATAAAATTGGACGGTACATAAAGAATTTCGGGTAAGCAACGAACCTGGATCTTTTCCCTCAGCATTGTCACTACCAAGGGTTCCTTCTGGATATACTTCATCACTTGTCCACCCTCTATTGGTTGACTCTACATCAGTGTCGAAGCCTTCCGAGTCGGTGTAAGAGCTTGCAGCATTGGGTCGCCCATAAAGGCTCAATATCGTTGTTAGAATGCCTGCTCCACGCTCAGGTGAAGATGCTGGAGCACTCTCCGGGTCCATATCAGGACGGTGCCCGCCACGACGCAGTTTACGGCTCCCCTTCTCACTTCGCGAGGCCCCGTGTGCTGAGACGATGCCGATATGACCACGAACCACAGTGCGAGCCTTCTTTTTCGCGAATTGGCGTAAATCCCTCGTTCCAGGAAGTCCAGCGTCCTCTGAATCTCCAATGTAGTTTCCAGGCACATAATGCGTCGGAGACGGACTTCGAGTACAATCAGGGCTTGAAGAGTAAGATGCAAAAGTCCGACTGGATCCAGCGGAAGACAGATAAAAAGAATCTCCGCGGGTATGATGACGTACAACTTCTGGCTCTGGGCTATGTGTCGAAGAGGGTTCAGAAGACTGAGGCGAGTAATAATGAACTTGCTTCAAAGGCGTGGTTCTTTGATGACGTTCAAGTGCATCAGTGAGTTCCAAAAATGCATCGGGCTGTAATACTTTTATGATTCATGAGTACTCTAGGAAACTGAGATTACGCACATCGAGGCCGCTTTCATCAAGCATATGACTAGAACGTTGTTCAAGCTCGTGGACGTCCATCCATTGCACTTTGCGAGGCGTTCTAGCTCCAGAGCGTGAAGTTCCACCTGGTGGCCTGTCGTTGTCCGAGGCTGAACCCATTGAAGCTGAATTGTCGATGGATCGAAGGGAGTTTTGCTTGGGCCTTCGTCAAGGGAGGATACCAAAGGGATATTAAGAAGCTGGCGAGAAAGATATGACGATGTTCATTAGATTTGCCAGTTGAATAATCCAGGAGATGACGAATAGAGTTTGTCTCAGGCATGGTTCGATCGAAAATCTTCTCGATCAATAGACATCGGAGAGTTGATTTCCCGGTTGACCACGAAGAAATAGAGGTCTGCAAAATGGCGAGCGCGCGACCAGCTTCATCTTGAAGCCGCGAAGTGTTCCCATAAAGAAGTGTCCTGCAGAGTTGTTTGAATTGAGGAGTTTCCGTAGCAGGAACGTCAAGATTCTAAATTCAGGAGTCCCAGGACGCATGGCGTCACCAAAGATGCGAGGGATGAACCAAGTGTTGTGGTGTTCTTGTAGGTTCTTGTTAGGGTACGGTGGTGAGATTCCCGTTAGCCGTGCGACAGATATCTGCCGGTCCGAAAGACCATTTGATACCTGCCAACTTTGGAACGCACAAGCAGAACATCTACATCTATTCTTCATGCTTAAAAGCAAATTTCGCAACAAACAGGACAGGTATCTACGCTAAATATCTCTCTACAACGTGCCCAAAAACGTCACTAACGGTGAAAGAGTCGGAGAGGTACATCATGGGGATGTCGACTCGGAGCTCGTTCATGACCCTTCCTCGAATCTGAGCAAAAGAAATAGAATCGATCCCACAAGAGGTCAAAGAATCTGCAAGTTCTGCAAGATGGGAATAGAATTGAGCGAACAGAAACTAGGTGAGTGTTTGACAGAAAAAACGAACCGAAAGCATCTGACGGTCGCAGTTCCAGTACGGTGCGGAATATACGCGACATCACGTCGAGGACTTCTTGTTGATTAAGCTTATCTGGCGTCTTCGTTTCCGTGGAGGACGGTTGAGGGAGGACCTCCTTAAATAGCGAATCGCGAGAATAAGCAGGTATCGACGCCAGTTTGTTTAGATCGAGGTTGGCGATGACTTGGACAGGAATGGGGGCCGCCATTGCCTTGAGAATCAGAGGAATGCCGGTTTTGTTGTCGACGACAGTCATCAGATGGTTTGCGGCATGGAGGTCCTCAACGAGTTTTGATTCCCATGCACCTAGCTGAATGCAGACGCCAGGCATTCCTCGGGATTGACGGTAAGAAGCCAAAGCCTCCATATAGGAGTTTCCTGCCACGTAGGCAATCTGTCCTTGATTGCCTAGAGAAACACTATCTCAAAAAATCAGATCGGGCGGCGGATGTAGAGCATCTGAGCGCACCTTATACTGCTCAAAAGCGTAAATGTTTTCAACGCAGGGCACAGTTCATTGCTGATGAGATGAAGATTCCACGCTCCAATGACCTTTGGACTGAGCACAGAATCGAAAGCCTCGTTCTCCACGTTTGGAATGGTCGCGTCCTTTATCACTGCGGCAGTGTGAACGATGTTTTCGATGGACCCATGTTGAGCTTGAATAGCTGTCATAGCAGCATGAAGTGAGTCAAAGTTACAAACATCGGCTTGAATGTAGTCGCAAAGACCGTTCGTTGCTTGTTGCAAAAGAGAAAGCGAGACCTATATCGGTCCAGAAGTTCAGAAGTGCAAGACTGGAAAGTCCAAGCATATTTACCTCTACTTCTTCACGTGATCTCCTTCCGATGAGCACGACCTTGCATCCTCCTCCTGCCAACGCCAGAGCCAGACCCGAACCTATACTTCCAAATCCTATGATCAAGGTTATTCCACGCACTTCGGGCAGATGATCCAAGTCGTTGAGCTCTTGTAAAACAGGGATGGCACGATAAATCCCCCCGTCGTCGCTTTGGCGGTACACCACGGCTCTGTCACTAGCCTGTCCATCGGTACGAGGGTCCATTTCTTTCGAGATAACGCGGTCGAGGATATCGTCACTGAGTGTATCTAGGGAAGGCAGATCCACAGACCGCACGACGTCATCGAGACCGGTTTCTCTACGAAAAACGCGAAGCATGCCGTGGATAACGTCTGCGACGTTAGGCAAATCGGCATCGACGGCACTCAGAGTACGTCGTGGGTCGCCTGCGGGACGTGGCGCTGTGAAAGACTGAGAAAGAAGGATGAAGCTCGAGATCTGGGTTCTGCAGCTGATCAGAAGCCTGAAAAGTAATAGCGTCTCGTGGAGGCGATTAGGGAACGCTCTCGAGGTGGGATTGTTATCCAAGGAGCTGATGTCCAGAACCACGAGCACACCACTGGTGTCTCGCAGGGACTCGAGAAGATTCTTAGCTGATGTTTCAAAATCGGATGCATCCGTCTTGAATGGGGACCCGTTGATGTCTGGATCGTGGTCGGTGGTGAGAGAAAGAAAATGCGCACGTTCGGCATACGGGACAAGCAATTGCGCGAGTCGAGAATGGTGTGGATGAGGGCCGAAGTAAATCATATCTCCGAATGTCTTCTTTTCCGGCGCAAATGTGTCCGCTAAGGGTTCGTGCTGCAAAGACCAACAACGCTGCAACCACTGCGTCTTCAGAGGCTTGACGATCTCCAAAGACTTATTCTGGATGACAACCCCAGCTGGGATCCATGCAACAGAATATTTTCGACATGAAACCAGGAGTTCTCCAGTAAGCGACAAGACCTCGAATGCGGTCGAGATTACATGGTGATTGCGAGCAGTGTCCATGGGAAGCCGATATCGACAGATGAAGGTCTCTGGCAGTTCTTCTGAGTGAAGAGTATAATCTTCAAGGCTTGTAGGCAAGAACGATCCGTCCATCTCGCGAATTTGAGGAACTTCTTCCTCCGCAAGGGCTCCGAACATGTGCAGGCAGGCGTCGAGTTTCCGAATCCTGTCATTAGTGGGGTATTCGCTGACGTCGACTTGAATGATTGCATCCGCGCGAGTTGCCCATTGTTGAACCTGTCGGATGTTTTGGAAAGAGGGACCAAATCGGACACTTCGAAAGCTTGCATAAACTTCGTCCTTGTTCAGGGTGCGATTGAGGGCCGAGCCATCAACAGGGACACGGACAACTGAAGGGCAAATTGGAGATATGACGCCTGAACAGACCTTATCCGTAGCAGAGCGATCTCCGTACATCAAAAAGTGCCCGCCTTTGTCGAGGACTCCTGTGACCCTGGCATTTTGGGATGCCAAAACCAAAGGAGAATTGAAAGTGATAATCTTCACAGATTTTGAAGGCGAATTTCTAGCGAAGAAGTCGACCAAGGAGGCGCCAGGTGCCACGCGACGGTCCTCGATCTGATGATCGGCCAGCATGTTATATAGTGGCGCGTCCACAGGAAAATGTATCGTCTTCGCCACACCTAGCGTTGTGACATGTTGAGCGATAGTGTTTTGTGAACCGGTGCGCGAAGGAGGATATGCAGGATAATGACGTTGTCGTTGGAAGGGGTAAGTTGGGATGCGTGTCTTCGTTAATGCGCCAGGGAAAAATCTGGAGAAATCTAGTGTTGCTCCGTGCTCAAACGCAAATGCCATGGCCTTCAGAAGCGCGGACCTCTGATTGGAGGTGGGTTTTGTAGTTGTGGCGACACTGGGTTTATTTTGGGGGGATGCTTGTAGGTTTGTCCATATAAATGGTTGAGGTCCGACATCCAGGATAGCGTCGACTCCTTTGCTTGAATTGACCGCGTCGATCGCTTCAGAAAACCTCACAGGTTCCCGAGCATGTTCGACCTTGAGGATTGGTAAGTAGATGAAAAGGCCACCCACGGAATGTCTATCAACTCAACGCACCCAATAGTGTGGCTCCAACCGGGTGCCAGCAGAAAGCATTGTTCCGGAAACAGTGGAATAAAATGCGATGTTCAGAGGCGACATCGACGAGTAGTTTTCATCATTCCAAGTTTGGAGTGGAGGAAGAGAGCCAAATATCGCTGGACTATGGAAGCCTGAAAGATGCTGTCAGAAATATGTGCAAGCAAAAATGTACCTTCTTCCATACCTTGGTTTACATTTAGCTTACTGCATCGAACACCATGTATCTTGGCGTTGGAAAGGAACGTGTCTATGGCCGTAAGATACCCCGAAATAACATGGCTTCCTGGACCATTGTAAACGGCGATTACCAAAAGAGCATCTAGTTGAAGCTGCTGAATCAAGCGTTGTATCCACTCTTTCGACGCAGCAACGATAGCCATGCCGCCTGGTTGATTGGGTTCCGACCGCAAGATTTCGGAACGAGTGACCACAAGTTGGAGGGCAAGCTCATAGCTGAGGGCACCCGAGATGGCTGATGCACATGTAATTGTCAAAACGAAGAATAAAACATGGTCTAGGGAGAACGTACCGACAGCTGCGATTTCGCCTAAACTGTGCCCCAACACTGCACACGGTTCGATGCCCAAGGCCCTCAGCCATGCTGCAACAGAGTATTGATAGACAAAGATGCAGATTTGAGCGATCGTACTGTCGTCAATGGACGTTGGATAGGGCGTTTTTGGATCAAGGAGAAATGAAGTGATGGGACATCCGGAGGCCTTGGAAGCAGCAGTGGCACTAGCGATGAGAATAGCTTTGAAGTCTGGGTGCTGTTGAGCCAACATCGCCGCCATACCTTGATACTGCGAGCCTTGTCCGGGAAATGCGAACAAGATGCGTCCGCTGGATTTACCATAGACGGAGACAGAAAAGGTGGCAACAGCATCTTCCAGCGCGCGGATTAGATCCTCCATGGCGGATACAACACACGCAAACCGGTAGCGATAGTGCTCTCTACCGATGCACGCGGTATAACAGATCGAAAGGAATTGGGAGGCGTCCGTCGCGCGACAAAATTTCAGATAATCCCGAAGATATTGGTGCAAAGCTTCCACTGTCTTAGCGGTGACCACGAAGAGGGTTGGAATGTTGTCTAGATCACTATAAGGAGAGCTTGGTTCTTGAAGTGACCTCTTGGGGTCTTCAAGCACCACCCCTGCCATTGTACCCGCGAATCCATTTGCTCTGCAGGGAATGCACCTTCAGTTGTTGACCAAATTGACCAAATAAAAGAAACGTACAAGACCAATGAACGATACGGAATGTCTTTCTTGTGTGGGAGAGGGGTGGTGTCTCTCGGTATATGTATAGGAACGATGTTGCAGTCGAGACCAGGATTCAGATTATTTTCCGTAAGATGCATGAGTCCGGGGACAGCAGCATGCTTGAATGACGCTATAACTTTTAAAACACCCACTAATCCTGCTGCCGTTTCTGTGTGGCCAATGCATGATTTTGCTGCGCCGAGAATGAGAGGTTGTTCCGGGTGCGACTGTCGAAAAACTTCGTTGATGCCCTGTATTTCGATCATGTCACCAAGAGCAGTACCTGATACATGAAAGTTAGAACGTATGGCATGAGGTCAAGTTAGTGACGAACCAGTTCCATGAGTCTCGAGGAAGCTGAAGGCACGTATTCATTATTTTGGCCTGAAATGCAATAGAAGCAGACGTACTCAATCTGAGCGGGATCCAGTCCAGCTTTCGCCAGAAGCGAGCGTTGAAGCGTAATTTGCGCATTGAGATTCGGCGCCACAAGCCCTTGAGACCGACCGCCATGCACTACATCAGTTGATTTCACGACTGCCAGTATATTGTCCCCATCACGAATGGCAGCGTTCATGGTCTTGAGAACGAGAGCCAGTGCACCCTCAGAAGGGACATAACTGTTCGACTGTGTCAAGACCATGAGGGGCATATGCCTTCCGAAACTTACCCGTCCGCCTCGTTAGTGAAAGTTGCGCAACGAGAATGGGGTGAGGCCATTTTCTGAGCCGAGAGAAAGCTAAAGGTGGATCAGAGACGACGCCAACATCCATATCGGCGAAAAGTCGTACCCGAAAGAACCTGGCCTATGCAATCCCATTAATAAATACGTCTTCCAAGAGAAAAACAGGAAAAGGCATACCATACGCGTGTATTTACTGCGCTCACGATTGCCGCTTCTCCATCTCCGGATTGAAGATATTTAACCGCTGTTTGAATGTTAACACCAACAACGAGACAAAAAAAAACTCGGGAGACCTTGATCAAATACAACCAAGCCAGAGCTACACGCTGTGTCCGTTACCAAAGATGGTCCATGAACATCGAGAAGACTGGAGGAAAGTCAGTCAGAAGAAGTTCTTGGGGCTTTTTTCTCGAAAGTACGTACTAGCTCAATCTTCCACATGCAGTACTGGCTGCTACACCAGTTCCAAAAAAGCGCGTATATGCTGTTGAGAAGTGAGTAAATCACGGTTCTCCAAAGTAGAATAAGGGATAACGTACTATTAAAACCGTTGCTTTGGAATAGCAGTTGGGTGAAGCCTTCGTCCAAGCATGCGCCAACAAACACACCCATGCTGGTACCCTTGATCTTCGAAATGGGGATATTTGCGTTTTCAAGCGCTTCAAAGGCCGTCTCCAATGTCAGGCGCACTGTTGGGTCAACATAATAGGCTTCAGGTCCGGAGATGCCGAAGAAGATGTTGTCAAAATGTGCGACATCGACGAAACCAGCTTTTTCGAAATTGATGTCGCCAGGCTGGGGCGGTGTATCTGAGGATAACGGTCGGTAAAATGAAGCATGATCCCATCGGTCCTCTGGAACAGGAGTCATAATGTCGTTGCGTTTATTGACCAAGGCCTCCCAAAACGACTCAGGCGTGTTGATATCGCCGGGAAGACGAAGCGCTTGTCCAACAATGACAACCTCTTCGGCATCTTTCCGAATAGGAGGGGCGAGCGAGGGTCGACCATGCTTGGGTGCAATTTCCAGCCCGAGCTCGGCTAGGACTGCTTGAGTAAGTTGTGTGAGATTGATGTATGTGTGGCACGCATTCAACGGAAGCTGTAACGAGAAGAGACCGTTCAGCTTGTTGACGATCCGTACGGCCATATTAGAGTCCATTCCAAACTGAAGGTACGTCATGAGGTTGCGAAGCCAAACTACGATTTGCTCGGCACATACCTCAGCAAACGATGTATCCAAATCTGCAGGGATACCCTCGAGGTCGATCTTCAAGACGCTGGAAACTGCCTCCGTGACCCTCGCTACCACGATATCTTTCTTCCAGGCCGCGTTCCGTGGTCGTTGGCCAGTACCATTTATCAGATTCGGTCCATTCAGGGGAATAGGAGCCTTTTCCAACGCGGTGACATCCTGTTCATGCATGCGAGCGACAAACCTGGCAAAAACTTCCTCTAGTTTCTTTCGGAATATGGCACCTTTGCGAGTGTACGGAATGGATACTCCAGGCTCCAGAACCACAACTCTGGACCAAGCAACACGCAAAGGCGGAGGTAGAGTTCGGTTGACCGACGCAACTGCTCGCGTTATTTCCGCGATTTGTTGTGGAAATGGGATCGACGTGTCCGAGATGGCGGGTTCGATGAAAACGCAAATAAATTCAGAGGGTTTCTTCAGGAAGTTGTTGCCCACCACACAGCTTGCTTGGACGACAGGATGTGCATTTAGGGCGTCTTCGATTGGTCGAGGATCGATAGTCTCGCTGGTGATCATCTGCAAGGGCGGATAAATGTGTTTGTCGTCAACGACTCGACGAACTACTCACTTGAATATAGTCCTCCTTCCTCCCTCTCCATATGAGACGTCCAGCGTCAGTCTTCTCGTACAAATCTCCAGTCCTGAATGTGATCCTGCCATCTTCTGCCTTGCGGAACGCGTTGTTGTCATAGTTAAGATATCCCTGACTAATGTAGCGACTGGTAACGAGCAATTCTGAAAGAGCCGTTTAGTTAGTCGCTTAGCGTGAGAAGGGGAAGAAAGCATGCCGTGTGAATTCTCGGTGGCGTCATCATCAAGGGTCAACTTTACGTCCTCAATAAGGCAATCGTTGATCGCCCATCCCTCGTCCTCCGAGAGTATCTTTGAGTGGAACAGAGGTCCTCCTATGCGTGAAGTTAGACGTAATTCTTAACGAAAAGAAGATTTACAATACCTAATTCCGTCATGCCAAGATCGTATGAGAGGTTGATCCTGAGCTCTCGAGCCCAGGCAAGGTTGTCCACACTTATCGCAGCACCAGCACAGGTATAGACTTTAATACGCCCGAGAGCCGCACGAGCGCAGGCAGCACCTTCTATGTCCCCTTTTTCCAGGAATTGCGAGTAGCGGTCCCTGAAGCCCTCTAATACCCATGGGACGGAGGCGAACATGTCTGGGCGAACTCGCGTCACGGCATCCAGTAGTCGGTCAATGACGTCCAATTTCCTGGGCTTTGGGCTTTCAGTCTTGTTTTCAGTCTTGGTGGGTGCATGAGCGTCAGAATTTTGAAGGGGTTCAACTGCATATCGAGCCGGCGGGATTCCAAACGTGTAGCACCCTCCTGTCAGGAAAGTTGCTGCTCCAAGGTCATGGGAAATTCCCATGATGTGGGTCCATGGGGCCCATCCCAGGACCTTTGTTCGTTCGAATGTCACATCTGGCCAATTGCGTCGCCACCAATGGACTCTAGCCTCGCTTCCCATGCGTACCGCGCCATGGGATAATGTGACGCATTTGAGATTCTCAGGCGAGGAGGCGGACGAAGTGTGAATGTACAATGCCGTAGACGCAGGAGAAGGAAGTGGGAACGTCGATAGGGGAAGTTGTGGTGATTGGTGTAAGAAACTTTGATTTAGGGCGGTGATCGTCGTGGAAGAAAAGGGCATGGCAGATAGCTTCATGTCTGCATCCAGAGAGATGTTAGCGATCACTTATCGTCTGAAACTCGTCTATTAATATTACTTACCGAGTATTAATGCCTTTAGAGCCTCGTCGTCGTCGGCAACGAGAACAGAAGTTGGCTGTATGTTCTCGAGCATCTTTCTGACCATCTCTAGAGGCGCGTGACAGTCGAACGGAGCGAATATTCCTCCCAATTTCCAGACAGCCAAAAGAGTTGCGAGCACATATGGATGGTTCTCGCTGAGCACTGCGACGACGGGATTTAAGCCGTAACGTTCGTGGAGGGAGAGTGCGAGGCCAGTCGAAATACAGTCGAGGTCACCATAGGTCCACTGTTCGGAATTGCATTCGAGCACGCAGTCTTCAATGGTTGAAGGATTTCTTGCAAATGAAATGAAGGCGTCCAAGAGGGTTTCGTCTATAGTCGAAGGGTCTGGTAGAGCGACAGTGCCGCCTCGCGTTCGATCCATACTATATTTCGGGGGTTGATCAGGGGAGGTCGGTAATGAAACTGAGTCTATAGTGAGAATTCGGGATGATGATTGAAACACTGCTGCCAGGAACAGAAGGCGTCGATGGCGGGAGGTCGTTATCGAGGTGAGATGTGCCTCGTTCTGAGAAGGCGCGCGAAGATATATAGTAGCCTACCCTGGTCTTTTCTGGACTCAGATTCCGGTATAATTCGGTTCACCCAGTTAACGGTCAAGGGGTTAGCAAGGCGCCGCACAAGGGAAGCAAGCGACGTAAGATATGACGCCCAGATGATACCCATCACATACGGACATGTACCAGTTTTGTGAGTTTGAGGCTGGCTGAAGTACATCGCCGAATAGGACAGTGCAAGAAACCCGGGTTCGAGCTAAGTATGTGAGGATACAGATCTCAATCGACGGTCGCATTCAGGATCGACCGGGTGCATTTGGTCGAATGAAAATGATCAAGACCACCTTTCATGGTCGGTCAAAATTTCATTCAGAGCCTCAATGAGCCAACAGGAAGGCTTTTCTCCATTGGAATGAAACTTGGAGCTGGACGAGACATCCAAAGGATTAGCAAAGATTCCGAATTAATGGGTTGTCGAGAAGAGGGTCTGGAGAGACTCCGAGAGAGACATCAAAGGGGTTGAGCGGGACTAACATCGATGAACATCGACCAGATACGAAGAAGTACTCCTGCGTTGGGTGAGTCTGAAACGTTTTCAAGTGATTTGACGGCAATGAGTGGCAACTTCCCACTGACAACTTCCTGGCGGTTCAATGGCGTGACGCCGTGTGTCGCGGCTGGTCACACGTTACGCGGCGCGCCAACATTGAGACAACTTGCGCTCAGACCGACTCTGACAGACAATAACAGCAGACAGACAGCGCATAGCGTCGCTCTTCAACGTTTCAACCTCCTGACCGGAAATTTGCATTAAATAAAGCACTCAGGACGGCTTTCTACTCCTTGGATTTGCCTTGGATAATTATGTCTGATGGCCTTTATTCCTCCTTCGCCGAGGTGCTGTCGGTCTGCCAGTCGATTAAAGAGGACCTAGCGGCGGTGCTCGATCCTGAAACTGGATATGCACCTCGTATGCGCCAAATATGCTGTGAACAGTAAGTTGGAGAGATTTCCTGCTTCTTTGGTGGCTAACTGCTCTCAGAGTAGAAGAACTGGAGGATAGTCCAGATTCCCGAAACCTCCGCCGAGAAGTTGACCTCTTACGGTTGGAGTCTAACACATGGGGTCTTCTGCAAGCTGTTATGCCGTATGTGAACAAACATTTTACCCTTTCTTATCCCTGAACTCGCGTTATGTCCTATGCAGCGCACGCAAAACAGACCCTCCGCAAACGAGATCTCCAAGAGAATTACTTCTCGAGAACCCATACACGCCAACATCTACCCTCGCACAAGCAATTATGGACGCATCGCCTCTCCTCGCTGAACTCGTCGTTGTCCGAGAATGGCTACATGACACTGCTCCCACACTTGCCCCTCCAGAAGCTAACACAGGATATTGGAAGTTTACAAAACACACCATCATGCAGGGTCTTCGAACGGGGCATGGACAGAGAGATGGTCTTGTTTCAGAGATGGATCCTGACGCCGTGAATAGAGGAGATGGCGCGGGGCTAGCTGCGGACGATGCCGTGAGTGACGCCTTGGCCATTCTTGTGCTTATTATGTTCGCTCAACGTAACGCAAACGAAAGAGCTACGAAAAGAGCCTCCTACAAGCGCTTTACGGATACGTCCGTGCAGGCCGCCTTGACGACGCCGTCGAAGTCTGCCAAAGAGCACATCAACCATGGAGGGCGGCAAGTATCCGTGGTTCATTATTGTTTCAGTGGAAAGCGCTTTGTGAGTCGGCTCTTTCTGTTGCTGTCAATACCATTTGTTCATCTTTACAAAGCCACAGAACTAACGAACGGGGAGGAAGATAACGGAGACGGCGAACCAGAAATATGGTCTGGCAATCGCAATCGCAAACTGTGGAAGGCGACGTGTGTCCGGGCAGCTTCAAGCGTACGCCGAGTTCAAATGTCCCCCCTTACGACTTACTCATGTTACCCGCAGACCAACCTGTCAGACCAAGAACGCCTCCTTTACGCCTCCCTGGCACCTTCCCCACAGACAGCAAGCCTGCTCAAATCTGCGAGTCGGACATGGGAGGATCATCTGTGGGCGGAGATTAGCGTCATATGCGAGGAGAAGGAGAGCATGGAGCTTGGCAAGCTGGCTGCGGGAAGCTTCTGGGAAGGAGGTGTTGATGCAGTGGAGAAAACTGCACAAGACCTGCCGAGGTGGATACAAAAAGAGCACGAGGAGGCTTGGGAGAAGGAGGTTGTCAGGACGTTGGAAGGCTTGCAGGGAGTCGCAGTTCTTGATGGGTACTGTTAAACGTCTTTTCCTCGGGAAACATAACTTATTTCGACGTTTTTTTTTTGTTTGCGCACTATAGGCCACCCGCCGACCATGCCTTCCATTTCACCCAACTGTTAATCATCCTCGATCGCACATCCGTCCTCCTCGAGTCATTTTCGAACGGTCTGCAGGATGGAACGCACTCCAAACTCGACTCCGAGTACGTTTCTATGCAGTGGAGAAGGCGTCTACCCCCACTAAATCCTTTTGACAGGTATGGCTCTATGTGCCGATTCTTTGCCCACCTATGTCTCTTCCTTCAAATGATTGACACACCGGTGCCACCAGCGGTGACACAGGTGATCCTGGAGTCGTACCTTGAAGTGCTTGAGGTCCATTTCTTCTCTCTTTTCCATTCAGTTCTATTTTAACACTTACCCCGTGCAGGAGGCTGGAGAACGCGAGCTTATAGTACTCTACGCCGGAGCTCTGGGAGACAATGCCGTAGAACGTTACGCCGCGTTCCTTGTCTCGCTCGCTTTGTCAGCCAACTACGACGAACGTCGTTTAGCACTGACACGTGCCAGCGAGCACGGGCTGGATGTAGAACGTGTCGCCGTCGCTGCAGCTGAAAGAACTATCGAAAAGGCATTCTTGGTGCGGATCTATCCTTGAGTCACCTCTCACCATCTTGATTAATTGACTCGATGCAGGTGCTGGGGCAACTCCAAGACCCACTACCTTCCATCATCGCTTTTCAACCTCCTGCAAACGAGTCCGAGACATTTTTACTGCGGTCTATCGAGTGGACGACGTTTATGGAATCAACGTACAACGTTGCTCTTGAACAGGCTACTGTTATTCTGCGATACTTCCTTGGTAACTTTATCTCATTTCTTACTTTTCGGTTTTCAGTTTACTTTAAAAAATGCAGGTGCTGGCCGCGTACAAAATGCCCAATCTCTTCTTGCTTTGCTTCCCAATGAGCTGGCGTCGATAGCGGAGCCGGAGGAGATAGCAACAGAATACCTACACTACAGGCAGTTCTTTGTCATCTGGGACACCCTCGCTCGTGTAGTTGACTGTCAATCCCAAGAAAGCTCATATGCCCAGAGCAGTAGTCGAGATGCCCGAAATGCCTGGCTTGGCGAGTACCGAGTAAGTCGATGATTCATGCTTTCTTTCCCTATCGCATCGGATTCTGACACCTACAAAAATCCACTCTAGAATCTCATCGACCAAGCGTACGACCAGATTATCAAGCTGCTGACAACTGAGTGGCTTGTGTCGGACGTGGAAAATGCTGGAGGTCAGCGCCGCCGCCTATTTGCCTATTACCCTGTTCTATTCGCTCATCTCCGCACCTCTCTTCCTCCAGGTGACCGGCGACGCCGCGAGCTCATTAGGATCCGCCAGATATTTGTCCCAGAGCTCATCCTCCGGCTGCATTACATCCTGCACAGCTCTCGGAATCTGATTCCCGAGTAAGACCGCCAATCTTTTCTTCGCTTTGAATCGGTTGTTGACTGTACTCTTCAGAAACCTGAAACGCGCTCTGGAGCTGGCCAATATTGTAGCGGACTCGCGGTACAAGCTGTACGAAGACTTCATGAGTGAAGGCGGAAGGACACTCGCGGAATACCTGGGTACCGTTCGCCAGGCAATTTTAGCAGGTTTGGAACATGGTGGCTCTGATCCTTTCAGGATTGTGACTGGCCCTTAAGGCAGAGAGCACTTGGATGTTGTATGCTTCATGTAGTCTCGTGCCGCTTGTGCCCGATTGAATGTCTATTCGCTTGCGAGAGTACTGCGCACAGGGCGAACAATCCATCTCAAACAGCGCAAAGTGAAAGAATGGTGACCAGCGGGCCCGGAACGATGCAATGCGCAGAACACGCAGAGAGCAGGAATTTTAGAATCTAATCGTCATCATCTCGCACGGGCTTTCCCTCGTCTAGCACCCTCCCATCCTTTCTCAGTTCCTCTTCCTCAAGGGCAACAGTATTAACAAGTTCCTCCGCTTCATCCTCATCTTCCTCATCTAGCTCTTCCTGTCCGATGTCATCTTGTCCATCACCCTCGTAATCCATCTCTATCTCTTCTCTTGCACTTGCACCAATACCCTGGTCTTCGTCGTCCACGTCCATTGGCCCTGAACCAGAGATGGATTCTCCTGCGTATGGTGCTGAGCCTGCAAGGTCTAGCGGCGCCGAGGTGAATGGAGGGGGTAGAGGGTCACCCGGTAGAGCCTTTTCCTTGCCCTTGCCTTTAGCTGCTGTCGAAGCTGAAGAAATACTCCCATTTTTCTTTGCTGAGGCCGCCGCGGGGCCGACGGGGACGCTTTTCTTCCCTTTTGGGTTGGGCTCGGTTTTTGTTAGGTCACGATAGACTGGATGGGAGATTCCATATAAAATGCGATTGGTAGAAGCAAGAATGCTCACTTTGAAGTTCTCCCTGGAGCTTGCTGGCCATGTCTCCGAATTCCAGCATTTCAAGAGCCTTTAGGACATCAGAGGCGGATATGCTCTTATGTTGTTTCGATTGGGCGACATCATGGGCGCTACGGGCAGAAAAGACGCGTCAAATCGCGCATAAATCGTGCATAAGTGGAGATGACATACGTAGCAGCTGTAGATGATTTCGTTAGTCTTCAACGATGCTAAGTACAACAACAACGGTACGCACCAAGGTAGTTGATGAAGACTGTTGATCCTTTCACAAGAGACAGGACTGTTTCTTTTTGAAGTTTGATATTCTCGGGTATCTATTCTATGCATGACTTCGCGAATTATCGCCAACAGTTGTGGCATACGCACAGCAGATTTCGCGATCTTCATGACGAGGCTCTTGGGAAGCTCATAGTTTTCGATGCCCTCTGAGACGAGATCCTGCTGTGCTTGGGCTGACAGCGGCCCAGAATATGTTTCTTTTCTCGGCATAACGAGGCTTCACGATGGCCGGGGTGGGAATGGAGAGGTGGGTGGTGAAAGTAAGAGGTAGCGGAGTGTGTGGGAATTGGGAGCGTTACGTCCTTGAACACGACCCCTCGTCATGACATACGCGCCTTGCTAGTGCCACGCGAGATGCCCACTAGTCCACCCAACCCATGGCATCGAACCACAGCTTCCAAATTCCAGACCTCGTCGCGATCATCTCGCCCCTCGAGCTTCGGACGAACAAGAACTGTCGTTTCGCGACAGACACCTCGGAGAAGTGGATGACGGAAGAACTGTCTGGTGTTTTCTCTCCCAAGGAGTTGAAGGTCCTTCATGCGACGAAAATTGGACTCCTAGCCGCGCTCTGCTTTCCAACTTGTGACGGAACCCAACTGCGTCTGCTGGTAGATGTCATGACGATGATTTTCTACTCCGGTCAACGAGCTTACACGCCAGGCTCGAAGAGGATGCGTTCCTTGTGGCAAGATACAGCTTTCAGTGAATCTGTAAACCCACCCAGCAACGGGATGGAGATCCTCAGGCGACAGGACTTACTGAAACAGTTGCGTATCCTTTTCATTCACTCCCTGCTTTGGCTGAACAATAATTGTAAAGTGTTCTCGATCCACATATCACCCGCCTCACCAAACAGGCCCCCGATACATGGAATCAGCGTTTTCTCAAATCCGTACAAGATTATCGTAACGTTCAAGCCGCCGTCGTCTCGAAACACTCAGAAAACAAGACACCTACACTTGAAGAGTACTTCGAGACGCGTCGTCAGATGTACGGGGCGAGCATGGTTCTCGACCTCGCTGAACTTCTGGAAATCTTCAAATTGCCTGAGCTTCAAGGATCCAATGCCGATCATCTGGTCAAACTCATCCAAGCAGCTTTCGATGTGATTGGCTGGTCTCTGGTAGGCACTCTCTTACTCCTAATGCTGGCCCAATGAGTTAAGGTTTCACGTAGGACGTCGTAGCATATCAGCTCGACCATACCCGCGGCAACACCTATAACCTCATCGAGGTGCTTATGGCACAGAAGAATCTCTCCCTCCAAGGAGCAATGAACCTCTCCGGAACCATGCTCAAAGAGGCATTCACTTCATTCCGTGAGCACGAACGCCTCCTCTTCGATGCCCTCGACCCCCAGAAGTCACTCCAGATCCCGCTCATCGCGTGGATGTTCGCTCGTGAAGCACCCTCCGCTGAGGAGGCTGCTGCTACGCGGGAGAGCGTGCAACGGTTCGTCACGGCCATGAAGGATTGGATCGTCGGTATCGTCCACTGGGCTTACGAGACAGAGTTGTTCTTTGGGAAGAAGGGTGGGGAGATCAGGATGTTTGGGTGGGTTTTTACTGAGTAGTCCTCGTAGTATGACCAGGAATTGTCAATTAATTCGTATGATCATTTGTTGAACTACCCCGTCCGTCACATGCTGTCTTGTCCTTTGGCACTGTCCTCGTATTCGTCTCCAGGTATGTAATTCTTGTAATTGCAAAATTTGTCACCAACTGGGGCAGTCCATCTCCACCCGAAGGGACATTCTAGACTCAACAGTGTACTGTATAGACTAAGTTCCTGGGCTAACTAATGATAATAATAGAGATAATTTATACCGCAAGAAATGGGTGATGGCCAATAAGGGTAGGACTAAGCTAAAGCCAGTTGTTTCCCATCTATTCGTTCTGCGAGGTGAGAGATGATGTAACCTTCCGATAGACTTCAAGCAGGTGCTCTATATCTTCTTCAGCAAGTTGCGTCCTTTCAAAGTTTGGCATCTGATCCTTGAGTCGTTTAATCAATGGTTCGAATGTAGCTGACGGAAGCAGCCACTCGCGCAGGGTATCAATGAATGATGTCCACATATTGCGAGATTTCTTGAGGAAGTCCTCAGGCACTGGGACTTTGTTTCGATCGCGGAAAGAATTTCTGGCGGTTTCGTGTACCGCATCTAAGAGAAGTACGCACAGACTCCATGCCAGTTCCCAGAAGGCTTTGAACTCTGGCTTCACGTCGCAACCTAGCTTATCAAGGAGCATGAGGAAGAAGACCTTTCTCTCCGCGCAAGTCTTGTAGTCCGATGTAATCCAGGGATCGACGAGTTTGTGAGACCCACGAATTCCGCCTTCGTAAAGGAGAAAAATAAAGGGTAGAACCCAGATGAAAGCCTCGAGTTCATGATGATAGTAGCGGATTTTCAGGCCGAACCAATACTCCTCTGATAAGAGGTCCGTTGCCATAAAAGGGACCGTCCCCGTTCGATCGGTTCCTGGAATACGTGGAAGAAATTGGATTATGGCAAGGTCGAAGTCCGTCATCACTCCATGATGCGTTTGAGGGTCGTACATGATATTATAGAGACTCGGGTCGCCATGCTCAACACCGTGCTTCCAGAGAAATGCATGGCCTGACAATGGGAGCACAGTTAACAAAACATGGACACGATTCAAAGAAAAGAGGGAACAAGGAAGAAACAAATAAAAGGACACTGACATGTAACAGCTTCAAGCCAGGCACGCACAAACGATTCTGCGGATAATGCGGTCAGCTTCTGAAACTTTTTGAAACCAATGAGACGGACGACACGATTTTCCTTCCAAGAAACCTTGGTCATACTCCGAACGCGTTTTGTCGACCATCCAACTAAATCGCCATAGAAGTACGGTACCGGTAGATGCTGGAGCATCGTAGCATCGTTCTCTTCCGCCAGCGCCCGTACAAAGCTAATGCTTATTCCCTCATGAAGTCGCTGCGCTTCCGGATGGTATATCTTGCAGGCCATGGATAGATCGCCACCCTGTGCGTCGAGAACAGCTGTCGCCCTACCGGCTATGCAATGAGGCTCATGCGACAAAAACTTGGTCTTGTAAATTGTTACCGATTGTAGTTCGGGGTCTGCGGAATAAAAGTTGGAAAGGAGGGGATGTAAATCGAACTTGATTGTTTCCTGACGGGAAGGGCGCTTCTCCCGCCGAGTTACTGTGGACTTCCTGGCATTATAGACTGGAGCAGGGGGTTGGGTGGTTCCGAGCCCATGAACAACGTCTACATCCGGGTTCAAGGGAAGTATGATGCCCCAATCTTGTATCTGAAAGCGCTGGAACGTGAGCAGAAGGACAAGCACACGGGGGAAATCGGCGATAAAGCTGATCCATTCGTCCGGATGATGCCTTGACGGTCATAGTACCAGATGCATAGGTATTCACCTGCATCTAAATACTTCAGAACCGAAATGACAACGAGTGTTGCGCGACATACCAATGAGGAGAAGGTTGACAGCATGATGCGCCCACGTTGTCTGACAGCATTTCCAGGGCATATGTTGCACACTGAACACGACCGGAGACGGCCTTTGCTGATCTACTTTCCGTCTGGGGTGGCATTTCTTTCGTATTGGGCGAGTTTGAAGCAGACTTTGACCCCTTGGACATTTTTGCCTTCTGGATCATTGACACACGCAGTTTCTTCCGAGGGGGTGCATCTTCTTCGTCTCCCTCTGTAGATCGCTTGAACGGAATGGCTTTGGATGGCGCAGGTTGTACAATGGGTGCTGAGATCATATCTTCTGGGGCTGGATCAAAGTCGTCCAACTTATCATGAGCAATTGTGACCTGGCGTGCTATGTCAAATTTGTGGGAGGGGTTGGCGGCATCGGTAGCTTTATTGCTGATTGACGTCTTCGGTGCCTTCAATTCATGGGAGGAAAATATAGCAGGCCAGGTGAAGTTATTACGAGGAGGGGAAGAAAACATGAGATCTTCAGGACGCTGCTTGGGGCAGAGATTCTGTGCGGCGTGTCTAGAGGTGATTACGCAGTTGGGCTTGAGATACAGTGTGTTCATTGTCCCTCCAAATTTTGAGGGTATAGGCATAGGATCTGAGCGATGGAAACAAATGTTCAGCTCAGATGGAGGCCGAAGCCCTGGCAGACCCTCCTTCAACAAGGCTAGGCGTTTTAGAGAGGTATTGCAGAGTTCAACATACGGCTTATACCGTCGCGTCCCAATTTTGTCGCAAATAGCGACAGAGCTGGGATGGATCGATGATAAGAACATTTTGTGCGGGAGGCGCGGCTGTGGCTGATACGCACAATTGCTGCAACAAAGCCTTGACGTCCTTTCTATGAGCTATAGGTAACACCGCCGCCAGGCACTGCTTTTAAGCATCGGAAAAGATTTTGTCTCTCTCTTGGACAAGCTGTGCCTCCTGTTCTGTAATAGCTGAGGGGGGTTCTTCTGTCTCTTTTCCTTTCTCGGCACTGGTGTTGTGGTAGCGGTCGTGTTGCAGCTGCTCGATTGACTGCTGAAGGTTATCCAAGTCTTCTCTGCGCTTTCCTTCCATACAGAGGGATAAAAGATACCGTGCAAGGTCGTCATAATCACATTTGCTGGCATTCTCGACGTCGAATTGAAGTGATGCCATCAGCTTCATGCCACTGATCAGTATTATTCATGCAATTATTGGAAATGGGCTTACTTGTTCCCAGTGCTCGAGGAGGATTCTGCCATCGAAGGTTGGCTTATATCAGTGACACATTGTGGAACTATTAGGTCAGTCTAGAGAGGCTAGAGTAGAAGGTTCGAGGACAAAAGGCAACTGAACGATAGCCCATCCAAAAAATTCCCACGAGGTCGAAATTATCTTATCTTTGACCGGGCCGATAATATACCACCAGGAATACTTACAAAGTCCAAAAGTCAGTAACTAAGCATTAAATCATCACTACAAAAGTGTCATTGCAAGCCAGGTATACAATTAGAAATGGCCTGCTGGCATGGCCAACGTGCGTCGTCGTTCTGTCGGGAGCATCGGAGAACGAGCTGCCAGAGTTTCCATTGAGAGAGTTGTTTGCCTTGCAACGACTTCACGAGAGCTGCCTGCGAAACGTCAGCGATCGCAATAGTAGACTATGGCAACGACAGCCTCACCTCATCCGTGCAGCCTGAACTCCCCACCCATCGATATGTCAAGTCGAGCCGTTCCAAATCCGGGAGAGAACTCGCGAGGAGATCCAATAAATTGAGGTCAAGAACATGCACTTCGATGACGAGTGTGCGTGGGTTGGCCATCTTGAATGGGTCAAGCACTGCCTTCAGGTCCTGCAACGATATTAGACAGCCCACAATACCCAACGACCGGACACTCTTCGCTGCCCCTCCAATGCGTGGCACAGGCGGCATCACTCGCTTGCCGCCCGAGCCCAATATATTCAGCCCAAGCTCCAGGCTCTCCAGACCCTCGAAGCTGAGCCCGCCGAAAGCCCTATTCAGCCAATCCTCCGTCGACGCACACCCATGCGATATCGCCGGGTCGGGGTCTTGCGTCGACTGGTGGCAGCAGTACTGCGGTGCAAAATTGAAATGTTCCACGGCATGGTGCGCACGGAGGAAGTGGTGCAGACCTGTCGGGTCGATGACATGACGTGGGTCGCACGGAACTTGCAACGACAGCGACTTCATCTTCGGGAATAACGTCAGGCTGGCGAAAAGCCATGAAAAGTTGAGGTGCCCAATAGAGTAAATCGCAAGCGATTGCAGGGTGAGTGCGAGGCGGTTCATAAATGTGGCGAGCTGCTCGAAGGCGTACTTTGCTTCGTACCCAGGCCCGCCCCAGGGCCCGAAGCGGGAGTCATTGCAGGTGAAGCGAAGGGAGAGGTCTTGCAGGCGGTCGAGCCCCGAAACGGTGGAGAGCATGTCGCAGAGGTGACTGAGCATCATGTCGAGCTTGATCGTGCGCAGGTTCTGCGAGTGCAGAGGCCAAACGGCGGTCAGGAGAGGCAGGCAGAAGGTCCGCTCCGCTTCAACGCCTTGTTTCCATTCGATGATGTATTCTTCGATCCTGTCGAGTTTGGCGACCGCATCGAGGAATCGGTCCGCGAGCTCGATGTCCTCCTCGATTGCGAAGCGTTCAGTGCGAAGCCTGACGGAGAAATGAGTCAAATGGCGCCTATATTTTGGTTCCACTCACCGAAACGCATCTGGCCAGTGCACATTCTTCCCTGGACGGATAAGCCAGGTATTCCTACTGGATCTCAGGCAGGCAGACCGTACGGCCTTTGGGTGAATGGTTAACGATTGTACTCGTGCAGCGACCGATGGATCTCGTCTTCAGCTTCAGCGGTCAGACAACAGAAATGTGGGCGTAAATTAAATAACGAGACCCACTCGATCCGGGTCAACTTGTGGATAAGGTGTAGGGGCCTGTCATCGTCAATGACGAGCTGGCGATACCGCCTGTCGGTTACGAGGTCGTGAAAGAGGTGGTTCACGGATGCCAGACGAAAGAGGTCGACGTCGGGTACGAAATAGGCGATGCGAAGCCAGAGTTCGGTGGGTAGGTGGGTCATTGTGGTGGTGCCTGGTTCCCGTCAGCGATGGAGTATATCACCACGGTATTAATGAGCCACAAGAAAGCTGCAGCGTACCTTTGGAAGGTCCTCTGATGACCCAGTTAGTGTGTCATGGGTGTTGTGGTTGGTGGTGATCGGAAGAGTTCTCTCAGGGACGGTTCAGGGCGGCAGCGGAGAGACGACGGCAATCACACATAAATTGTGTTCGCCGCGTTGGACAACGACAACCTTTGTTTTCTCTTCTCACCACCGCCATGACGGACCTCACCGTCCTCATCTCCCCCATTCCTCTCCTCCCCGACACGCGGGATTTCACGTTTGGCCGCCGGACGACACGGCCAGTGAAACGACCGATCATGGTCACACTCGAGAGGGAGATCGAGGCCGGGGGGGCTGACGGGACGATGCCAAATGTTGTCGTGTCCAGCCCAGACAACGAGTTCATACAACCCCCAACTTCCCCCCAGCGACGCTCGCGCTCACCGAGGGTCGTCGACCGCTCCCTGCTGTCCCCACCGGTCAACACTTGGAAGTCAAGACCCAGACACCGACCCACACGATCTCAAAGCGCGCCTCCAGAACGACGAACACCGCTCATTACGCTCGACGAGGAACCCCCGAAGTTTCCTCTTCCCGACGACGACAACCAGCCGTTAGCTACTATTCCACGAATACAAAAGCGAAGTTGCACTTCATTTACATCTGCGACGAAAGGAAGCACACGAGGCGGCGAGCTCGTCCGTCCTCCCCCTCCACTACGTATGTCCGTCATCTTTAGATATCTCTCTCTCGACGCTAACCCCTTTTCTTTGCGTAGTACGTCCGACAACCTTTTGGCGAAAAACAAAACGTTCAGGTGTTACCGGAGCGTCCTATTCCCCATCTTCTCATCTCATCCGACGTTCGACCTACATTGCCGCTGGACTCACATTCGACGCTCCTATCCACGACCTGAGTGCTCTCTGTGTGGAAAGCAGAATCGGATTCATCGTCGTGCCTCCCGATCAAACGTTTTGATATACCCACTGCAATTCATTATACCCCTTCCACGCCATTGTCATCGTCATGTACACCCTCAAAACCCAGCGTTGGTTCTGGTTGATGCTGCCGCTCGTCAGAGCCAGCCTTGACTCCGCATCCTCCGGGGACGGATTCACCGACTTGTCACGTACGAACGCCGACGCCAACTCTGGTATTGCAAGGCGGCAGACCTCAACATCTACGACGTTCGATTTCTGGTGGCCCTTTCCTGCGCCGGTCACATCGACCACCACCACCCCTGCCACCACCCCTGCCACGCCCATCCCTTTTCTGATTTCTCCAGCTGCATCTGCCACGCAATCAGTAGACGTCACGCCTAGCTCGTCTATCGTTGTTCTTGTCTCAGCCATATCGTCCGGACCGTCTTCAACAAGCACTCGTGCCCCTCTATCTAGTTCCCAAGCTTCTTCCAGTGATGACGCCGTGCCCACTGCGCAGTCAGCGGACGCCTCACCGCTTGGCACGTTCAAGGCTACCACCCTTATACCGGCTTTTATCAGTGTCGCAATTTTTCTCTCTGCGTTGGGGATATGGGTTTTGTATGGGTGCTGCACTCGTAAACCCCGCATCCGCTATGATGACAATGAACTTGTTTGTGGACCACCATATGCGAACATCGAAAACCACGATCAAATTCGCGACATCGAACAACATGGAGCAGCTGGCCATGAGATGTTTGAGGTACCACAGAACCATGTCCATCATGGTAGGCTTGGCCAGCTGCAATACAGGTGGCCCTCGTTCGATGAACCACCGCCGTTCAACCCAGTCAAGGGACATCATAATGTGCCTAACGAATCCAAACGCGACTTAGATGAGGATCCCTTATCGACAATCACCCTGCTCGCAGCTCCTCACTCCAACACTCGAGGCAGATCTCAACGCTCCTCTAAATCTGCTCTGTCAGCCGCCAATGCCAACGCCAATCCTCACCCAGAGATGTCACCTGTATTCTCTGATGCCACCTCTGCGGCCTTACACGAGCTGTACGAGAGCGATGACGATGAAGATGCGATGGCACGACGAGCGAAGGAAACGCCCTGGGAAAGCCTGCGACATAAGAGCATACGCCGTGGGATCATCGAACAGGTCAAAAAGGAGAACAAATGGATGGACTCGATACGTGGGTCGTTAGCGGCAGCCGCCGCACAGATAAGTGGGAACGCGGGCGGAGGTTCGCAGAATGAGAGGGAACACGATGGGCAAAGAGAGAGTGAAGGCGCCGGCCTCCAACGCAAGGACGAATCAACTATGGCGGCGAGAAGCCCACGTAGCCCGGAGGAAGATGCCGCTTCCAGCGTTAGGCGACGCATGCATAGGAGAGCCGACTCCAATTTGCAGGTCGACGACGTGCTTCCTTCTCCCACCTACCACAGACTTCCAGTGAACGCCTCAGAGTCGATCGACTTCTTCGCAGGATCACCGAATGGGCCTCCAGGTGTTAGACGTGGCTATACATGGTTACGAGACCGCGAAGACGAGGACAGGTACACACCCCGCCCAACGCGCACTACCGATGGTCGCAGCAGGAGTCGTAGTAGAAGTCGCAGCACCAGCCCCGTGAAGCCCAGGGCCAACCGAAGACATCAAGACATGTCCGGGCGCGACATTCTTCCTCAGAACCCAGCACAGATACTCAGCCCACCCTTGGAGAGCCAGATCTGCTTCACGCCCATGGGTATGCCCGTCCCACCGTTAGTTGCCCAACCGGCTCAGTCTCGACCCTTGCATGCATCTTCCAACACCATGACGCACAGTGTGCGACCCAAGACGAGAGCGCGTGGCGCGACGATCGATACTATTGTTATTCCCACCAGGATCCCGGTGCCCAGCCCCTCGAAGATCAGGAGCACGAGCCGACCCCGTTACCGCCACCAGGCGTCGTCTGCCTCATCTATTTCTGGCAATAGCTCCTCGAGGCCGGTACCTATCCCCATGAGCAGCGAGGATAGTGGAGAGGCCGTTCGTGGAAGGTCTGTCAAAAAAGCACCTGCAAGTATCAACACGCCTTCGAAGAAGCGCAGCACGGCCAATTGGTCCATCGATGCTCTGAAGGCAGAGGTTGACCAAGATCTCCGAGCGCAGATGCGACTGCAAACCAAGAACGCGGCTGAAGCAAACGCCATGAAGAAGGTTGAGCAGATTATGGAGAACAGCTGGAGCGCGAGGGATATGCGAGAGGAGGAGATTAGGTGCTTGAGTCCGTCTGGTTTCGGACGGGAGCCGTAATTTATATGTCGTCGACTACACGCTCTTTCTGGGACTTGGATATAGTTCAGCGCACTACATACCTAGTTGGTTTCTTACCTATTGCTATCGATCGCTTTTCAACATTTCGAAATGTGATCACGAGCCGAAGAACAGGAAGTCAGGGTCAACGCCCCTCATCTGCGCCACATAATACTATATTCGGTATAGCGTAATCTGGACAGAACTTTAGCGCGTTAGCTCTGAGCCGGCTCGATTGAGCCCAACAAAGGACTGCTTTAAATGCGAGGTCCATTAAAGAAATGACAATTGAAGCACTCTGAGATGGGTCACATAGGTATACCCATTGGCAGACATTGGCATCGTTGGTGATGTCGACATTCCAGATAGCATATACTGCTCCTATAATTCTTATTTTCTTCGGTATACAAGGCAAGATGGCCGAGCGGTTAAGGCGTGTGACTCAAGCGAAAGCTTACCCGTAGCTAGCGGGTTTCTCATCACAGAAATGTGGCGTGGGTTCAAGTCCCACTCTTGTCAAACTTTTTGTTTCTTGAATCTGGTTACCAGATTCACTCACCTGGAGTAAATATGTACTTCTTTCATTTTATTTTACGAAACGAGAAAAGTATCATATCGTGTAGTCCAGAAATCAAGAATCTATTTCCAAGATCATGAATGGGGACAAGTATGACAGCAAAGTACGTGGTCGTAGCCATAATATTTAAAACAATTTCCCGTGGGCCGGGCGGACTGTAACAGACGGTTTTTTGTCGGAAGCGAGTGTCATTAAGATGTAATACGACTCACGAACGAGCTCCCATGTCCAAGCAGACCTATCTTGGTTAACCAAGTAGAGATACGACTGCAAATATGCTCGGAAAATCATCCGTAGCTATATGTAGTGGCAAGAGGCGCTTACCGAAGCAATGCTTTCTGGCCTCAGACGAACGTCTTCGTTGTCCGTCCACTCTGCTGAGCGATGCTCGCGTTGGCGATCTACAAGAATAACTGAGAACTCGTGAATATCTTGCTAGCAGTTCTTAGCAGTATTGGAGACGCACATCCGTCAATAATGGACTGTCGAAAAGAGCCGTTAGATTAGAAGCTGAACGAAGCACGAGCAGAAATAAAAACTGACATGGGCGACGTGGATATACTGTGGTCCAAATTCCTTCGCCAGGCTTTGCGAAAGGGCCCTCGAGCCCCACTTCCCAGCAGCATAAGCGCTCGTAGTAACGTTCCCGCGAATGCTCCTAGTAGAGCCGGTGAAAATCAAGGTGCCTCTCGCCCCATTCGTCTCCTCAATATCGCTATCCTTGAACGCAAGGATGGCGCCACGCGCGAACGAAAACGCCGCAGCGACGTTTGTGTCCAAGGATTCCTGCACTTCCTGTGGGGTAGTGTCGAGGAATGGCCGTAAGACGCCGTAGGCGACGTTGAATACCGCGGCTCGGACGGTGTATTCTGGCTTTGGGAAACGCTTGTGGATTGACGCCCAAGCTGCCGTCAGGTGGTCATGAGAGTACGAGGGCACCATGAACGGCGCAGCCTATTAGAAACATCATTGATGCCGTATTAGAAAGGATTGAATGGGCGATAAAGCGAACTAACTTCTCCACCAGAAGAATTGATTTCGTTGGCGAGTCCCTGGACGAAACGGTCTCCTCTGGCAATGATAGCGACATTGTAGCCATTCTTCGCAAATAGTCGTCTGTCGCGAGGAGAAATCAATATACAGACAACTACGAAGGCTAGAAACGAGATGACGAATCCCGACTCACGCGGTGGATGCCCCAGTCCCAGTGCCGTTTCCGATACCTGGAAGTTTAATGAATTAGTAAGTGGAAGCCCACAAAAGAATTGATTGAGGGCACGAACCCGCGACGACCAAAACACGCTTTGCGGCTAGGGACGCCATATTTTTCGTGTGAGCGCTGGGATACTCTTATCCATTTTTTGTCTGTCCTTCCTTTATCCTTTTGGACGCGGGACTTGGAAGGTCGTTGGCGCAGGCTCCCGTTGGAGAGCTTTGTTATTGCTCAGCAAGCGAGGATTCTGCGTCAGCAAAAGCTTTCTCAGCAAAGGTTCCACGATTATTTGCGGTATTATCGTGGGGCTTGCGAATCCAGACAGATGCACTGGGTTAGTCAGTTGGTTAAGAGGACTAGGATTGCTTTCAATACTTACTTACGGGGGAAGGTTGGGCCCGAAAGTGACCTTGGTCGAAAGAGGATTTCGTCCAAAGTGAACAAGCCTAAGCACCGTGTCCCAATTCCGAGAGAGGCAAGGCGATTTCTGACAGAGCTCAGTGATATGTTTCATGGTGGGGAATACTTAGGCATGGGCACGGGCCGGTATGAGCAAATGATATCGACGCCAGTGGCTGTGCGAAAGGCACGTGAGGAGGCAATGTGGTAAACGCGCGACGCGTCGTATCCTGGTCTTCACACTGGCAGCTCCGGTGTACTACGTCGCTCCAAACACGCCAAATACCTCGTTTCCTCTCTGCCGCCCTTGATTTTGGGGCGACATTAATACACCGCTCATCAACAATCCGGATTCGACGTCTGTCATGTCGAAAAAATCGAAAGGAGGGTTCTATGCTGTCCGCAGAGGAAGGGTTCCTGGGATATACCTGACGTGGTACGTCCAAAGACCTCTGTATATCGTTGCACGTCTGGGGTACTCCTCCTCATCAACAGGCCTGAGTGTGAAGCACAGGTCAAAGGTTTTCCAGATGCGAAGTTCAAGAAGTTCCAACAGCGAGGCTTGGCACAAGACTTCGTGGACGGGGCGGAACCGGCCTACAAATCTGAACCGTCGACTAGCCAACACAGAGTCGAAGAAAAGGGGGTGGAGCCGGTATATGTGAGCCAGCCATCGACTAGTCAACACAGCATCGAAGAGAAGGAAGCGGAATCGGTATACGTAAGCCAGCCTTCGATGAGCCAGCCCGACGCCAAAGGGAAGAAGCGTGCCTTCAATGAAGTGGACGATGAAACGGCTTGTAACATCGTATATGCTGACGGTGCATGCAAAGGGAATGGAACCACTTACTGTGTAGCTGGCGTCGGTGTTTGGTGGGGATTTGACGACCCACGGTAAGTGCTGAATGTGTATACATTCGATCGACCCCGTTCTCATATTAACATTCATTAGAAACATTGCCGAACGATGTCCAGGAGTCCAAACGAACAACAGAGCGGAGTTGATTGTAAGCCAATTATGTACCAAGCTTTCCTCGCTTTGTGTTTATCGTCTATGCTCCAGGCGATTCTCCGGGTACTAGAAACTACTCTCGTTAGCAAGAGACCATTGCTCATTAAGACGGATTCAAAATACTCTATCGACTGTACGTTAATTGGCTGGGATCCATCAGTTACTTCCTCTTGACTATCTTGCCCATTGTTTGCAGGTTTGCAACATTGGATAGACGGCTGGGTTGCTAACGACTGGCGGGATGCACGAGGTCACCCTGTTAAAAACGCAAGCATCATACGATGTATCGCTAAGCACCTAGAAATACGCTCCAGAAGTGGTCAGAAAGTCTCATTACTGCATGTCCGAGGCCACAGCGGCGACATTGGCAACGAGGGCGCCGACGCGATGGCAAACCAGGGTGTACGTCTTCCTGCTGTCCCAGAACGAGACTGGGAATCTCTGCTTGAGGAACTCGATCACCGGCTCAGTCAGGCCAGTTTGAGGAACGAAACGAATATGGTGCTGGTGGAGATCCTCAGCGCTTACAGCGTTGTCATGCCTCGTACTGCTGAGGTGCCGACCAAGACGCAAAAACTGAGTCATGATCCGGACCCGACACCTCCCTCCAGTACGTGAACCCTAGTTTGGCTGCTTGCGCGCTTAATGTTGTTTTTTCAGGTCCTATGTCTATAGCAAGTTCCCAAGCGATGACCGATAAAGCAGAGTCAGCGTCTAGCACAAGCACTGTCATCGTCCCTGCTCGTGGCTCAGTTCAGGCTGAAGCGGTGAACGTGGATGTGAGCCTTAGGAATCTCCCTTTTGATGATCACTCCCTGACCATGGACCAGGATTACGCTGACTGTGTCCTCGATGATGTCGACCTTGCAGCTGAACTGTCAGAAGGTTGAGCGCTGAACGCTGAACATTTGAACACCCACCCGGACTATGATGCGTTTCTTGGTTTAGCATCAAGTAAGATTACGAGGCAAATTATAGTTCTGTTCCAATCTCCCGATGGCCATGTAGACCATTTAGACCTGTAGCATCATGAATACCATATACACATGCTTACTACACCAGTCAGTAGTAGCCACTCCTCAATGCCCCATATAGGCCTTGGTCTACAGTCTGCAAGATCAGCTCGACGTTGACTAGTGACTCCTCTGAGGCTGTCTATTTAACAAAGACCTCTCTATTTCATCCATTGTCTGGTACTCTCGCCACGGAAAGTAAAGCCAATGGTCTATGAGAACGAAAAGCATATTAGTATAGCATTATACTAATCGGCGTACGAAGAGGTGTAGAATACATATTCAAAACCATGAAAGCAGAAAGCGAAGCCAAAGCCGGGCCCAATTGCAAGTGCGACTGATAGCTGAAGCTAAAGACACGATGAATGCGAATAAAACAAAGCAGCAGAATCAAGCACGGCCCCTGCGCGCGCGCCATACACCCTCTCCGCTCTTTCCCCGGGTCGAGACCGTCTGGAAGCCGTCGTCGTCTTTCTTTGGCTCATCCTTCAGCGGCGCAGGTGAGCTGGGTCGTGGCGAAGCCGTGCCTACAACGCGAGATGCGATTGGCGGTGCTGGTGCAGCAGCACCCGTAGCACCAGCAGCTTGCCTCGCCTCTTCGCGTGCACGCCACCCCCCTCCCCCCCCACCTCCCAAGGCGCCAGGGGGACGATACCTGGTAGGGGCTGGGCTCTCTGAGCGCGACGGTGGGCCGTCGGCCGGTCCTCCAGCGGCCCGTGTTGGCGTCGGCGGGACAGAGTTGACAGGGGTAGACCTTCGCCACACCGTCGGCTCGTCTTTGCGGAGGGCGGCGGGGACAGCAGTAGGCGCTGCGATAGGCCTGCGGGTTGCCGCCACCTTCTCCTCTGCACGAGCCTTTCTGCGGGCCTCGGCCTCCTCCTCGCGCAGCATTTGCAAGCGGGCCTTCTCTGCAGCTTCTGCACGCTCCCGTTCGCGCTCCTCGCGGCGGGCAGCTGCCTCGGCTTCCGCCTGTCGCTTGGCCTCTTCCGCGGCGGCAGCAACAGCAGCCTCTTCTGCAGCAATACGCTCTTCCTCTAGGCGCTGCTCTGCAAAAACATACACGTCAGATAGCCATCGTTATGCTTATGCAAGAAGTATTTACCTTCGGCAAGTCTGGCCTCCTCTTCCTCCTTCGCACGTCTGGCGGCCTCTTCCTTCTCGTTCTTGAGGCGCTCCTCCTCCTTCGCCTTGAGCACCGCCTTCCTCCGCTTGTCCTTCTCCTCCTGGATCTTCCTCGCAGCCGCCGCCTGCTTCTTCTTGAACTCCTCCAGCTTCTTGCCACCGAGCATCTCCTTTCTCTCGTTGTAGTCGCCCAACATCCGTGCAAGCCGAGCCTTCGTCGCCAGATTGTCCTGGTGTGCTTGACGATACGCCGCGAGACGGCCGGTTTGGAGACTCTGGAACAACTCTTTGTCGACCTTTTGTTGCTGCTCGTAGTCATGTGCAAGCAGCGGTCGTTCTTCTTTGCGATAGGCCCGTTCGATATGGTCGATCCTCTTGGAGACTACACGCAACTTCTCGTTCATCTCTTTCTTGTCCTTCTCCAGCTGAGCAACTTGCATGCCGATGAGACCCTCAGTATCGATGGTGTCCAATTTCTGGAAGATATCGTTAGAAAATAAGATAAAAATAGGATAACGGGCACATGGAATTCTCACCTCGACATCATTGGGTTTGAGGATACCTTTGTCAACAAGGCTCTGAGCATACTTCTTCGCCTCGTCCGCTCGAATACTCTCAATCTCCTTCTTCGTCCTCTCCTGCTCCTTCCTGCGCAGTTCCTCCTTCGCCCTCTTCGTTTCCTCTTCCTTCTCCCTCCGATTGAGTTCGGCCCGACGGCTGCTCTCCTCCTTCTCCTTCCGAACGCTGAGCTCACTGAGCAGCTCGCGACGTCGGGCAACCAATGCCCTACGAATCTGGAGTGCTTTGCGCTCAGATTCGACAGCGGCCACCAGAGCTTTGACCTTGGCTGACTGCTCTTCGGGCGTTGGTTCAGCTAGTCGTCCCTCAATCACTTGCAATGATGCATGCAGAGATACCGCGACTTTGCTGAGGCGTGTACGGACGAGGTCGGCAGTAGAGGGCTGTATCGAGAGCTCTTGAGGAATCGAGGATGATGATGCAGTAGAGGTCGATCCTTGGTCGTCGGTTGATACGAAAGGTTCGTCGGCGAACGTGATGCTACCATCCCTGTGATCTACCCGGACATTGAACTCGCCACGACGAGCACAGCCCATGATGTACGCCTCCGTCTGCTCATCATCAAAGGAACCTTCTAAGCCGGCCTCTTTCAGAGGAGTAACAAGAGCAAGGATGTTGCTGATTTTGACGGTGGAATACACTTGAGATAGTTGGGATAAGAGGCGTGAAAGTAGGGCACGTTGGAGGAGCGGCAGATACGGAGAATAAGCCTCATCGGAGGATAGCGTTTGGAGGAGAGGCGCGACAGATGCGCATAGGGTCAAAGGATCAAAAGTCACTTCAAGGATGCTGTAAAGCGACTTGATTGAAGGCGGTGAAGGCTTCAGGACATCACGTGATAGCTGGAACGGAGGACGTAAGACGGGTCCGTAGGGCCTGGTAAGAGTGACTCACCGCATCCTTCAGTAACCCAGAACGCGTAGGCATTCGGCTGAGGCCAAGCAGGGCCGTGAGCCTCGCGTTCTTGCCCTTGAGTTCGTCCGGTTCTTCGGTATGCAGTCCGACGGGAACCGCCAGGGCGCTGACGAGCACCTGCCCTGCCAGCCTGCTGAGATCCTCCTCCGATTTTCCGCCCATGCTGATGACCAGAGAGTAATACCTGCTCCACGCAGCGGCATGATATAAGGCGTTTCCGCTCATCAAAAAGATCTTGGTCAGCTTTTCGTAGTAGTTAGCCATCATTGCCGGCCGCGGTGCCTTCTTAGCCATCGTGAGCAGGTTGTGGACATCCTCGACGGATCTGAATGCTTCTTGCCACAGCTCAAGTTCTACTGAGGTGTTGAGTTGGGCGAAGCGCGTGTCTAGATGATGTTGGAGCGTATCCGGGTCCGAAAGGTTAATTGAGTGCTGCTGGTGTGAATATTTGGCGACATTGGAGAGGTGAAGACGGAGGGTCTCGCAGAGACGACGGAATTCGACTTTGCGTTGGTGTTTTAGGCAGAACTTGAACGCTTGTTGGGCAATTTGCTGGAGTCGCGTCAGATGGAGTTAGAGCAAGTCTGAGGCCAGTAATGCCCGACACACCTGGTAAATTGTCTCAAGGCGGGCATTGTTTTTGAGGGTCTCCAGAGACGTTCTATAGCTTTCCCATAGAAACTTGAGCCATGGCGTGACTAGAGCACGATCTGTGCGGTCTTTGCTTTGATCGCCACTGACGGCGCCGAGGAGGATGCTCTCCGGTGTCTCGCTGGCCTCCAAATCATCAACGTCGACAGCGGATTTCACAGCAGCCTTCTCCTGTGCCTCCCGGACCTTCGCGTCTGCGAGTTGGATGAATTTGGTGACGACTGATTCGATGCTTTGAACGCTCGTATTCTGAGCGATGTTTTTGTATTGCATGAGGCCTTCCTTGGCGGTGCGCCCCTTGCGCATGTCGACGCAGAGTTCGATGAACCGATGCATGATGGGTTCGAGGGATGTGAGGGGGGTCGATCTGAATCGCTTTGAGGAGAACATCTCTGTCAACGACTGAAGGGCGGCATGTGTCTGCCCTACGGAGACGAGGCCCTCAGCTTGCTTGAGCACGGTCTCTGGTTTTGAAAAGGGCGCCATATTGAACTGTAAGGAACGTGAATTAAGTCGAATCATGCATTAGCATAACAAAACAACATACAATTGGTCGCCGGGATTGCTATTGATTAGGACGTTCACTACGATGACCAGTGTGGCCATTGGCTACATCGAAAAGAAAAATTTGGATCCACTTTAGGGCCGGCACCTGACATCATATTGGAAGTGCCTTGTGGTCTGCCTCGAATCCTCTCTTCCCGGATGCCTTGCTGCGGAATCCCGTTGTTCGAGTGACATGAGACAATCGCTCCCCAAACACGCCAAAGTCCGAAGAACAATGGAGAGCTTCAAGGCATTGGGACGCTCAGAATCTGCTACAGTGGTACCTCATCTGCCTTTGGCTGAGGCCTTTGTTTCCATGGAACGCACTGGGTGGCTCGGGAGTCTAAACCGCCCTTCGAGAGATTGCACTGCTCCAGACCTTCAGTCGGTTTTCACTCAGCGTCATGCTCCGGAAGAGGAAGGGTGGCTTTGTCATTGTCAACGGACAAGACTTTTGAATTTCAGACATACTTGAACGATTGTGACAATACTACGCCTTGTCTGTGTTTCACTGAACGAATCCTTTGCAGAGCTGCTCTACGTTACATTCTCGAAGCGCCGTGGCCTGGTACTGTGGAATTGCGTATTAAACCCTCGTCTTTTCAACGACGGGAGCCTCCTCTCCAACCCCCGAACCTCAGCAGTAGGTAATCCTCCTCCCAACATGCGGTCAGCTGGCTTCTTCGTTCTCGCAGCGCTTGCCTCCTCAGGTAGAGTCCTAGCACATCCAGCTTTTTCCCCGTTCTTAATGATGACCTTGGGTAGCAATCGGCTTCTCCGTTTCGAACGAGCAGCTTTTCAAACGCTCCCTCATCGACGTTAGACCCATTATAAACGGCATTAAGACCACCGTGAGTTCACCTTCGTTCACCTCTAGTCGCAGGCGTTCATGTTGAATCGTCGTACTTCTAGTGTGACTCCGAGTGCTCTCCTTTGCACTCCGCCTTCGAGATACGGCGTTTCGCCTAGTCTGTGTGAAGCCTCGCTCATTTCTTGTCGCAGTCGTGCCTCGCCGCCGACAGCGATGACGATGACGATGGTGACAGAGACGACCTCGACGACCTCGATATCAAGTGCATCTGCACGAACGAGAACGTCGCCATCTTGAGAGCATGCCTGACCTGCGCCTATGACGCCGCGAGTGTCACCAGCGACGACCAGCAGGTCATCAACAATGCTCTTGCGCGTAAGTCGCAACATTCTCGATGCAATCTATTATTCTAATTCGGCGCGTTGTGTTCTTTATAGGTTATCCGGTCGCTTGTGCCCGTGAAGGCTACACCATCTCGTCCGTCTTCCCTTCGGCGACGACCACAGGGCCAGCTTCACAGACCACCGAAACCCACTCGAGCACTGCGACTTCTGGTGGTCAGTCCAACGGAGGAACCGCAGTCCGTGTCGAATACGGCGCGCTCATGGGGGTGCCCGCTTCTTTCGGTGGCGCTGTCCTTCTCCTCTGAGAAACCTCAATGTGAAATGTTCCCTGTCTGATGCTCCTCTTGACTGTGGCAACTTTTATAGGATTTTTTGATTTGCAATATACACGGTGCATTTATTTTGACTCTTGGTCTTCTCGTGGGAGCATTGCTTCCAACAACACGCATCGAGATTTCATCACAGCAATCAACTTGAAAGTTTTTATGTGGTGCCGTTCCCTCTTCATACCTGGCCTTATCCAATTGCATGGTTTCAATTGCTTGTTGACAAAGCACTGCCTCGAGCTCCATCCTTCCTATCCGATTTAAGACAGCGTTGAGATTGGCCTACTGCCTTGCGACACTACTTTTACTAGTGTCTATTTATTTTGGAATCGCGAGAAGCTTCCAATCTATTCCTTTACTTAAATTGTCGTATGTAGAGTAGCCTTTAGCGACACCCCAAAGTATGGCCCACTCCCCTCCTATCTCGGCAGCTTGTAAACGTCAGCAGTGTAATGGTCGGTCCCGAAAGCATCATCGTACCTTCATGCTGAAATGCAACTCGTGCTTCGATATTTGTCCAACTCTCTCTTCTCCATCTTCGGGTCCTCATGTTGAAATCGGTACAATCGGGCATACAATGCCTCCGATGATATTCACGACAACCTTATCTCCCACCGGAAGTGCATCTGAAACGACACCAACGCCGACAGCCTGAAAGCGTGCGGTGACTACATCATCAGCGATCCGTCGATCGAGCCAGTCGACATCGACGGTATACGTACAATGCGGCCGCAGGTTCGTTGAGCCAGCCACCGCGCCGTGCTGTGTTGGAGAGGGTTCACTCCATTCGCCTCACCACGCGTCTAGAGCGATTGCACAGAACAAAGATTCCCTTTCGAAAATATCACCTCGACATTGGTGCCGACTGCATCCGCCACCACGGCGCTTATGACTGACAGCCCAGGCACCGTACCCTCGAAGAGTCGACGACGACTGTGGCAACCGCGACGTCTACCACCACCGTAAGAGGTACATTGAGTTGGAGAAAAGACGCTGGTGGTAACCCTATTTTCTCAGCGCCCTTGCTTAGAACGAGTGTCTCTTTCATGTTGACCCCTATGCTCCCGGCTGATGGCGGGCCGCCCGTGAATTAGGCGCCCAATTCGATCCAACTCTTTTCGTCGTCCTTCACACAATCAAAACGTATTCATGTGCATTTGAATTCATATAGCTTCTGCTAATACTGGGAGTTATACTGGCTTATGAAAGCCTCGCCCCGGCCGAGCATTTCATTCCGTCCAAGCCCAAATCAAGCCTTCGCAGACCACGACGCTGCAACGTTTTGTCTGGGCTGCTCCACATGTTTTTGTCGTGTCTCTCTGACACGCCTTCAGGTATTAGGGCCTCTCTCAGGTGACATATCATCCATATCTCTTGTATTCCCGTGCTCAACTTGCCTTCCTCCAAGTCTCAACCACTGTGTAGCGTCGCCTCGAGAATGGTTTCATCTCTTGCGTCAGTCAGGCATATCTTGTGGATATTTTACTTCCAAGGTTTGAAGACACGTAAAACTTTAAAACCAGAAGGCACTCAAGGAAGAACGCTCTGCAGCTCTATTTCTAAGTCGCTCATTTGCCGGGATCATGGATCTTGTCCCTCCCGAGGTACGATGTCTGAACGACAAAATCCTGGCCTTAGCAAAAATATCCAATATCACTAAACACCGTTTGCATTTCAGTGTACCAACAGCTGCGCAGAAATAGCGACAGCGCTTGAGGTGAGCCTCGTGCATGTAAGTTTATGGACCAGCTCGTGCCTAAATCTGCATAGACATGCGTATACCAGACGTGTCTCTGCAGTGATGAGAACGGCCAGGATTTGGAGATCTGTATGAACTGCTTCTACGGGGTGTCACCTACCGTGATGATCTGGGATGCTGCGCAAGGGGTGTTCAATGGTCCGTCGCCTCACGAAATTTAAATGCTATTGAACTCAAATTTTACAGATTTCGGCGCCTTATGCGAGACACAATTCAACGGCTCCCTCGTCCTTACTTCCGTCATTCCTACACCATCATCGTCGCCGACATCCACCTCGGCGTACTCTTCTCCCTCGATCACCTCCGACTCCAGTGCTGCCTCTGTGACATCGAATACCGCCAATTTCCCAACGCAAACGGGACAACCGACGTCGAGGAATCAAATCTGTCGAGTTCGTCTCAACTCGGAGCTGCGATCCCTGACGAAACGGTCGATGTATCCCGCTGCTGAGGCGAAGCCAAGACTATGGGGATGGCGATCGTTGCTGGAACTCATCTTCTACCGTTAAAGCACCCAGAATTTTGTCATCACTATTTTTACGCAAACTATTTATATCTGCTCGAAAAAGATGGGAATTAAATGAGTACCCATGAACCTACTGTCTTTGAATTCACACAGTGACAAATCCATTTTCGACGTTGAACGGAGCGAACCGATACTTGGACCGCTCCCGGCGTTGCAGTCGGAGGGACCCTCGTCTCTGGGCATGAACCAGGACCCAACTAAGCTCGGTCTCCATCCACCCAACCTCGTGGAGGGAAGCATCCACAGAAGACGCCCATTTCTCCAGGATAGCCTCGATACGATACCGGACAATAGCCATACCATCAGGGATGAGAGAGAGAACATCAGGGAGGGTATAACACCTGATTAAAGCATTCTGGGTGTGATTGGGACACGTAAGTGACTTGCTGATACGATATTTAGCTACAAGAGAGACGTACACGAAGGTAGCAGGTGTCGATATGGGGGTGCGCCTCGATTTCGGATAACACTTTCATCAGCGCATCGACCTAAGAGCAAGTAAGCAAACACTGTACGAAAGGGCGTTGATATGCACCTTTGTTGTCACCCAACCGCTCCGAGCCGTTTTGCATATCTCTTCCAATATGGTATCCCAGGTTGAAAGGAGGCCACGATCGACGCTGTCTTTCGACCGCCCATCGAGGGTATAAAAAGTTTCATGCATGGGGCCATTTCCGGCGACGATAACCGTTTCATAAGGTATTGCTTTGCGAAGTCTCGACACAATGGCTGAGAGTTTGGTACGGTAACGAGAGCGTAAATCAGCAATTGTGGGTTCACTGTCATATGCGTACAACACATCTCCTTCAGATCCCTCAGGGATCGTCAAGTAGAGGTGTTGCCCTCTGGCAGGGAAGGGAAGGGGATGACCTTCACACGTGCTGAGTATAGTGCTGAAGATGTCAGGCATGATAGGAATGTGGAGGTTGGTTACGGCTGGGAGGAGAGCGAGCAGACCGGCTAGATCGCCAGTGCAGCCAAAACGACTTTCTAACTCGAAGAACGTCAGAGTGCACGAGGATCGAGAGATAAATCCATTTATCGGCGCAACCGCGATGTTTTGGACACTCAGTGAAAGCTTGCGGAGAGAAGGCAGTGTCAAATGGGACAATATATGCTCCGCGAGGTCGGAAACTTCCAAGCTGCAAAGGTAAAACATGCTGACGGAAGTGTTGGTCACAGATGGAATACTGGGCATTTGTTGGACAGCGGATGACCATATGGGATGCCCTTTGTCTGGTATCGTGCAATTATTGATTTGACATTCTTTAAGAGCCTTGGCTGTGCTGAGAATAAGGATGATACTACTGGGGTCGATCATTGTTGCAGAGAAGCGTTGCAGTTGAGACCACGGTAGCAATATCCAGTTCTGTAAATTCCTCCAGCTGAAAAGTTTTGTTGAGAAATAGGTGAAATCATCGAGCAACGGTGCATGGGCGAAGGCGGATATTGGTGATGAAGGGGGTTCTACGTAACCCACATTCGTCCGAGTTATATGTAAGCTCAGCGACTTCAAAGAGGCCAAATTTCCTTTGACACATGCAAAGAAGGATTCGATGTCTTTTGAGAGGGATGATATGTAGAGATGATCGAAGCGATTGGAATGGGGGAGCAGGACTTGCGTTACAAGATTTTCCCGAGAGCCCGAACCTGGTTCATGGTGGTCCAGGCTGATGTTGATTGGGAATTGAGTCGAAGGGAACATGGTTAATGATTTGCGTAAGAGGCCTCCGGTGCCTGAATCGCTGTTAGGCATGTCACTGGTGATTTGGAAGCAGGGAAACCCTGTCCATAGGGTTGGGGTGGTAAATGCGACGGCGCGCCAACTGCGGCAAACTTGTGATAAGATCCAAGGTTCGGACCCTTCGATACTTGTGCCAAACTGGACTTCACGCGAACTTGTCGGAGGCAAGGTGAGAAGAAAGATCGTCGACAAAACGTCGGCTGCGAGGACGCGGGCTTTGGAGAGGTCATTCTGGTGAAGCTCGACGTGCCTCTTGCATTCTGGACAAGGGATTTTGAGGATCGATAATATCTGGGATAGAAGGGGTATTATTGGGAGTGGAGAGCTGCATTTCGTACAGAGAGTCTTGGTTGACATAGTCAGTCAATAGTTGGTGAAGGAAGGGGTTCAAGGTCGAGTTCAACCTACTGTGAGCGCCAATCGATGGATGGATGATCTGCCTGGGACAGCTGACAAATAATTCGTCTATTCTGGTCGCTTTACCGACGATAATAAACACGAACTTTCGTTGTGAAGACCTCATTTATGGGCTCGAAAACCACGACGTATTTCTTATAGAGTTGTAGACCATCCTGATCAGGATATGAGTGCAATAATAGCCGCTGAGAGTGCTAATACGAGGTACAGCACGGAACCTTGAGAGGCTACTCCCATTCGTACCACTGCAGCTGAACTGGTCATGACAGGAGCTGGTGAGGGCGAAGGAGACAAGCCAGGCCGTGTGATTTGCAGCGATGGTGTGGCGAATTGTCTGCAGTAGTCGTTCGTCCATTCTATAGAAAGAGTGTGAACTCTTGAGCCGTGAGACAAACATCTTGACAAAGACACACTCACCATCGATGAGCAATTGGTGCTGCTCCACGATCCCATCCACGTACGGTGTCAAAGCCACCATGCAGTTGACGCATCGCAGTAGGCCGTAGGCGTTATCGTTGGTACACACACAAGAGAGGTACTGGCAATTCTGAACACCAATGAAAACATAAGCCTTCGACCCCTCAATGTCCCACCAGTAGCACTCACATATGCCGCGCCGACAACAACATCGCAATCCACCTGACACTAGCGAAATTCGATTGTTTGAGAAAGGTTGTCTTGTAGATGCCAGTTAGATGAGGCCCTTACACTATTCGGGATCGAGTTGAAGATTCCTTCTTTCCAGATGTTTATAATTTAAGGTATTTCGGACCAGCAGAGTGCCTAAAACGAGCTCCATGAATTGTAACTCCTGAATGATAAGACGGATGGGCATTACCTTCGACAAAGCTCTGGCTGAACAGCAGAAATATCATTGCTATCGTCGAGAACATCGGGGAGGCCATGAAGGCTCTTCGCAGCAGTGCCAGGGCGTCCCTGAAGACCGATGATGATGGAGGATGGGAAAGAGGCGGAGGAAAGGTGCTCATGCCCCCCGTGTGCAGTCATTTACGGTGCAAGGAACGTGCAATGTTCATGAGATCATCATGCTGACCATACCCCGACTTCACTCGACCAATAGGCGTCGCGCGTCTGAGCAGAATTAAGGGGTATCGAGCGCCTAATCGCCAGGTATCGTCGGGAAATTGATCTCGAATGGTCGATAACGGATTTGAGTCTCTAAGGAATTGCTTGCGGAGAAGGAGTATCTGACATCGGCCGCCACTGGTGTCCGCCACCGTCCGTCCTAACAGTCTGACAATCCGGCACAAGCAAGGAATTCTGTCAGAAGATGTGTGTAGCAAACTTTGAACGCTGGGCGCTGAGCATCGAGGAATTGTCGTCGAACGAGGAGCGAACGTCGTTGAAACGAAGAGAGGTGAAATTTTTATGTAAGCATGATTGCCTCCTAAATCCTTCAAGCAGCCTGTCCAAATCTGTCCAGATCCGCTACCTTTCATTGCCTTTCATTGCCTCTCTCCCTCGTATTTATGTAAATGTTCTGGCTTTCCGTTGGCCTTTTCTTCAAGGAGAAATGGGAGCAGGATTCTCGGCCCTCAGGAACGCGCCGCTGTAGGGGAATGTCAGGGTGGGGGTTCACGGAGTCTGGATAAAAGGACGCGAAGAACTGGAGGTGGAGGCTTCGAGTCGGAAAGCTTCTTCGTGTTCCCTCTCTCCCAGGAGTTTTGTCACAATTCAGCTGCAACATTTTATTCATCATGCTCTCGAAATCGTCCTTCCTCGCAACTCTTCTCCTAGTTTCTCAAGGCGTGTATCCTACTCAAGTTGAGAAATTCTGCAACAGCTACTGACATGTCGTCTATCTTCTCATAGCGGCAGCCCTTATTCCGCGAGCACCCTTTTGGTTCCACGGCAAACAGTTGTGAGCATAACGCATCCACCCTACTTCGTGGATAGTCAAAACCTGCCCGTTTTTCTTAGTGCGATGGAGACTGCGTATTCTTCAGCTCACTTGTTCGGGTTCGCAACCTCTATCTCCCACCTGACAAGTGGTCACTCAAATTTATGCTACTGCCAGACCTGCAGCACAACAAGCTGTGTGTGTACCTCCGCCGCCAGGGCCGGACTCCAGGACTGCATTAATTGCTCTGTGAGAGCCAGCCCAAGCTCTGGAGTGATCTCAGCTGCTCAGGACCTTATTAGCAGTACGTATACGCTCTCGTCTTTCCCCCTTTCTCTGCCATCGCCCACAATCAACGAGCACGACACTCACAATATATTTCCAGCCTTCCAATCAACATGCTCAGCGTATGGCCTCCGCCCAGTGACCATCCCCGCCATGCAGCCCACAACTCCCGTTGTTACACCCCCACCCGTCGTCACCACTCCCCGTATCACCACTCCTCGAGTGACCACCCAAGTCGTCACCCCACCCCCAGTGGTAGTGACCACAACACCACAGGTGACTACTGTGACAACTACACCAGCGACGCTTCCCCCGCCTTCGATGTCGGAGGACACCCAGACCATTTCGCAGACTGTTATACGGCCCGTTGTTACTACGAGGGTTAGTGTGACGCCTGATGTGTCGGGCACGTCACTACCGGGACTGACGGGAGGGTGTTCGACCACGAGTAAGAGTGGTGGCGTGTCGACGCTCGTGGTAGCGTTGTCTGTGGTATTAGGCATGCTGGTTGTGATTTAAGCCACGCTGTATGCGCTCAGAGCCTTATACTTATCTGTGGGCGCTTTGTTCTGATTTCGCATCTCCCATGTCCTATAGTAGTTTAACAGCCGTAATGATCCCCAGACGTATCAACAAATCATCTCAGACTATCAGGCCGAACGACCGTCTGCGTGGTCCTCCTCATCGCCCGCGTCACCGAAGGTGGCCTTATTCATCTCCTTGCATAGCCCCACACACGAGGCTCAGAATACACTGTTGTAGAGTTCGAATCTACGACAACGACTCATGTGGTCACAAGCACCACTGCATCATCGATGATCTCACAGACGACTGTTCGGCCAGGTGACCAGATACAACGCAAACCCCACCTGTGGGATTGTCAAGAAAAAGTTGAGCACACATGAATGGTATATCGACGCTTTCCGTAGCACTATCGGCAATTTTAGGCATGTTAGCTGTTGTTTAATCCACAAAAACTACTCAAGGAACCTCTGGCTTTCGACGTTTCGTTCCCAGTTCCTATTTCGCATCTTCCGAAACATACAATAATTTAATCTTCGTTATGACTAAACCACGCCTTACTATCACTTAACGAGTACAACTTGGACACAGGATTTTTTGGAGTCCGAATCACATGCCCGAAGCCCGCGTGTGGCGCACCCTACCATAATTGGACCGAACTTGCTCCGTTCAGGTTTCTTGGCATTCATGTAGTATCAATCGCGGGAAGAACACAACTGTAATGTGTATTGAATCAATCAAAATTCATGGCTACACGCGTTTAGCCGTGGAAGGGAGAGTGATGTTATAAAAGAGCGAAAAGCGGTACAAAACCGTCAACAAAAATGCTTTGGCAGAAAGCAAGAGAAAGAGGATCGAGAAGCAACGTTGATGAACAAGCAAAGAAGCAGAAGATGTAAAAACAAGTTCAAGCAAAGAGCACGACAGCCCCTAGTCCCGAGAGCGTCGCCAGGACTCCCACAACCGCCTCAACACCCCCATCGCTCATCCTCGCGTTCTTCGCAGAGTTCGCACTTCCCTTACCCGTCTCCGAGGGCGCCTTTGCCGTCCCACTGGCACCGGACGACCCAGCGCCAGTAGGACCGGACGGAGCGGCAGTGATGCCGAGGCTGGCGAGTGCGACCCCGTTGGATATGGTGGACGTTGTGACACAGTTGCTGGAAGAGGGTGTGAAGTAAGGCGCGGAAGGCGTGGAGAGGTCGCCGACGGTGTATACGCTGCCGCCAGTGAGGGTGCCAGTGAAGCGCTGGGCGAAGGTGGAGAAGACGGGGTGCCGTTCACGGTGGCGGTCGGATACCAGCCGGGTGGATCTGACGTGCCGTATGATCGACGAATACCGTCAGGGATCAGAGGAGGAAGAATTGGCTCGCGACTCACAAGGTCCCGTTAACGTTGTAGTTCCCGGGCATGACAAACAGACAACCCATTTCATCAAGCTCGTGCCAACACATGTCCGCCGCGCTGTACGTCGAGTTGGCGTTCGTGCAGACACGAAGACAGAATTGGTTGTAATCCTAATGAAAAAAGTCCTTCAACACAATGCCCTTTTCCACAAAAGCCTCGAGCTTACAATGTAGAGCTAAATTTCCCATATGATCAGCGCATGAGCCAGGCAAAGAATACGGCTCGACTCACCATCCATTCGGCATAATTCTGGTCATTGCCTGTGATGTTGGAGGTGACATTACCACCGACGGGGTTTCCGTCGCCGTAGGCACCGTGGGGATCCAGTTCACTAGTGAAACGCATGTATGTGATTAGTAACCGTGATTAATTATATCATGCAGAAGCACCGCACCCTCCAAAGTCGCCCGCGGGGATGTTCAGCTTCGTCAAGTCACCGTAGCCCATGATCTGAACGTAGAAGTCTAAAATAAGAGGAAGAGCATGAGCTATGGGTGAGTTATGGCTTGGAGATGTGTGCGAACCTGTCTTGAGGAAAGAAACACCTGTAATTGTGCCATCAGGGATGAGACGTGCATTGTTGCGCTGCTGTGTGCACCAAGCGACCTCGAACGTCTATTTTTAGAGCGGCTATAATTAGCACACAGCGCAAAACAAGAAAAAGAGAGGTAACCAGAAAGAAATCGGAAACACTCCGTACCTCTGAATTGGCGATGTCTTGAGGAGAGGGTGGTGCGAAAAGGCAGAAGTCCTAGAGGAACATTTTTGGTAGCAACGCGAGAGATTAGGGAGGAGCTCACATCAACGGAGTTGAGGGACAAAAGTCTCGCCATGCTCGTCTGATTAATGGCTGTTCCAAGTGTTGGAGCTGGGGGGTTGGTCGGGCCCATGTTTCCCGTCGCAATGACACCTAGAGGAAGCTGGGACTGGGCCCCTGCAGGCTGAGGTATGCCAGCCAGGAAGGTGGCAAGGACTGTCAAAGTTGCCGAGAGCATTGTGTTGTGACGCAGTCGAAAGCTTGATGGGTATGCAAGAAAACTGGTGGTAGAGAGAGCGTGGCGACTCAGACGAGAGAACAACGAGAACGGGGCGAAGAAAAAGCTGGTGGTTGGAAAAGAAGGGGTGTCTTGAAGGAATGTTAGCGAAGGGTCATGGCAATGAGTGGGGTATAAATATCAGTTCTATTTTTACGTTCATTTCGTTTTCGAGTTTTCTTATCAAATCCTCAGACAGTGTCCGATGACTTCATCGCTGCGTCCTCCGAGGTCGTGTTCCCGCATTCGCAGAAGACATACACAAAGCTGAAACGAAGTGAAGAGTAGCAGAGGTAAGGAAGACGTCCTTGAAGACACCACATAGGGCGTTTGTATAAATAGTTTGCCCCTGAAAAGCTGTTCTTAGGCGCATTGAAATTTTGATGCTGGGTGCCGGGAGGTGCTGCGCACAACGTCATTCCATCACGATCATTAGAAGGGCCGAGGAGCGCACATCGTGAGACCGCGGTAAGATATGCAGGAAAATTTCCTTGAAATAATCTAACAAAGGCATTAAGGCATTAGTGCATAGTAGAGAGCATTACAACAGATGAAAACATCAAACACAGATAAACGTCCACCTCTACATCACCTCCAACACTATCTCGACACTCCCATCTCCCGCCCGATGGCCTTCAGACAGTCGCGCGCCAGTACCCTCGCATCCAACTCGACCGTGGTTCCGGAGTCCTTGCCACTCGAGCTCGTTGATTGCTCAATAGCCTTCCCATGTGGAGGCGACTGTTGCCCACCGGCGCCTACATTAATGAGAGAGGATGGCACCCATTGTGTTGGGCTTTTCCTTGGTATTGATGCGAGCTCGCATAGGACAGGGTAGAAGTGAAATAGGTGCGCCACCGTCGAACGTTTTACGGAGTCTCCGATAAGTTCTTGAGGTGTAGAAGGGATTGGAATGTCTGTCCCAAGGGCTAGGAAAGGTGATTCACGTATCAGCGTCGGTTCACGGTTTACAGAGGAAAATTTACCTGGTTGCTTGTCACAGTACTTGGTCGGATCATCCGACAGTGCTGCCCATAGTGAGCCTGGCCAAAGTCGAAGTGCCAGGAGCTTTCTCAGAACATACAGCAGCTCTTCCTCTCTAGCCCTCGGGAACGGCATATTGCCCCTCAGCGACTCATCAGCAACGTACCCCACCAGTGTCGTCCGACACCTATTCAGCAACGAAGAGAGACTGAGCGCCGCCAGGCGTTTTCGAGAGTGCTCTTGATCTATGAACGACGGTTCAGATGGCTTCATGGTTGTAAGAGGAGAAAATATGACCTCGTGTTACGTCTGAGCATATCAAGAACAGCAAATCAAAACACCAATACGAGAACCTCTCTCTCGGAAGTAGGTTCCCAATATCCGACGACCCCAGCTCAGGATACGACGTATCCGTATCGATACCCACAGCCTTCAGTGCTGGGCTGAGGGTCGGAGGGGGCGATGTCCTACTTCCCTTCCCCTTCGTCGATGTCGGAGGCGAGGTAGGTATCGATGATGCCGAGGAGGACGAAAACATGGAGGTTGTAGAGGATCGCGAGGACGACGAGCCGGGGTCGTCAGATTCGTACAGTTTGCTGCCTTGTTGAAGAATCTTGCCGAGTTGGGCGACGACCACATCTGAAACGCGAGGGTCTCCGAGGTGGGCCACGACGTCGATCTCAAGAGAGGCAACGAGAGCGAGATCGAAGTTCTCTTCTGCCTCTTGGACGTCGAGAGGGAATGATTCTGACATTGAGCTACCACAGCCATGAGTGGGAGAGGAGATGAACAACATCAGCAAGGCGTACCAATCAGCGAGGACGCCGCCCTTGAAGACGTCCAAAATCTGCCTCCAGATCCCTTCTATCCGCTCATCAGGAATTTGCTCTTCCAGGTGCTTGACATGATGTGTGCACTCCTTGACAATTCTTAGGAAGCATGTCGTGGCAGTCTTCCACAGTGGTAGATCCTTCCCGTACTTCGAAGGTGCCGGGCATTCGTACTTCAGCTTGATAGGTATGGAATACGCCTGCACGCGAGAGCATAATCAGCACGCATATAGTTCTACACAGAAACCGATCACTCACAGACAAGACTGATTCCAACGTCCCATCGACATAGATATCCGGACTCGATTTGAACCTCAAGAACAAATCCACAAGCAGTGGCATCGTCTTCTTCGACAACGAGATATACGTGATTCGCTTTTGGGGCGTTTGTGGTAACTGGTTTCGTGGATGAGGGACGACATCGAACGCCGCCAGGAATGGTAGAGTGGCGTATTCAGAGAGATCCCGCATGACGAGGGAGGGCGAGCCAGGGACAGCCAGGTCGATGTCTTGCACAGTGTTCATCACGACGGCTTGCACAGGCGGAAGGGCGTCGATATCTGGTCTATAATCGGGCGAGTTGGGGTAAGTTAGGACACCTGTCCAACATTATGTTAGAAAAGCAGGACAGAAAGGAACAGACAAAGTTGCACACCTTTCAGAATGACCATCAGCCTCGTCAGCCTCGGCAAATCCCACTCCTTGCCATCTACACCCCGACTCGTCTTCCTCATGCACTGTATCACGTCTACAAACGCTACCAGGCTCTCCTGGGTAAACGGCTGGAACGGTGACGCCTCCATATCCGCTAGGGAATTATATCTCTTCGTCGCCGACGACCCGAGCATATCCACGGCTTGCCATGACCTTTCCAGCAGCTCGGAAACTCGGACACGAAGAACGCCCTCCGCGTCTGCCGATGCTTTGATGCCCTTCTCTAGGCAGCGCAGCGCAGGGGCACTGACGCTCCGGTTGTCGAGGAGAATGGCTTCTTCGATCTGGCCGACGAAGAAATCCCAGGCCTTAGTAAAAGAGTCAAGCAGCATGATTTTGGAGACGAGGAAATCGGAGAAGATGGAGCCAATGGAGTAGAATGCGAGGACCTTCGACTCGTCCCAGGCTTGCTCGACGCCTTGTCCCAGGGTTTGGCTCGTCTCTTTGAGTTGTCGCATCTCGCTTGTCAAAGCCTCGAGTAGTGGGAAGGTGATCTTCCAAATACATTGGTCCCAGGTTTCCGAGCTCAGAGTGCCACCATAAAGCTGCATCGTTCTGAACAAGGTCTGGATGGCGCCATCTCTGACCTCTGCACGAGGGTCTGTACAAAGGCCGAGTACCTCAAGGAGGAGGAACATCCATAGCTCGCTGTACTCCGGTTCTTCGTCGACGTTCTTCCGTTTTGACTGAATAGCATCGGACACACTCCACAAAAGACTTGCAGCCGCGGTCAGAGCAATGTTCGTGTCCGCCTGTCGTCCGAATTGACCGAGAGTACCAATACATAATCGCAGATGCTCAGGCGAGAGGGATGATACCGAATCACAAACGAGGGTCAATGACTGGAAAGCGATTTTAACCAGTCCGCTGTAACTCTTTTCTGTCGGGTTTCCTAATCCAAGAGGCAATGGTCGTGCTTTTGCAGCAGGGGAAGGTGGTCCACTGAGCAAAGATACAGAGTCTGTCGACCTTGAGCGCGATGGGCGAATAGGGCCGGGCGCACTCTGGGCTGAACCAGGAGGCCGACAGACGCTTTCAAGCATTCGAAAGATGATTTCCCAGCCCACTACGAGCGTATGACCCGCTGCCTGGAGAATCTGGTGCAAAGTCTCCAACCCCATCCGCCGCAGCTCGACGCTCGTTGTCGTTTGTTGATACAAAGGAATGGATGGATCGGGGATGACTTGCTGAGAGAGGACTTCGAGAACGCGACGCTGAACTTGGGCTTGTAGGTCTCCAGTATTTGTCAGGTTGCGTGGTACAATGAGAAGGATCTCGTCGAGGACTCGAGCTGCCTGTATGCGAATGGTTTGGGGTGCAAACTGTAGGCGGATGACCATGAGCAAGTGGGTGGTTGTTGTGTTCCATGCGATGTCTGGAGAGCGGTAGATAAGGCGATGGATGTTGAGCATGGCTACACCACCAAGTTTAGAGATGCTGAAGTCCACAGATCGTTGCTGAGACAAAAAGAGAGTCAACAGAAATTAAGGTCGCCTACGAGATGTCAACGTACCTGGTTCCTGGGTATTGAGATACCGCTAACTCTCCTACGATGAACAATACTGTCTTGGCTCGGATTCGAGATGGTCAACAGGCCATGACTGTTGTCTTCTCCAGATTCCGAAACGTTGACCGGAATAACCTCCGAGCTCTGCATCCCAACCATCTCCGCGCTCAGCTTGCACAGAGCATTGACGAAATCCTTGAACGCGCTATCCTCCAGATTCTTCGATGAATCGAACAGCCGCTGAATAGCGAGTTGCATGGTCTCGACGTCAAGATCGGCCAGAAGCGGATGCCTTGCAGCAGAGGAGCCTGAGCCAGATCCTGATTGGGACCCAGACATAGACGTTACACGACTCGTGGTGCCACCTCCTGCGCCTGTACTGGGTGCTGCAGGTCCACCGCTACCGAACAAGCTTTTCTTTCCCCCTGGTTGGCCTGAAGTTGTCTTCGTCATCATTGACAGAACGCCGTCGGCATTCTGAAGAGCTTCAAGCACAGCGTACCAGCTTTCTCCTAGACTTCCAGCTAAGAAGAGTGCGCAACCAACCAGCACTTTCAGGGACGCCATATTCCTCTCTGACAGTCCAGGTGGCTGTGCCGGCCCGCCCAATCCGAGACCCTCCGAAAGTGCTGCGGTTGCTGAGCGGGGTGTCTGTGCAGGAGGATGTTCTACCCACGCCTCGAGACTCGAGACAACTTGAATGGGCACAGCGAATTTCGACAATGAGTTGAAGAACGCGTCTCGTGGCGTCGCAAGCCCTAGCATCCCCGAGACGTTCGTCATCGCCTGATAACTCGCCAACACCTCAACGAAGAGCTCATCGGACAGGTTCGTAGCGATGATGAAGGAGAGGGCGGCAAGCAAAGCAGGCCAAGCTTGTGAGATGATGGATTGAACTATGCTGAGATGGTGAGTCTGGGGTTCATTCTGTGGGAGGGCGTCGAGGTTGAGGGCAGGAGGAGCACGAATGACAGCATCTCCAGCTGCTCGTGGTCGTTGGACGACAATGTTGCTGTAGATGGGTCCGGAGAAGGAGGCAAAGCCTTCGCACAACGAGACGATGCATTGCACGGCGAGGAGATAGATGTATGGTTCGGGGATGCCAGGACCGTCGGCCTTGTCCAGTTGGTCGATGCTGCATAAAATAATGAGCAGAGATCATGAGCTTAGAATTGTCAAAACGCACCATTGGAGCTTCATGGAGGACCCTTGCACACTCAACCCAGCTCCACCCACGCCTATCATCCCAGCAGCCGCCGAAACTGTTGCGCTAGCCACTCGACCCGCCATATCCAATCCATAAGCAGCAGCACCCGAAGGCCCAGAGGACGACTCCGGCAGCACACCAACCCCGCCCATCTGCGAGCTGACTCCCAGCAAAGCAGGCTTCTCCGTCACCAGCCTTCTCAATGCCGTGATCAGAGACGTCACTGCTTTCGAGCCCGAGTCCTGGGCGTCATAGCGGTCCCACATGTTCCGGATGAGCTCTGCGTCTGAGCAGAGGCCACGCATGATCTCCATGGCTAGGACACGCATCCATGAAGGCCGCGAGGAATGAGCATGGTGTTGGTGGTGGTGCTCGCCGCTCTCTGACGCATTGTCATCGCTGATTATTCGAATGAGCATCATCAGGAAGACTTCTGCCTCCGTCTTCAGCTCAAACGAAAATTGCTTGAGCAGCAGGAAGACAACGCGCGTGCAGCGCAATGATAGTGGGAATTGCGGTCTTTCTGATAGGGATTTGAGGAGAAGCGGGCATAGATGGTGGCGAAGGAGGAGGATGAGTTCATTGTGCTGGGGGATCATAAGCCTCGGTGAGAGTAGCGAAGAGAATGAACTTACTTTTCGGAAGAGTTCGTGGTAATTCGTGAGTACACTCTCAATCAACTCCAACGCGAACGTTTTATGAAGGAACTCTAGCTTCAAGAAATGCGGCTTCTCCCCATTCGCAAGCAGACACAGGTCTTCAAACACGGAGAACGCGTCCTTTGCCGACGGACCGAGGTGTTTCGTAGTACCATCTGGCAGTTGGACCTCTGAAAGCTTCGAAGCTGGTATCTCTTCCGTCTCTGCCATTCGATCCTCCAGTACCATCTTATCCACCACGAACATAACGAGTTGACGAAGAGTTGCAGCCGCTGTCGACGAAACGACTGCTATTCGTGACTCTTGCAGCTTGAAACACAGAAGCAGTGCCTACGCAATAAGGTACTAAGCTTATCTCCATGAAGAAGGAGCAGTATGAGGACGGGCACGTACATCTCCCAACAGACTGCCGTGGATGGCTGGGAAGTTCGGGACGAGCGATACGAGAGTTTGGAGGATACGCAGTTGGATGTCTACGCCTTGAGACATCGCGTCATTCATGGTGGTGATGATGAGCGGCACGGCCGACTGAGGGACGGCCTTGAGCGAGATGAGGCGCTGGAGGGAGCCTAGAGAGATGGCGACGACTTTCGCGTTCTTCGTTGCGCAGCCCATAAAAACTGGTCGGAGCAGGTCGTCGGATTGCGGGCCATCTGTAGCAAGTGTCTCAAAACCAGTAGACTGTGAAAACTGGGTAGAATTCACCTGAGGCTAGGTTGGCCGTGGCCTGTTCAGGTGATGCACGCAAAATGGCCAGTGACTTCTCGGCAGCCTACACAGTCCCCTGTATCAGCTCCTAGTCTCGAATGCTACCAGCGGGTCGACAAACACCTCCCGTATCTCAGGATGCTTTCTTCTTGTCTCACTAGCCAGAGACTGCAGACGCAACACCAATTTAGCAGGACGTCATGCATACCACACCGCAGATCTCACCTGAAGTTCAGTGACCAGAAACGCCAGGGAGCTCATGATTTCTGCGCTCCTGCAGTCAAATGGTTCTGTTCCACGTAGCGCCCAGGTATTGTCAGTTTGACATAGCAACAACGCTGGTTTCTCGGACGTACAGATACTCGAGGTCCCAGGAATTGGTGTTACGAGTCTAGAATGGCGGATCAATCGGCCTTCTTTTCTTTCCAACGTCGTCGGAAGTGGTCGTCGTCGATGGAAGAGAAAGAAGGGTCGTCCGTGAGACGTAGGATAAGAAGGGAATGATATGGAATGCAAGACCGTCTTACTGTGCCGCGGTCGATGACAGACATGAAGCCCTTGCCAAACATATGCAACCCGAATTGTCCATAAATCTGCGCCGTCCTCGTCGACGACAAGATGTCGGGGTACGCTCAATGATATAGAGAACTCAGGCCGACTCTATCCAAGTAATGGGCCTCTCTACCCCCCTCCCAATTCTTTGTCTAAAAAAAGTGTGTCCCGGCTCCGTCTCTTGACAACTTGAATGGATAGTTGAACGTGCTGCAAGTTACAGCTTACAGCCATCACGAATTACGATTATGAAATGAATACAGACAAGATCGTCCCATACGTCATCCTTCAAAATGTTAGAAAATAGGGTATACATACACATCCCACCATGGTTGACCGTTCATCCTTCAACCTACTATCATACCATCAAAATCACCCCCAACGCTACCCCAGCCGCCAGCAAAAACCCTCTACCCACATCCAGATCCGAAGCCCCAGATCCTCCAACAACAGCGGTAGCGGTGCTGGGGTCCGTAGTTGAAGGCCGGACGACGATTTGACTGAAGCTGGTCGTTGGATCGCTGACGCTGCTGACGGTGTTGACTGATCGCGTAGAGCTGGATGAGGCTGAAGTGCTCGCGCTGCCGCCGGGTACGGTGACGACGGGGATGTTGAATGATGCGCAACTGTTGCTGAACGCTGAATGGCGGCAGAGATGAGTAAAGCGCCAGAAGACAGACGAAGGAGGTTTATGCGTACTGGAAACAAGGGATTGTGCGGCTGCGATTACAGTCGCGTTATTGCTTACACCAACGGCACAGTCCACGCATTCTTGAAGATTAGTTGCCACAGCAGTGGTACAAAGACACGCTGTCGTGTTGCATGTCTAGATGGCAAGCGTGAGCGCCGAGATCACCACATTCGGAAGGGCTGGCGACGCACGTTTACAGCTGTCTGGAAGGGAGCGCAAGTATCATCGCAAGGCTGCAACGACCAAAAAGCGTACGTTAGAATTTCAACGCTCCGATGATGCACGATCCCTCCTTCTTATCGCGATTTGATAGTCATGAAAATCCTCACCCCACTCTGACGAGCCACGAAATGCTCAAAAACGCTCCTCGGTACAAGCGCCGACACTAGGAAAGAAGAAGATTCTTCAGTACCAACGCAGCATCCCGCCGCAGCAACCCCTACTTACCTTGTACGGTAGCAAAAGCGACTGCAGCGAACGCGATCTTGTTGAAGTACATCTTGTCGACTGTAGCGGCGGCTGCTTGCTACGTAGCTGTCGACTCGTAAGAGGGCGAAAGGTGGGGGAAGCCCCTTCAAAAAGCAGTGAGCACGGTGGTTGAACGGGAACGTTTGGCAGGGACGTTCTCCGTGTGCCGAAAAGCACCGCAGTTGTCCTTGGGTGTCCTGATCCATGTGGGTCAGTGAGCGGTCAGGGGCTCAGCAAATTGCAAGTCCGACACATCTCTCTTGACAAAAACGAAACACTTGTTGGAAATTCTTCATCTCACAGGCTCAATCTCACCTCCCGCATTTATCTCACCGCATTTATTGCCATGAAAGCAAACACAGGCCATCGACTATTTGCAGGACGACCTCAAAAGGACTTCCGGACCACGTAAGTTCCTATCAACGATGTGCCGCCGTCCAACACAACATTCGCCTCGCCGACAACCACGGAATGTCAACGCGCACTGCTCTTCACTTCCTGTGAATGGCGATGCTCTGGCTAAAATAGCACGGCAAGAGGTGCTTATTACGATCCTACTCTAGGGCCTGCTGAACTTGATGTGGCCGTTCCTCTCCTTGCGCGAACTATCGGGTTCACTGCTGTCTGCACACCGAAGCCATCTTCGTCAAGCACAGGTCAGCCTACACGGCTGAACGTGCAGTTGAACCTTCGTGCATTCGCTATCTATCGTTTACACTACCTTTCCAAAGCTTCTCGATGCAAGACTCGCGACATATCGACCTACTGCCGTGTTGGCACGTCTCTAAAATCTATGATACAAAGGACCGGCCTTCAACTCGCTACATATTCAACAAGTTTCAAAAATACAAACACTCCAAGGCCATCAGCACCAGAACACCACCAACACTTCTCGTCTTCATCCTCCCAAGTACCACAGACCCCGCCGCTCCCGACGTCGCGCCGAAAGCAGTAACATGCCCGGCACCACCCTGGTCTACCGCCAAACCCCCTGTTGTGGCCGTAGACACGACGGAAATTATCGTCGTCATGAGCGGACCTCCTACCTGTGTCTGCTCCGCTGTGCCTGAAACAGAGGCTCTGGAGGACGTCTCTGTCGCTGTGACGCTAGCAGATGAGCTCCTGGACGTGGTTAGCGAAGGGAACGTCAGGATGCTTTCAGATGATGACGACGACGACACTGGTGGCGGGGCGAGTGTGGTAGAGCTGCACGCAGGCAAACCCGGGACAGTAACCGTGGCGATCTGGGTGAATGAACACTGGGAGTTGTACCCTGGATGGCGGCGTCACGAAGAGAGCTCAGGTCGGTCATTCGAACTCGACTTAGGATGGAGGGTGCGGTACTCGCCTTCAGCGACCTTCGCAAGGTCCAACGCTGCCCCCGGCGACGCAGCCACCAAACAATTGACGCAGGCTTGCAGCGGGTCCTCTATTTTCTTCGTGCATAGACAAGCCAGGGTCTCACACATCTTCAAGTTGATGGGGTTCAGCAGACCGGTCCGAAGCGGATTCATGAAGGTCGGCGTACCTGGGCTCCTTGCAAGAACGTCTGGCAGATGTTCACGCACTACAGCACGTCATCTTGAAGTCAGAACTCGACAAGACTGCAGGCGTGGAGCCTCACTGTGTCGCCCGAGCCGCCTTCAGCCAAGAACGGCGAGATTAATTCGCTGAGATCTCTTGTCTCAAGACCAAAAACTACGTTTCAATCAACAGCATCAGCCTCAATCTCCACCTTATACGCGGCACCCACCTCGCGACGCAACCACAGCGAGTGAAAGTAAAGCACCTGCAGGACGCATATCGTGGTGCAGGCCCAGGTAGTAGACGAAGGGGATTGAATGACCTCGAGGTTTGCACCTTCGTTATATATCTCTTCCCATCCCCTGACCGATAGCTGACAGGAGTAGCCCTGGCGACTCGACGCCTATCCGCGGATAGACGTCAATTGGTGCTTGGTTGGCTGATGTATCGATAAGTGCTCGTTCCCGTGCCCCATCGCGTTATTCCTAGAATAGGTCTGGTGGAGATACATCAGCAATCCACTGTCGCCTTCGACTTCGGTGCTTGACGTGCAAGCAGTCTTCTGAGTTTTGGGCTGTTCTTGTCAGCACCCTCAGTTCTCACCAGGAGAGCTAGCCTTTTTTTTTTTTTTTTGGAAAAGATAGTCTGATTATGAGCATATGCATGAATACGTTTATGACGAACATATGTTGGACATCGTAGCCCGGGTGTTGAAGTTATACAAGAAAGCAGTGATGCGTCGATTGGTACGGCTGGTTCCGGGCATATTCGCACTAGAGTCGTCGCGACGCGTAGTCGGAATAGGTGATCTTCCCTGTGAATTATTTCTTGTCTCGACTCGTTTTTGCTGTCCAAATTCGTTCCCTGCTTTCACGTCGAAATTCTTTGCGTTATATCCCCCGCTCTAGCTATCTCACAAATTATCTTCTGTTGCACAATGTTCCTGGTACCATACAAATTCGAATACCCGAAGAATTGGAAGTTCGATGATTTTGAATCCAATGGCAGGGGTGAGCTCGATGTGAGGTTGAGCATCCATACTTTGAGTAGAGAATACGGCGATCCGACGATCAACTGATGACACTTTGACTTCCCTGAGACCGTCATACAGATCTAAGGGCTTGAAGAAAGTGATATAGTTGCCTGTGAATATTTGAATGATAGCTAACAGCTACAGAAAAAATATATGGTTACACGACGGGTCAGTGTACACAGTACAAGCATTGAGCAAAGTCCGGAACGTTTGGAAGCGGATGGAGGGAACAGAGAATAAGAGAACAAGGTTGGTCCTACGACAACGATGATAGCTCGGTGATATGTATAATGCTGTCAACACCCTGCCACCTTTACTGATAAGATCGGACACTCCGAGATGGTTGGACGAGTAACCGAGGTGCTGCCAAGTGCCAGTTGCCTCCCGACTAGCAGCACACACAACACGGGCAACAGAGTGCAGCCGTGCAGCATCCAGCAAGGCTACAACGCCAAACGTTGTGAATGTTAGCAACGCAGCTCCAGCTGGGGGTTGAGAAAAGAAAACACGCACAATCCACAAGAGATACAACACGCGTCAGAAGAGTCGTTACGGGGAGGTGGCTGCTGCTGGACATAGATCATGGGCTGCCCAGGCGGGGGTTGGCCCTGGTACGGACCCTGCTGGTACTGCGGGTGTGATTGGTCTACAGCGCGGAGGAAAGCGTTCGTTACTAAGCCGAGCGCACATTGAGGCAGACGCAAGTTCGGAAGTGAGACATACAAGAGTTGTAGTGCGCCTGCCCAGGCTTCTCGGGTGCGTAGTATCCACCGTTGTTGCTCATCTCCTCGTTGAAATTCTAGGTAAAGTGGCGGAGATGCTTGCGGGTTCACTCGTGTGTAGAAGGAAAGAAAGAAGAGGGCGAGTGAAGGGCAACTACCAACAACGGCCTTTTTGACTTGACAATGACACTGACAGGCGAGGGAGCGGGATCCTAAGCTTTGCTTGTGCGATGGTAGATGGGAGACCTTTTTATACAAAAGTACACACGTCACCTCAGATACGGGTGGCCGGGTAGGCTTAGTGCCCTTACCATGATGTAAAGCCCAGGGATAAGGCTGCCGCGAGGCCGCTAACCTTTCCGCAACTGCGGAGCGTCAAGAAATGAAGGGAAAGCGGTGCGTGTGCGCAGCGAATTCACGATGCTGTGTCTATGTCTCTGTTGCTCCGCCGAATGCCGAAGGACAAATGCACGCCGAGATAACGCAATTGAGACTGAGACTGACCGGGGGATGCTGGAAGGTTTGTCTAGTTCGTTGCAGGTATACAGAACTCTACTGAGGGGAAAATTAAAGCTGAACGTCAAGGAATCGCAAAGACTATTGGTCGTTCGCTCTTCGTCGTCTCCACTCTTTCAACCCGTCTTCGTACGCCTTGTGGGTCAGCCCTTGAGGAACGTGCACAAACGTAACACCTGCGGAATCGAACATCCCAACGCGAAGAGGGTTAAGCGTTTGATAACACAGACAATAAGGTTGATAACGAACCAAGCTTCTCGACCTCTGAATTGCGGTGTTCATCGTCAAAGAAAAGCTGTAAAAGTTGGGATGAATTGAAAAACGACAGCTGGGAGGCGAATCGACAGACCATCTCGGTGTACGGTATCCCAGTTCTGTCGTGAAGTGCCCTAAAATGCTTCAATTTCGAGCCTGAACACTGTTGAGTAAATACGACGATAGCAGAAAATTAAAGGGCAAGACTCACTAGGGTAGATTTCGAATTCGTCAAAATACTCTACAGCTGGTCGAGGTTGAGAATTCATGGTGCCATCTTCTTTCGGTGGAACGAGCAACAGTCGGAGGCATTGTCGTGCACTAAATCAAGAGACCCTTGTCAAAAGTAAAGGCGCAAGCAATGAACGATACGCACAGATCGGGAGCATGAGTCCTCGAACACACCGCAACAACGACCTTCCCATCCACGTTATTTCCTTCTCCGGGTAAAGAGCGTCCTCTGAGGCCATGAAGAATACCCGCCACGTCCCTATAGAACGAAATGGGCTCTCCGTATTTGTCCACGACCTTGTTGATCGCGTCACCGGGTCGTTTGAGGGGTCCTATTCAGATTCTAAGTTGGCTATACTGCGCATGCGATGGAGCTGCAGTGCGATACGAACGCGCCTGTAACGTGTGTGTCGATCCACAAGTCCCAGAGAGTGTAGCTAGGCGAACGACGAGACGGAATAAGCCAAGACGTCCACGAATTCGAAAACTTCAGAACTTACTCGAGATCAAATGCGACAAGCTGGGGATGAGGCGCGTCGGTCATGGTGCAGCGTTGTTGTGGTTCAAGTTCACACTGACAGTGGACGGCGAGGTCGCCGGATCCGGACCGATTGTCCGATGTCGGTCACGGGACAATCACATGCGCGTCGCGTCGCGTCGTGTAGGGCCTTGATCAGCCTTGCAGAGCCTTGCTCTCATCACGAATCTGGCTGTCGACTCCTAGCTTACCCCCTTCAAACAATGGGCCAGATAAGAGTCTTCGCTTTGCTTCCGCTATTCGTATATTAAATGCCTCCGCGTATTATCATTGAGGAAATTCGAGAGGAGGTGCAAGCCACACTTCATTACCGGCTGATCATAGAAATTGGCCGGTTGCATGGAAGTAGCTTGAATATTCCTCAAACCAGGGTGGCTTAATTGACTACCGAAGGTACATCCGCGGCGACGAGAAATCCGCAATATGCCGCATGGCGGGAGCCACAATTGGACGATTTGTTACTTGATTCGGCACCAGTCCTGTATCCACCAACGGGGCCACCCATTGTTCATGTCCGCTTACCGCAACAAATCCTTGTTACAATGCTTGGGTAGTTCTTCGGACCTTCTTGCGAGCCACAAATTCCTGTTCCCGGGTCGCAACTCACGGCGATGGCCCGGAATCCTTTGTACGTGTCTCCCTCCAACCTTCAATGACCCTGACGTCTGGCAAGATATAAAGTCAGTCGACTTGAGCCCTTAGGAGACAGACGACCCACCGCCCACACTCATTCTCTCTTATCTGCTTCGTCGATAGCGACTTCTTAATTCCTAATACTTCGACTTCCCAATCAGTAAGCAAATCGCCTTCTTCTCTTGCAATCAACAACGCTCATATGTCATGCCTCTACAGAAATAAAATGTCTACCGAATGCACCATCATTGGCATCGAGCTCACCGAGGAGCACCTCCTCCGCCTCGCCACGCGCATTAGCCACGAGGAAGTCGACGACGCTAGGCAGGCCTACGAAATCGTCGTCGGCGAGGCTATCCAACTCGGCTTTGATGTCCCTCCCACTAAGCACACCGGTCCTACAAGTGACCCAGAGAAAACTACCATCATGTTCGCCGTCTTTGACGACATCGACAGTGCCCACATCATGGGCAACAACAACGCCCATCGTCTCCCCAAGGCGATCGAATGGTTGACGGAGAACGGGCTCCCCGAGGCCGCCCAGATGGAGCTGAAGAGGGCGACTTTTGAGCCTTAAGCGCTCCATGCTATGATCTATGCTTCTACAATCTGTACACATACTGTATTTGTCTCTGTCTTAATGTCGTCCATATGCGTTTGTGAAATCACCTATCTGCTTTCCTTGTTCTGGGCGGTCTGATGCTGCTAGAATCTTGTACGGTCTCATAGGCTGTGAGCTCGATGTGAAAGAGATTCATAGGTGTCCTCGATTTTTCTGAGTTGCTTGCGTGCTGCAACGAGCGCCCATCGTGGGCGGCAAGCGGGACCGGCGCTTGTGATGGTTGCACAGCCTCTGACGCTTCCGCGAATCATAATACATCCCTCTTTCCCTGCCACCACAGGCACTAGCAGTGCCACGTTTTCGAATTCCAGATATAAAGGCCAAAGTCGACCGTGCAACACAGCTCCACGCCTTGCCTTCGCATACTCGTCTACTGATCAAACTGCGCACTTCCACGATGGTTTACCCCCGCGATTCCAAACCGACCTACACCAACACTGATTCCGTCCATGCGCCTGTTCTAGACTGGTCAACCACACCTCTCGCCACTGATTACCCAGGGCACTACGTGAAGATTCTCGACGACGTCTTCTCTCCAGGAGAGTGTGCCGAGCTGATCGCGCTCGCCGAATCCGATGCGCAGTGGAAGCAGGCGGCAGTGCACTACGGTCTCGGCGCACACCAGAACTACGTCGACACCGATTACCGAAATAGCGAGCGCATCCTGCGATTCGATAACGCAGCGGCAGACAAGCTGTACCAAAAGTTGCTACCTTGCGTGCAAGAGATTGTCGAGATCAAACCTGGCAGCGAATGGGAGGGCATTATCGGCCCTCCAGGTAGAATAAACGAGACGTGGAAGTGTGTTGGGTACGTACGATTATCAATTCGAATCCTCCAGGTTGTCTGATTTTCTGAATTTTCAGCATCAACGAGCGCTTAAGCTTCTTGAAATATGGCAAGGGAAATTACTTCCGAGGCCACTGTGACGGTCAGCTGGAGCTTCCAGACGGGCGCTTATCGCGAGTTACACTCCAAATCTACCTTGGAGAGGAGCTCGTCGAGGGTGGCGCCACACGGATTATGGGGGGCAAGGACCGATATCTGGATGTTCTCCCCAAGAAGGGACGCGTCCTCATTTTCCAACAACGGAACATCTATCACAGCGGTGAGGACGTGACAAAAGGTATCAAGTACACCCTCAGAAGCGACTTCATGTTCCGCAGATTCAAGGAATAAATCAGCTATTAGCACCTCGATGATATCGATCAATCGCCTCACCTCACCGTCTGTCGTATACAGACGGTCACCGGTCTACTCATCAGTTTCTCTTGTCCTGCGCGGTCTGGTCTTCCTCCTGAGTCTCGGAAGTTGAAGTATGTTATATCACCCAACACACCCAACATAAGAGAGTTCCATTGCATCTATTGCCTTTTTCTGGCTCCATGTGTGTGTTGCGACGACTGTTCGACAGCTGCCCGGCGTTGAGAAATAGCCATTATGGGCCGTAAGCGGGTCCGGCGCTTGTGATGGTTACACAGCCTCGCGATCTTACGTCCCATGACTCGTCTCTTTTCCTGCCACCACCAGCGCTGGCCGGACCACGTTTGCAAGTTCTAAGACATAAAGGCGAACGAGGACTGTTGGTCTAATCAAGCAGAGCTGCTACCTATTCTTTCACATTCCCTCATCTATTGCCCTCGCCCACTGTGCGCACCCAGCATGGCGTACCCTGGTGATTCCCAAACAACCGCCACCAACACAACCCCCGTGCATGCGCCCGTTCTTGACTGGTCAACCACACCTCTCGCGACAGATTATCGAGGGCACTACGTCAAGATTCTGGACAACGTATTCTCACCAGAGGAGTGTGCCGAGTTGATCGCGCTCGCCGAATCCGATGCGCAGTGGAAGCAGGCGGCAGTGCACTACGGTCTCGGCGCAAACCAGAACTACGTCGACACCGATTACCGAAATAGCGAGCGTATCCTGCGGTTCGATAACGCAACCGCTGATAAGCTGTACCAGAAACTGCTGCCCTATGTCCAAGAGCTGGTGGAGATCAAGCCTGGCGGCGAATGGGAAGGCATCGTAGGCCGTCCAGGCAGAGTCGACTCGACATGGAGATGCGTTGGGTACGTACGATCATGGATCTGACTCCTCCAGGTTATCTGACTTTCCGATTTGCTAGCATCAACGAGCGCTTAAGCTTTTTGAAATACGGTAAAGGCCATTACTTTCGAGAGCACTGTGATGGCCAGCTCGAGCTCCCCGACGGGCGGCTATCGCGAGTCACACTCCAAATTTACCTGGGAGAAGAAAATGTGAAGGGCGGTGCCACACGGATTCTGGGGAAGAGGAACCGTTATGTGGACGTCCTTCCTAAGAAGGGACGTGTCCTCATTTTCCAACAACGTAACATCTACCACAGCGGTGAAGATGTGGCGGAGGGTATCAAGTATACCCTCAGAAGCGACTTCATGTTCCGCGAATTCGAGGAATAGAATGAAACGATAGCAGCTCATGATTGTGCGTATCACCCGCTCCTTCGGTAGACTGACACTTAAATTATAAATAGTACATATTGTCCTGACAATTCAGATATTACACTAGAGGTTTGCCCGTGCTTCGCACGGGGTGCGCCGGTGGGGGGGAATTGGGACCCGAAATAAAATTGCACATGTGCTAAAGTTCTTCGTCACTTTCCATGGATTTGAAGCACTTAGTCCCGCTCGCCTTCGCCCCTCTGTCGCGCGGGGCGCTCCGTCGTGCCGAGCGACTTCCGGCGGGCTTAAACTTGAATGCACTGCATATTTTATTCTTATTGAAATTTACTTACTCAGATTCTCCGCAAGGCCGCGCTCCCTCCCCTTCCACTCGGGCAATTTTGCGAAAGTTGATTGAATTTGAACTCAAGACGGGCTTATTCCTTACCCGAGCGCCCATAGATGGGCTGCTGACAGTGACTCTGACCTAATAACTTGAGGCATAGTGGGTTGAATACACTGCTGGCAGGGCCAGATATTCCCTGTTGGAAAATGCAATCTTCTGTTTTTAAATTTTAGAGCTTCCAAGATGCATTACTATATGGAGTACCGGGAGCCTAAATGGAGTACTGCCGGTACTCCAAAAGGAATGCATTTTCGAGACCCCAATATTTGAAAACAGAAGATTGCATTTTACCGATGATAACATCTGGCCCTGCCAGCAGTGATAGGGAATGGCCAAAGGATGGGTTGGCTTAATAGAATGTAAGGGCTCCACTCTTTCTTGAACCTTATCTAATCACTGGTCAGGCTCAGCGCTCAACCATGACAGAGAAGGTTAAGCCAGTCAACTTTCAGAGTTGACCTCCGGACAAAAACCTTGGTTTTAGTAGGTAGATGTATGACTAGGAGGGACTGTGATGGTTTCGGATTATACCCAAGATTTAATAAGAAAGATCGTAATAAAAAAAATTGACTCTTCAAGTTGTATAAAAATGAACATAGCAGAGACTCGTCTACTTAGTACCATAACAACTCCACCCATGCTTCCTCTCATCGAATATTTTGAAGCTAACGTCCTTCAAGCTTCAAGGTCGCTACTTTAAGTGGCGGTGCCCCTTTAGGCTTCCTCCTCCTGCATCTCTTCTTCGCTCTACGGTCCACTCGGCGTTCTGACAACCCAAAAATATAATGCCTATCTCCATTCAACTCCCTATCCCATTAGCCTAGAGATAATTGTTCTTCGAGGCAGCCTGGACTTGGAGACACCCGCGATACCAGAATAGCGTTTTCGCATGTTAGTGAGCGGATGTACAGTGAGAGTGTAGATCGACCCGTATTGTATCGTTGGAAACTCTGAGAGGACAGCGATTTTCGCAAATCCTTTTTACTCTCCATTCGAGCCCCTCCCATAATTTACTTCTCTCAAATTTAATGACACAAGGTATAGCTTGGAGCGGACGATAGAGAGGGGTCCCTCATTGTATCGATCTTCTCAGGCACTCCTCCAGCATTTTTCGCCGTGACCGATTCTCTCATCACGCCCACTCGAGGGAACAAAAATACTGTCCATGCCCCAGTCTTGGACTGGTCCACTACACCCCTCGCTGCGGACTACGCAAGGTTCTACGTCAAAATCTTTGATGACATCTTCAAGGCAGACGAGTGCGGCGTACTCATCGCCCTCCCCGAGTCCGACGGAAACAAGCGGCCGTAGGCCCAGACCAGACTAACTTCAACCTAAAAATGTGGAACAGCAAGCGCATCTTACGGTTCGATCGCTCCGCAGCGGACATGTTGTACGAGAGGCTGTTTCCTTACGTCCAGGAGCTTGGGGAAAATAGGCCAGGGAACGAATGGGAAGGAATTCTTGGTGGTCAAACAAATACATGGAAGTGTGTAGGGTGCGGACCGTTACTCATGAATTATGAGCACCATTTACTTCTCACATTTCGATTATAATGTTACATTTCCAGGATCAACTAGCGCTTAAAATTTTTAAAATACTTTGAGGGGGGAATTACTTCTGCCGCCACCGTGATGGTGAACTGGAACTTCCCGACGGGCGCTTGTCGCTCGTGACCTTCCAGATATATGTACTTACCTCGGAGACGACAATCGAAGGAGGCGCCACGTGGGAATTTAAAGGAGAACAGATTTTTGGATGTTCTCTCTAAGAAGGGTCGTATGCTTATTTTTCAGCAGAAGAACCTCTGGTATGGCGGTGAGGATGTGACGAGTGGTATCAAATATAGCTTGAGAAGCGACTTTATGTTCAGACAATACGACGAACAAGCGAGTAATTTTGCTCACTATCCGCAAAAGAGGCACTGATTATTGTTAACCCTCTTCCGTAAAGCCCACTGTGACGGCGGCAGCGTGAGCGCTTCCAGAGAGGAGGCTTGACATAATGTATCCCCATGCTAGTAATTGCTTCGATTGTCGATCCGTTGCAAGTTGACATTTGGTAAATGCCTTAACCTTCGGACGGAGAAAGAGTGGCAACCAGGTAAAATTGGATGCTCGAGGCGATGGATATCATTCAGTTAAGCCTTCTTCGTCATTCGGCTTTTTTTTGTCTCCGAGGTACATACATGAGCGCTCTGCGTACCTCAAAGGAGTGTCCATCGGTGAGCAAGAAGGGCGACAGAACGTGGTTTTACCTTGGCAGTCTTGGCGATTGAGTAGGCAACTAAATTTGGTTCAGTGGCTGTGCAATATCGTCTCTTTCTCCAACCGTCATGTTCACCGACGTGCCTCCATACATCTCCGAATGTTAGCGGCCTCGAACGTCCTTCAAAATGACAAGAAACTGGAGTACCGAAAGTCTTGCAACCCGTCGCTGATTGATAGCTGGTTATATCTGGTTCGACCATCTTAGAGTCTCGTAAGGCGTGGAGGGATTGACAGAACCAAGCCTCGGGCATGGAACTTCCGTTTCCAATGGAATGCCCTGTCGTTGCTCCCGTAATACCACCTGTAATGCAGCCTTTGCTCGCATGAAACATACTCACTTCAAGCTTGGCAGATGGAGCACTGGAGGTGTTGTCCAGTCCGGTCGGCCAGGAGCACTCTGACCGTCTTGAGAAGACAGAGATCCCAACAGTCGATTCCGAGCGCTGAAATGCATCATGCACATCTGTTTCCAATCCCCAGCGTCTCATTGGTTCCTTGTTAGGAACAGTCCTGCACCCGCACCCTGCCAGCTGTCGGGGAGGTACGATTAATTCCCTTTCCCAGTACGAAACGAGGAGCGCCATAACTTTCCAGCCGACATTGCTCTCGCGAAAATGCTCATACACTCTGTCAAGGAAGTTGAAAACGTGGCTTGTAAGCTTCCATTAAGAGGTCAATGCCTATGTACGTCTCGTTCTCTTGCTTGGAGGTTCCGTCTTGATCGAACGTTAGCAACTTCAGCGCACCACAAGAATCATCATCATTGCGCCAAATCTTGCACCATAGTGTCAAAGCCGGTGCGGTCGCGCAGCCTAGATGCATAACATAATGAAACGCATAGCAATCCCCAACTGTACATTCCGAAATTCTGATCCTCTTGAAGGCAACTCCCATTGAGAAAGGCCACAGTCAGACCGATGTCCGCCTGGCACTGTATAGATATATTGCACAGCGCCCAACCTCCTGACGTTTTCTCCTGGCGAAATATCCAGGGTCAGTTCAATCATCCTTGACAGCCTAGGAACGGCACGAATATGCACAAGTCATCTGGGGTATTGGGCACCTTGCCGGCGCTGTTCTGCCCCAATCGCTCGAATGCGGTGTCTGTTCGAGAGAATGCTCTTGGTTCCTGTTCCCCCTTAGCGCCATTCAGAATCAACCCCCGACTCCGAATCGTATATAATGGCGTCCCACTTCTCCAAGGTCAGTATAGGAACGCGGTCCTCTGCCTTCAAAGTTTTTGGGAAAGACCTCCTTCGTAAACTCCATTGTAGAGCCATGTCACGATCGCCTCTCCCCGCACCCGCACCCGCACCTCCAGCACCGTCTGGCCTTAACCTCAAGAACATCCAAGGGGACATCTTGTTCGTAGCCTTCCAAGTGTTTCGTTGTCGTTTCTGACCTCAGATTTATTTCTTCAGGAGCGGTCTTCCCAAGAAGACCGAAACATGGTATTTCTTCCAGATTAGCAACCCCACCAAGTTCAGGAAGGATTTCCGCAACTTCATCCCTCTTGTCAAGTCCGCCGATGGGGTCCTGGAAGACCGCAAGGCCATCGACAAGCACAAGCGCCAACAGGGTGGCGGTTGGAAGCCCCACCTCATCCCTATCGCCGGTGTCAATGTGTCTTTCTCGCATTTCGGTTTCCAGAAGGTATTCATGCTCCCTTTCAGGCATGGACCTGGCTAAATCTATTACTCGATTTAGCTGGGGATCGATGACGCGAAACTCATCGACACTGCCTTCCTCACTGGGCAACGCATTGACGCCGGTGCGAACCTCGGCGACAAGGGCACTGGCACCGGGCCCAACTTTGTCCCTGACTGGGAGGAGCCGTTCAAGCAGGAGATCCATGGCGTCTTCATCATCGCGGGGGAAAGTCACCCCACCGTTGACAAGAAGATTCAGCACATCGAGCAAATCTTCGGTCTTGGAAATGCTTCTTCAATCAAGAAGCTCATTGCGATTCGTGGTGACGTTCGTCCTGGAGCCCTCTCCGCTCATGAGCAGTAAGTGTCGCTTCTTTCCGTGATCTTTATCCACATACTCACGTTTATCCTCTCCTACAGCTTCGGATACCTCGACGGCATCTCCAACCCGTCCATTATCGGCTTTGACACCAACCCTCCTCTCGGCCCAGCCCCCATCCGTGCTGGAGCCATCATCCTTGGACATGACGGCGATTTGAACAAGGACAACCGCGCCCCGTGGATGGTTGATGGGAGCTTCCTCGCCTTCCGCTGGCTCTTCCAGAAGGTGCCCGAGTTCGACGACTTCCTCAACCGTAATGCGCTTCAAGGCCCTGGCATGACGCGCCAGCAGGGTGCGGATCTCCTTGGTGCTCGTTTGGTCGGAAGGTGGAAGAGCGGTATTTATCTCTATATTCCTACCATGAAAACACCGAAAGTAAACACTTATGTACAGGTGCCCCGATCGACATCACGCCCTTCGACGACGACCTCGAAATCGCTGCGGACCCGAATAGGATCAACAACTTCCACTTCACCGCCGAGACTAATTTCCAGAAGCTTTGCCCATTCGCTGCGCACGTTCGCAAGACCCTCCCGCGCGCCGATCTCGAGTTCCGGGGTATCTCGCTCGAGAAGAACCGCATCGTTCGTCGCGGCATCCAATTCGGGCCCGAGGTCACGAAGCAAGAAAAGGTGGCGAAGAAGACGTTCCATGGAAGAGGTTTGCTGTTTGCATGCTACCAGAGCAGCTTGACGGATGGCTTCCAGTTCATTCAGCAGAGTGAGCATCTTCCTCTCATTGTGTCTCATCAGTAGTGGCTAAAAATGTGATTTTGTAGGCTGGGCAAATAACCCCACCTTCCCGCCATTCGAGACGACACCTGAGACGCCTGGGTGAGTAGATTTTGTTTCAAAAGTTGGTTCTCTTTTGCTGACACCGGGGGTCTCTCGTAGACTCGACCCCATCATCGGCCAAGGACCAAATCGCGAGCTCTCCGGCTACGACCCCAACGACCCTAGTAAGGTCCTGAAGCTCGACGATCTATGGGTCGTTCCTCGTGGAGGAGAGTACTTCTTCTCCCCTTCAATCAAGGCTATGAAGGATCTCATTGCTGCTCCAACCTGAGCCAATGCACGGCGGATTCTTCACGGATCTTTTGGGAGTCGATATCACTCTGGACAATGTGTTGATATCTGTAATATTATTCCCCTGATGTAACGACTCTTCCATTGAACGAGCTGCTGGTTGAAATATGCTTTTGACAAAGTATGCCTTTCTGTGGCTGGCATCAACAAGCCCCGGCCCGGCCAGACCGTCGATAGCAGGATAAGGTCGTAGCCCGACCCTGCCTTGTTGCCTTGCGATGCCTGTCGTCTCTTTTCGCCCCCACGGTATTTTTGCCTCCTGGCCCAAAACTTACAGCTTAACGCATAATCTCCATCTGCAATGTTGCGGGTATGTTCGCGAATGGTGATATTTTTGGTCTATTCACCTTCATGTTCGTCAGACCGTGACAGATCGCATATTCCAACAAAATCGGTTACACGCCAGTGAGGAAGAAGAGGAAGAAGAAGAGGAGGAGGAGGAGGAGATGGAGGGTTTGTGTCCTTCCGCCGAATACGGACTTGCAGAAGACTATGAATCATTCATGACAGGGCCCAATGAACGCGACGGCCAGCCTCGTCAACCACCAGTTTCTCGTCTTCCTGTGGAACTTCTGCAAGAAATATTTTACGTTGTCGTTAAGCCCCAGCAAATACTTCGGTCAGAAACGATAAAATCCGAGGCGTGGGCACTCTCTCATGTGTCTCGAAGATGGTCCGACGTTGCGCTCTCCTCACCCTTCCTGTGGGGTCAGATATCCGTTTGTCTGTGGAAGAAGCATCCATGGGTCGAGCAAATGGTCCACAACCTACTCGAACGGTCTCGCGGGGCACCCCTTTACATCTCCATTGACAACCTCTTCGAGCGAGTTCACGAGAACTCCGTCATCGACGCTCTCGTCGCCGAGTCAGAACGTTGGAGAATGGTTGCTATCAAGGGTGACCATGCCCTCGTTAGCGCCCTAAACTTCGCGAGTAACAGAATTCCATGTCTCCGGTATCTCGAGCTCGATGTACTCCCGGAGCAACAGCCATTTGCGAATGCACCTGCTAACTTCCAGATCCACACCTTCCGCAACGCACCGCAGTTGGTTGAAGTCGTGATGAAAAGTAGCCGATCATCCGTGGTGGGCATTCCTTGGTCGCAAATGGTGTCCTTCAGACACGACGAAGGAGGCTTCGCACGAGCACACCGCGCACTCGTAGCCACAACCTGTCTCGTTTCCCTAGATCTTCGCTCGTTCGATCTCAAGGACTCAGACCCTGTGCCGCGGTGCACACTTTCCAACCTTCAATCGCTGCGGGTATCCTTCAAAGATCAAGCTATTGCTCAGGGCCTCTTTGAGAGGCTCGCATTACCTTCGTTGAAATCGTTGTCGCTCATCAAAGCCCCGCCTGGGCTCCTTGGATCCTTCATGATGATGACTACGAGGTTGTCGCAACCCTCCAAGTTGGAACGGCTGTTCGTACGCGATTATGTGTTCCAGCCAATGGAGCTCGTCTCCCTAGTGCTAAACTCCCCTCGACTCAAATCACTCCGCACAGGGTTTCCTCCCCTTGGGGACTTCCTTTCATTGGTACACCGAGGTACCGCCTTCGCCCCTCGTCTCGAAAAACTCATCCTGGACATGGATGAAGAAAACCTGAAAGAACGAGTCGCGCCCATTTATTTGCTTGCCACACATCGTTGCGAACTGGATGTGGATTCGGAGGCGCCGGCGAACAGCACGCTGATGAAGCATTTTCAAATCAACTTCAACAGTTGGAAAACATGTCTCCAAGGACAGGAATTCTTGGAAATCCTGACCAATCCATACAGGAAAACTTTTCCGGGCAGCGAGAATGAAGAATTTGTCCCACTTATGGCACGTATTTTACAGGAACAAATTCGGGACTTGTCAACCTCTCCGCTCTCAGAGGTTGCCTGGTGGAGGGACTGGGGCCTGGTCCGTCTTGCGTTCAACAAGTTTGAATACTACCTTGCAAGAGATGAAATCGATATAAATCTTGTTCTGGTATGTCTGTCTCTGCAAGCCTGTTAACAACTTCGCTGATCTTAGAGCTCTTTCAGGCATTTGGTGTTCACACTGAACTCTACCGAGTCGCCACTGCGAACGGTGTGCACCCAGCCGTTCACAAGCACAAACTTCGCCAACGCGCTTGTGCCGCCCTCGAGTCATTGATCCCGATGATTGTCTCTCGTCTTCCTTACCGCTCATGGCGCCTGACAGGTAACTCGTTGGTCTATGTCCCGCAACACGATCGTATGTGACAAAGGCCCATCGTTTCCCATTGCGAAGTGCTCATGCAACAACCTCTAGCTTTCCGAACCTCCCCAAACGCGTTGCAGATGTTCTTCGGCGAGCGGTGGAAAGGTCTTGAGGTACCGCCTGTCAAGTTGGACTTCTTTGTGCCTCTCCCGACAATTGCCACACCCAGGCCAGTCCTAACAAGCAAGCTTGTTACTATGTCGTTCGTTTCCTTCATCGTATTGGCGACCATGTTCAGGATATAGTGCTGTAGGCCGCTTGTAGGATATTTTCCACCTGCGGCTATTTAACTTATGTAGATACCCGCCAATTCCGATTCGCCCCGTCGTTGCCTTGTCCCGCTCCTCCAACCTCAGCTAACGCGACGAGAACGCGTGATGCAGACGCGTCAATCATGTGACCGTGCTACCTTCCAGGATCGTTGCTTGGCACTGCTTGCCGAGGGCCTTTTCCTGTGGCAGTCGTTCTAAAGCAACTCTCGCCTTGTCCCTTTCGAATGTCTAGCTCCCCTATATCTCGCACGGCGGACAGATTTGCGTATCGCAAGACAGCGCAGCTTCGCCTTCCACAGCCATCTTGCAAAGTTCAAACCGAAGCTGAAGCTGACTGTATGCGCTCTCCAGGGTCGATATCCTTAGGAATTGCAGTAGAAATTCTTGAAAACGAAAACGGCGGCTCTCCTGTCTCTAGCTATCAACGCTCATCTCCGCTCCGAAGCTCTTCTCCCTTTCGCGACTGCTCCAGTCCTATTGCATTACCTCACGACGACGCTGAGGACGATGACGATGACACATTACTTGACTGTATAAATGCTGCTGTGCCCCCTCTGTCTAGCAGTCCTCCGGAATTCTCGAGCTCTTCTCCTCAGTCAGCTCACTCATCAGAGTCGAACAACGGTTCTTTCTGTTCTTCAACGTCGACCTCGGACTCTTTACCCTCGACTTGGGACGAGTTCATAGCACCTGCGCCCCTCGATGAAGCCCCTGGCGACAATAAGCAGGATGGATTTGGTCGACACCTGCACGATCTTCTCCTGGTAGCTCTGAAGGAACGGGAACTTGCAGGCTCGCATATCGGTCAAGCAACACCGCATCACTCTGGCGGCCAGGTTTCTGCAGGCTCGCCACCAACACGGTCCAAGTGGTTTGCAGACCCAATTTTAGACATCCCTGCTCAGGAGACGGCCGAAAAGGCCGTTCAGGAGCTCTCACCGATACGCTTCGAAGAGCCAGAGAAGGTGTATGAGAGGTTGGTAGTTCTTGCTCTACGTATCTCTGACGACTGAACTCAACGATTTATAGCCCCGTTGGCAAGTGCATTACTGATCACTATAGACCTATATACCGTGTCATAAAGAACGCAGGGTCATTCATACCCTCAAGCATTGCGCACGACGCTGAACCTCTAACCAAACGACAGAAAACCCGGAACGATGCTGGCGCGCATGCGAGGGACCGCATATATGCGCAACGCTCTGCAAGTCTCAGAAGAGCCGAGTCGCTGAAAAGTGTTTACGACGATGGACGACAAGTATTCTTGAGCCTCTCTTTTCTAATTCATTTCTGCGCTAATCACATTCCCGTCCTTTAGATGACGAGCGCGGAGGAGGTTCCGACGGTGCCTGCAACACCCGTCGTTGAGAAAACCGCACAGTCTCCAGAGCGACATGCTTCATCTACTCACAATGCCTTGCTCCCCCCCGTTCCCATTATCGCGCCTCCTGAAGGCCATGTCGCCAGTCTGCCTCTTAGCCCCGAGACGCTGGCAAAAGTCCGTCTCAGGAAATTCCTGGAGAAAGAAGAGGCGCAACGACGACGAGAGGACTTGCCATGTGGTGAATCGGCCCATCCTCCTGAGTGGATGCTGGAGGACTTGATAGATCTAGAACTCTGTGAAGACGAAGCGGACGGTAGGGATGAGATTTCCCTCGAATGGGAACGTGTATTGGGTGTTGGGCAAGGGATGAGAGAGGAGGTCATCGCTTGGATTATCGAGGTATTTCTTTCTGAACTAGTTCGTTTACTTTGCTAATCAACCATTCAGGTGCTCCCTATACCGCTTTCTAGGGATGCGATCGAGGACAAACCATCTCCGCCGAAATGCACAACTCCGAACGAGACGAGTTCGCCAGCCACCTCGACCTCGACTACGGCCACCACAACCACGAAAACAACAGCTGCCGTCGATACGAAATTCGCCCATCTGGGATTTAATCTTTTCGACCAATTGAAGAACTCGCCGCAGACGCGTTTCCACGCCGCCTGGATGTTCCTGCGATATTTTTATTTGACCATGTCGCCTGAAGTCGAACCGAAAGAAAGCAAGTCGAAGGACAGTCTTTCCAGACAGTCGAGTCTGGATTCGATTACTACCACTTCGACGGAGCGCGAGGGGCGGGATCTTGTTGTCTGGGATATTGCGGTTGGCTGTTTATCGCTCAGTGTCAAGGTTTTCCGTTCCGTATGGTACTGCGGACGAGACGCAATCTGACTTTTTTTTGTCCGTCTAGTTCCATCGCGATTTTTTGAACCCTCTTATTCCGGTATATGCGCACGAATATCTCTCGTTGTCGCCTCACAACATGTCCCACGAGGACCTAGAGGTGCGGACCCCATTCTCCCGCTCTTCCCATGCAAAACTCTAATTGACCGCCGCCCTCTAGACAACCCACCGGGACATATTGTCCGCTCTCGACTATACGCTGGGAGTCACGCCTCAGCTTCTCATGGATGAGCTGTGGTTCTCCCTTCCCTCCCTCCAGGCGCTGTTAGACTTTGATGGCGGGTGGCCGTCGGCGATGGCAGACGCATGGCGCTTCCTCTTCGACGCTCTCAAGGGTGAGTTGGTTCAATACATTCTATTTACTTTCTTACGGGAAGGAGACGATCAAACGGCCTCTACTCTAGAACCTGATATTTTAAAGTATCCCATCTCCTTGCTGACGGTTCTCGCGGTAATGAACGGCATTACTGAGGGTCTCGTTCGGAAATACCGGTTCGAGGACATGACGGAAGGCCAAGAAGAGGGCGAAGAGGGCTCTCCAGCAAATGCGGCCTCTCCGGAGCAGGTGCGCCGTCCAGACTCGCCGACATCCTGGATCGAGAGAGCCAAAGAAGAGGCGGAAGGCGTCCTGTGCGACATCCAGGCGCTGGTCGGGATCACAGACGTTAGAGATCTCGTGATTTCTCTGATATTTTTGTCTTTGACGCTCACGACCCTCCTTCTTTTCCTTTTCCCGTCCTTCCCTTTTTCTTTCTTTTTCACACAGGCTCAGCTTCGAGAATGCCGTGCCTGGGGCAACACCCGCATAAAGCGTTGAGAAGGTTCAAGGAACCTGAAAACGGGACATTGAAGTTTGCTTGAAACTGCAAAACTTGGAAAAGGAAGTTCAAGTGATCGCTGTCAGTTGTCAACCGTCGATCGAAATCATTACGCAAGTTCCTCCTTCTGTTTCCTTCAAGGCCCTGGCCGGTGCTTCTTTAGATTCGTATTGGGTGCGCGCTTGCTGGCCCGGAGAGGCTGGATAGGGTGTTCCCTTTGTCCGACGAGTATGTATGTGTCTGTCCGAGTCACTTTTTTGTTCGTTCCCTTTGCCTTTCCCTCATTTCGCTTCATGCCCTGGTTTATTATCAGCCTTCCTGTTATCTCGTTCGTCCGCGCTGCTTTGAGACCGATGTGACTCCAATCGTTTTCGGTGCTCTTTCGCTCTCTTTTGCTGCTGCTTTCCTGCTATGTTTTGCTCCCATGTTTCCCTGCTTCGTCTACGGATAGTCCATGTTATTTTTACCCGTCTCCTATGTGTTACACGTATACGTATACAGCTCCAGACAGCTGCTACATACCTGTTTAAATTTTAGAATGGAACACCTGCGATGGAGGTAAAATCCACATCCTCCCATCATGCCGGCGCTCTCATCTGGCACTCCGTTTTGGGACCTAGCACAAGCTAACTACCATAACAGGGAAAGAACCTGCGCAGCTGCTAGCCGGGTGTTCGGAACCAGACCGCAACCTCGTGGTGTGCGGTTTGCGGTTGGACGCCGAAGACTGACATCAGATCAGACGCACACACTGTCGCCGAGAAGAGACATTACCTGATTAACGCATTACCACGAAAAGGAAGGCGAAGGGGGGCAGAACGTCCATCAGATTGAGAACGTTAACTTGGGGAGCGCGGAATAGGGATGTGCCCTTCCCCTCAGCGTGCGACTGGTGCGTACGTGGAGGAGGGAGAGAGGGCAAAAGGAGGGGAAGAGGGGAACGAGGCTAGGGCGTCTATCTGGACCGGGCACGCGCGGCCGAATATCGTATTGTAGGTCCCATAACCTGGATAGGCCTGACTCATGTTCGTATGTGTTTCTCAAGCAGGACGCATGACCGGACGGCGATCAAGCGTCGAATGTTCGAATGTATCATACTTACATACCCAGAACGCAGCCAGATCGTCGGAATGAAGTGGGAACCCATGATGGGCGCGCTGCCGCTGGACGCCCCGTACTGTCCTCATTAAGCAAGAGGACAAGCGGATGGGCAAGATGGGGAAAGAGACGCGGTTGTGGCGGCGACTCGGATGGGAATGGATGGGAATGGCTTGCCACCCTTCCCATGTTGAGTCATGGTGGCCGTTTCCTTGCTTTCCCTTTGAGCTGCACTTATTTGGGTCGTGCGTACGGACTGGGAGCAGTGAATATGTAAATTTAAACGAGGGGCGGGAATCCGAACGAAGGCTTAACGTGGAAGACCCAAAGGCAATCATGATCAAAGTCTATGGACAGGCAGGTGCCAGCGGGATGACGGGGACGGAGACGTGTGTATTTTTTTCTCTCTCTTCCAGCCCCGAAAGGCGAAATCCGAAAGGGGGCTGGGAGCTGAGATCTGGGAGCCTAGTAGAGGGCCCATGAGGTTATGGATCCGGTATCGGCAAAGGACATATATGTACTGGGCGGCAGGCGACATCACGGCTTTTCGTTCTGATTTGCGTTTTCGTTTCGTTTGGGGCTGGCAGTGTGTCAGACGCAGACGTACACCTCTTCTCTCCTTTCTCCTCTCATTCAACTTCGCCACAAGTGTCAAAGCCCTAGCGCGTCTTCTGGTCTGAACTTGTGCCTGTGCCAGCGCTTCAACCTTTTTTTCTCTCCCTCTCCTTCTCTACATACCGAATTCTGAACCGCCTCGAGCTCGATTTCTCTTCCCTGGCCGCGACTCAACCCTATGCATGCCTCGACACCGGCCGCTCTGCCACCAACAACACCACTTGTAGCATGAACTGGAGCCGCAAGGTAGTCGAGCAGGACTACTATGAAAGTCGACGCGACCACCAACGCGAGCGGGAACGGGGAAGGGAACAAGAAAGGGAACGGGAGGGCTGGTGGCACCCACATCCGCATTCGCCAGCTAGCGGTCACATCGCCCCCGCGTATGGATTGGGGTCGGGGTCGGGGTGTGGGCGCGGCACGCGTTGCGCGTGCTCGCCCTCGTGCGTGCTCTTCCCCAGACGGGGCGACGGGCGGGTCGTCCTCCCCGACCCAAGCATGGTGGTCTCGTTCAGAGGTGAGTCTTCCTTTTCTTTCCCTCTCTCCCTCCCTCCCTTCTCCTGGGACGTGTGTTGATATTCGTATATGCGTACAGTTGCGACCCACAGGCCACCGTATACAATTTCGAAACCTCAAGGTTGGCCATCTTCCTCCACGGTGAATGTGCCCGTTGGCGGCGGGGGCGTCGACTTCGAGTTTGAGGCTGAGGCTGAGTTGCGGTGGCGGGGGCGGGTGACGACGCCGGCCCCAGCCCCAACGTTAAACTTAAGGCTGACACCACGGCCAATGCCACGGCGACAGCCCGCACGCGCACCGGCCCCGAGCCCCGGTCCACAGAGCACCAGCAGAGGTGGTAGCGCGCACGCCGCGTCTGCGTCTGCTTCGTCCTCTTCTTCTAGCCGTGAGTCTCCCCCTCTCGTTCCCTCGTCCCTCTCTCTGATTCTGAACCCCCTCCGTTTTCTCGCGTGCAGGCCCACCATCTGCAGCTAGCCATACCACCACCGCCGCCGTGGGCAACTACGCCCAGCTGAGCTCGCTCCCCGAGTTCAAAGCCTTCCGGCTCACTACACAGCCCGAAGGTACCACCAAGGCCTCTTCACGGGCCTCTGAAAACAGGCACAATACCAACAACACCGATACCAACACCAACGCCAACGCAGACAGTAGCACCAGAACCCCGCCCATGGGTGGGGAGAGTGGGAACAGCACAAAGAGAGCAGGGGGAGGAGGAGGAGGGTCAGAGTGGATGCAGGAGATCAGGGTAGCGCGACGGACCAAGAAGCAAACGTATGTACGATCGGGGACGCACGATTTTTGTATCAGATTGTACACTGGCAATCATGTGTAGAATTAGCTAGAGAGAAATTTTTGTGCAATTTTGTAGGGTTTTTGTGGCCATGGAGGACGCTGGGCTGAGGGCCGTCGGAGATGCTGGGCACCGTGGTGAACAGCGAGCAGACGTTTTGATGGCGTATGAGCGCTCTATTTGGCATTGCTACTCTCCGACGCCATCGTCTTCCCCGGCCTTCTAGAACCTGCCGTCATCCATCTTTATCTCCATCCTTCCATCCCCTTCATCTCCCTCCAATTCCCCACCCCTCCCGTCCCCATCTAACCACCCCTCCCAATGTCCTACCTCCTCCCCAACCTGCCCTCGGGATGGCACGTCGACGAAGCGATCAAGTCCGAGGAGGACCGCGTCGTCGTCATCCGCTTCGGGTCGATCGACGACAGCGAGGAGTGCCAGCGCATGGACCAGACGCTGTACGCCGTCTCTGAGCGCGTGCAGAACTTTGCGGTTATCTATCTGGTGGATATCAAGAAGGTGCCGGATTTTAATACGGTGCGTACCTGACCTTGCACTTCGTGGCGGGGTGCGATGTGAGAGGGGGAGCTGATGGTGTTCTTTTTTTGTTTCTTTGGTGGTGATATAGATGTACGAATTGTACGATCCTTGCTCTGTCATGTTTTTCTACCGGTAAGCCGTCCTTCTCGAAGAGGTTTTTGAAGGCATGGGTTGACACCTTGGATGGGTAGTAATAAGCATATCATGATCGATCTGGGCACTGGTAATAACAACAAGATGTGCGCGCCTCTCCTCTCATCTCTGTACCACACACGATCTGACGACATCTCCGGTATCTTTGCAGAAACTGGGCTATGGATAACAAGCAAGAGGTTCGTAGTGATAGTTTGTGTGGGATGATGATCTGAATGGATGGGACTTGCAGTTGATCGACATCATCGAGACGGTCTACCGTGGGGCATCGAAGGGACGCGGTCTGGTCATGTCTCCCAAAGGTGTGTCCTGTCTATCGTCCTCTTCTCAATATACCATTATTGACTTCCTACCACCTAGACTACTCTACGCGTTACAGGTATTAAGCAACCGAACAAGCCAACCACCGAAGTTCCCTCGTCGTCGGCGTCCTAGGTAGGGATTCCTGCCTTGAGCCTCAAAATCTGGCCTCAAATTGCCTCGTCCGATTCTTGTGAGAGATGGCTCTCGGTTCCAAACACTCTGACTGTATTAATAGACCTGTGAGAATCCATGTATTGCGATCATTTCTAAGCCTTGACGGAAGAATGGCGTGGATATGGTTTGGGGTTGGTCACGAACAGGATCTGAGCAAGTCTTGGTCATCTTTTGCGCTGCGAGGCCCCGATGTGTGTGCAAAGGTCGAGACGAGCTCAGGGTGTTTCCCCAGTTCCGAGGGAGGGTATTCTTACTCTATGGGTTCAAGCGCTCCTTTTGATGCTCAGGGATGTACTTCGGGGATCCTCGACCTAAGAGAGAGGTACACCGATGGCCGAGGGCATCCTTAAAGGCCAACGTCTTGATTAGAGTAACTCCCTGAGACTCGGATTTACGCCGAGGTCGCGTAACCTCCCTAGGTAATCACGACAGCTGCGTTGTGCTGAGAAAGCAGATTGCGACTTCAGCTGACACAGACGTGGGGATTTGCGAATCTTGGAAGGTGGAGACGTATATAAGGCGCTCACGTCTGGAAGAGTCTCTCGACTCCACCCACAACTCTAATAAGAACCTCCAAACGAACGAACAGTAACAGAGATAGATATGGCAGCGAAACGCGTACTCGTCGTTGCAGGTGCTTATCTACCCCTATTGCTATACACATTTGGTCCCTCGATTAGATTAGATGCTGACTATTCTCTCTCCTTCACCACCACCACGGCTACCAGGTATTGGTAATGGCTCTGGGACTGGCGCCTCCACTGCGTAAGGCTCTCAACATACTCCTCTGGCCATCATGCGTTGCTGACCACATGAAACGCAGGCGCCTGTTCGCGAAGAACGGCTACAGTGTCGCCCTCATCGCACGAGGCGGCGACTTTGTGAACAAGCTCGCGAACGAGATCAACACCTCTGGCGGGCACGTACGTCTCTCCGCCCCGTTCTAGCGCGCGCCCAAGCATCGCTAATCCACTACCACCACCAGGCCGCGCCCTTCGTTATCCCCTCCTACGCCCACGCAGACGTCACCGCCGCCTGGACCGCCATCACCTCCGCATTCCCAAAGCCCGAATACACCATCCGCGCCGCGCTCTTCAACACGGCGTACGGCGTCTGGAAGCCCTTCCTCGAGGTCACCCCTGCCGAAGTCCAGGAATCCCTCGAGACGAACGTCGCGGCCGCGTTCGCATTTGCTCGTGGGGCGATACTCGCGTTCAAGGAGAATGAGGTGGAGGAAGCGAATGGGAAGAGGGGCGCGCTGATCTTTACGGGCGCGACGGCGAGCGCGAGGGGGAATACGACGACGAGCGCGTTTGCGGCGGGCAAGTTTGGCACGCGGGCGCTGTCGCAGAGCCTGGCGAAGGAGTTTGGGAAGGAGAATATACATGTGGCGCATGTGCGTGGTTTTCTTGGTGCATTTGCTCACTTCTGGGACTGATAGATATATTTGTGCTGTGATTAGGCTATCATTGACGGAGGTTCGTCCAATCCCCTGCTTCACCGGCCTGCCCTAACGTGCTCGAATTCCACATTCTAGCCATCCTCACCGACCGCCAACGCGACCGCAACAGCCCCGAATGGCAGAACAACGCGGACGTCCGCTTGAGTCCCGACAGCATCGCTGCTGTAAGTTATGCCCAAATTATCTTCGTCCTCGCCATTTCTACCATTTCGACTAAATATCTAATCTTTGTAGTCGTACCTCTACCTCGTCAACCAGGATAGGTCTGCTTGGACTTGGGAGCTTGATCGTACGTCTTTCATTTATCCTCTAATATTAAGAAGGTAGCTGACGATGTCCTGGTTCCAGTGCGTCCCGCTCATGAGAAGTGGTAAATGGTTTGGTCGTGACTCAAGCTGTCGTGCGAGAGCTGTCTGTGCTTGTTGTATATGTACAGCATGTCGAAGTCGAAGCATTTTCAAGTTGTTGGCAGGGTCGTCCAAAGCAGACTCCAGAGGGATCATCATGGCTTCGAGAGCCCCGAAGATCGTCTGCTC